GCGAATTATCGGTCTGGCACCGATGATTAATTTATCGCCGTTGATTCATCGATCCTCGTAAATCTCGGTTTCGATGCGGCCAGGTTCTTTACGCCTCATCGCTAAGATTCTTTTTCTATTCAATTGTTACTGCATTAATGTATAAATTATATATTTATAATATATTTTAATAGATGACCACCTCTGCGAATAATTGTAATGGGAGATTCTGGAGACTAAAATAAGACGAAAATCAAGAATATCAATTTTTTGCAAGAGGCTTCATTAATAAGTTAGTGAGTTATTAAAAAATTAAATTAAAAAGTTTCAAATCATTCCGAAAAAATTTGTTTCGGTTGCGAGGGTCAATTACAATCATTTTTGGTGAATACACGTACCCCCGAATTCCTACGCATTTTCAAGAAAAAAATTCGGGAAGATGCCCTACATTTTTCGGCGAGAACAAAAAATTTCAAATCGCTATGGAAAAAATATTTTTAGTTGCGGGGGTCGATTACAATCGGTTTTGGTCAATAGACACATCACCGAAATCCTACGCGCTTTGGAGAAAAAAATTCCTAAATGAAAATGTCTGACCATCGTTGACCTGTTTCACTGAAATTTTTCGGCGAAAAAAAATATTTTCAAACCGGTCTACAAAAATTATTTTCGATTGCGGGGGCCAATTGCAATCACTTTTGGTCAATACACGTACCTCCGAATTTCTAACCATTCTCGAGAAAAAAATTCGAGAAGTTACGAAATTTTTCGAGAAAATTAATAGGCAAGAATAGCACTAACATTATCTTGTATTCTGATTATTTAGTAAGAAAAATAATAGTTAAATTATATCGCGAGCTTACTGCTGGTAACTCTGAATGTAGAACAAAATTGTAACCGTGTTGCAAAGTTCTGTAGCTTTTCGTGCACCATGTCACATTCATGTTTTACACGAAACAATCGAAACGGGGGAGATTAAAACGCAACTATGGTCCCGGTTTGGTCGACTAGTAACTGCGACATAATGTCCCGCGAAAACCAGCGACCATCATCAATTATCGTGCCCTACGGCGAAAAGTCGACGAGCCGGGCGCAGAATAATCACGCGGGGGGGGAATGAATATGGATCGACGTGGTTTTGCGGGCCCCTTATGGCGATCACGAGATTCATACGATGCTATATTATTGTTTCGAAACCATCGCGGTACTATAACATAATTATTGTATTACATTATAGATAATAAATATATTAAATATATAGATCTATTAATCTTGAGATCTATATAGGGTGTTCGGCCACCCCTGGGAAAAATTGTAATAGAAGATTCTAGAGGTAAAAATAGTACGAAAATCAAGAATACCAATTTGTTGATGGAGGCTTCGTTAAAATGTTATTAAAATTTAAAGTTCCGCCCATATTGAATTTTTTCCTCGAAAATGCGCAGGTTTTCGGAACTATGTCTATTCACCGCAAATGATTGTAATTGACCCCCGCAACTAAAAATATTTTTTCCAGAACGATTTGAAATTTCTTAATTTAATTTTTTAATAACTTTTTAAGTTCAATCAAAAAATTGATATTCCTGATTTTCGTCTCATTTTGGCCTCTAGAATCTATATATAGATTAGTTACCCATATAGCCCGGACTCAAAATATAACGCACCTGTAACGGTATATCTTAGGCGCCATTTTATCGGTCGCAAAAACTTTTTGCCGATCGAAATCACGTTTAAATGCCGAGCGTGACTCGGTGAAAAGACAATTCGTACATAAATGGGCGGCGTGTAAATAGTCGAATCGCGTCGTTCCTCGGGGGAACGAGGGGAGCAACGTTTTCTCTCTACCAAGGGAGACCTTCATCCCCCTCTGTAGTACCCCTTAGCGGCAGACAAACGACGGCCAATTTACGAGCAGCAGGAAAGAGAAACTTCTTTAAACTCGGATTAAAATAAGCGTCGGACCGCTCGGCACCGGCTCCCAGCCGATTTTCTTTCCCCGTTCATTTTAACCCCCCCTATCCGTCCCTCGTCTTTTTCTTCGTTTCTCACCCTTGAAATTCATTTCGGGATCCGGGGGTGAGCTTTATTTTATTCGCGGCGAAAGAAGAGGGTCGGTGGAAGTCTCCGTTACTCTCGCGGGACTCGGGGGGTGTTCTAGGTGACAATTCGCTGGGAGCTGTTAAACTGATTACGATCTTTCGAGCTCGTCGATTAAGACGATCCACCTGTGAGAATACTCGCTAGATTAAAATGAAACGTCCCGCGTGTCTCTTTCTTAAACTCAGCGAACGCCCGTTATCGTTGTCGGCAATTCCGTAACCATGTAGCGTTTCAATTTTTCGTTGATTGAATTTAACGATCCGATAGCAGAGTTTGCCGTTTCGGTGCACGCGAGTCTACACGGATAGGACAATAACGACGCCCTCGGGAGCGTCCAGAATGAATCCGAGCTAACGCGATTACGCGACGCGCCGCGTTTCGAAGCGATTCCCGGTGAACTCGGACGTTTTAAGGCGGCCATAAATAATTAACAGAAACACCGTAACACATTCGACTTGTTTTCAGACGAGGAACGTGATATCGAGTACCTGAGCGTGCCAGAATAATTCCCCCCAAGAAAAGACCGGTTGAACCGAGCGGAAGATTCAGGATCGGATCCGCGAGTAGAAGAAGACGCCAGGTTCCGACTGGTTGGTACAAGAAACCGGCGGTGAAGAAGAGCGGGAACACGGAGTTCGCGCGAACGCAGTCGTAATGGCGCCCGTGGGACGGAGCGGGGTAACGCGATTAGGTGGTACAGCACTGCCGGAGCGATTCGGTCGGCTTGATTTATCCGCGTACCGACGCGTTATTGCATTAGCGCCCCGACGACGATGCCGCTGGCCAACCGTTCCGGGGGTCGCTTCGAGAGAGACGGAGAACCAGAGAAACTCTTCCGGCCAGTCTGTCCACCCACCCGTGAATCATCCCCAAGAATTATGTCTTGGACGGTGTTGCCCGTACGCGCGATTTCTCCAAAGGTCGAGCGTTCGTTCGCTCTCGGGGAGGATCTGCTATTTAAGGACTTGTACGGGATGTCTCGGGTTTTAATGGTCGAACTTTGTCGGTATATTCACTGGGACTAAATAAGGAAAGCATATTGTACAAGGTGTTGCGTTTGGGGCATTAAAATAAGAAAACAATGTTCATTGCAAATGTGGCGTTGCTTTGCTACGGGTAGGATCTCAGGAAATTTGTAGGAGAACAGAAAAGGCTAGAAGAGGGCGCGTTTCGTTTGGGTCTGCTAGTGGGGGACTCATCAGTAAAAACTTCCTAGCAGGCCCTATCTTAGACGACTCGTCACGACTGGGATATTTGATAGTAGGTCGAGGAATGTACTATCCAGTGATGACTTGATGGCTAGGCACGCGTTGTCATGATTGGCTGAGTCGCTCACAACTGCAATTCCATCGCGTGACAAAGTATAGGGACTGAGTAGGATAGGACAAGGCTGAGAGACATTGGCGTAACCATACGCTGAAAATACTAGCCATGAATAGAACAAAAATGTATCTCTCGTGGTCATGGAGACCCTACTGCTATGCAGCATGACTTTAAAGCGGGCCTCTCTAGTGGGAATAAGGCGGCGTGCGGACCTTCTCTCCTTGCCCTTGCTCCGTTCAGTTTGTAGTTGCCTAGCCAAGAAGTCATCACTGGATAGTACAAGGTGTTGCGTCTGGGGTATTAAAATAAGAAAACAATGTTCATTGCAAATGTGGCGCTGCTTTGCTAAGGGTAGGATCTTGGGAAATTTGTAGGAGGACAGAAAAGGCGAGAAGGGGGCGCGTTTCGTCCGGGTCTGCTAGTGGGGAACTCATCACTAAGGCTTCCTAGCAGGCCCTACCTTAGACGACTGGGATATTAGGAAGTCGGTTGAGGATTGCATATACAATTGTCGAGCGCTTATGAGAGCGCAGTCCCTCTGGTGGCGAGCATAGGAAGCAGCGCCACACAAACACACGTCAGATTCAACTTTGTACTGTTTATATTTGATAGAAGAAAATAGAGAATTTAAAAATGAAAAATAGAAGATAAATGGTGTTACTACGAAGCCGATAGTGCGAGTATCGCACCGAGAAAAAGTAGAATAAGAAGATATTTGACGTAGCGTTGAAGTCTCTGTTGTCTTGCACCTGAGAATCAGGAAGAGTACAGGAAGTGCTACCAAAATAGAACAAAGAGGTTGTGAACCGCTGCGATGAAAGATCCAGTACACGTTGATGATTCAAGTTTATATATTTTAAAGCTAGTAGTATACAGAATGACAATCGTGTCCCCCAAGAACAGCCTTACGACGCCGCCGTGCTCGCACAATGTTCGTTTCCGAAACACTCGTATATCTATCAGAATCTCTATTTTGGCATTGGCGCCGATTATCCGCGATGTTTCCAAATTTCAGTGTTTCGTCCGGCTGCCGTCGACCCTCGTCTATTTATATAACATATTATGTATAATACACACGTCCCCCGAAATTGTTCACTTTATACACATCGAGTCTCCGTTTGTACTTCACGGACACGCTGATCAAACCATCTCGTTAACGAGTGTTTTTAAAAATGTTTCGAAAAGAATCTGTTCGCCCGATCTCTGCGCATTGGATGGCGACACGAGGCTTCTTAATCTTAAAAAGACTCGTATTCGCTTCGCGATGCGAGAGGGAAATGTCCCCGAGGACCTCCTAACGTTAAGGACCAAATATTATTCTTAACAAGTACAGGTTTAAAACACTCGACAACGAAAAGCCAGATTGCTATGATTCACTTCGCAACGGTGGTGAGTTACTCTCGGAAACAGTTCTATTTGATCACGGAACGTACCAGAAGTCTCTACGACCGGGACGGGTAGCAAAATATTCTAATCTAAGAACAGAACGAAAGAAGGAACCTTCGAAGTGTCCATACTCACCACCGTGCGATATAACAGCCCTAATCTCGCGGCCCTTAACGTCCAAGTGTCTGGATCTGAAATTCGGCCCGTGGCAATTACGCGGGCCTGTCGAGACCCAGTGCCTCCTGGTGTCGTCTGGCCTTCAGCCTGAGGTCCGCGATGCTGCTGTTCTTGGAACGAGCCGCCGCCGCGGCCAGAGATGCCGCCAGGCTCAGGGGATGAGGGTGCGGGTGGGTGGAGGTCGGCGGCGGTGGCGGCGGCGGCGGTAGACAGAAGAGTCCACCGGCTGCCGCGTAATGGAGGACCGCCGGGTCGAAGGCAGAGCCTGCTGCCGCGGTTACGTTCCCGCCAGTGCCTTGCATCGGGGGATGCAACCTCAACGCTGGCAAGTAGGGCGCCACTCGACAAGGCTCCAGGCTGGTTGGAGGGCTACGTGGTGCCAGCACCAATCCGCTTGCTACCCCTGTAACTTTGGAGCAGACGTTCCTTATCATCAGACTGCGGATCTTCATGCAAATTCACATTTTTATTAACAGAATTAATGAAACGGAAGCTTCGCAGAGGGCTGTCTCGACCCCTAAATATAATAATTCGTATCTTACTTTAAGTATTTCTTATATTTTTCGATATTAAATGCGTTCTGTAGTTTTTTTGTCATAAACATTCGCAGTTTAGTTATGACGAATCGAAAGGTACGTTTGGTAGACTTGTGGTGAGAAATTGATGTACACGTTGGACCGTTCTAAGTTTAAAACTGTTTGCAGGAAGCGAATCTAGAGGACAATTTGCCGCCTACGACCACGACCATCCCTCCAACTAGACGATCGGTAGCAAATTGAAAGGAACTGTGCAAGATCATCTTTAGATACCGTGAGGGGAATACCCGACGCACCTTTGTGCAATTGACTTTCGTGTTTGCGACACTTCGCGCGTCGATTTTGAAACCAAACTTGAACCCTCGCTTCGCTCAGTCCCAGTCTCTGGCTGAGCTCCTCCCGCATGAACGCGTCCGGGTAATGCGTCTCGTCGAACAGCCTCTCCAGCTCGGCCAGCTGTTCCAACGTGAAGTTCGTCCGGGATCTTCTCTGCTTGCCGTTCCCGTTTCCGTTGTTGCGACAATTCGAGCCTGGGGAAAGTATTCGAATCGATTAAAACATATAAGTTAGCTTTTTACTGTTACGGGGAGTCGGATGACTCAGACTATTCGCGACAATTAATGTCCGTATATCGTAGATGGCGGGGGGCCACGAGGAAGTTCCAAATTAATCTTTCCGATTCGTTCACAGGTCATTTCTTCCGGTCTGGCCGGCATCACCATAAATTTCGGTCTTTTACGAGGATCTTATTCAAATCGCGCGTCGCGAAGAAGTTCCAAATTGGTTGATATTAGTGAAAAGTATTCCTCCCGTTCTCGTAAAACGGATCCTCCCTCGGACGATTCTTGACGAACATCGACGAAAGTCGGGACAGATCAAACGATAAACCGGAGCCCGAACGATGGTAAATTTTTAAAATTCAATCTCGAAACAGTATCGATTCAAACAACCCCATCAGGAAACATAACTTTGTTTTTTCGAATCAATCGGATAATTTTCAACAAGTATTCTTCGTCTGTGTAAATTTAGATCGCGGAAGATTCTCTGGTCGACGTTGGAGAGGACGAAAAGAGGACGTAATTGCTCCAGTCAAGATCCGTGCGCTTCTCGCCGGGAAACCGATCTTAAAAAGTCTCGGAGGAGTCCATCGTTCTCTTACAAACGAGCCACAAGCACCGCCGCGAGTTAAAGAGACGCCCGGATAATTAACGGGTATACGATTTAATTAATGGCCGCTTAATGCAAAGTAACTGGCGTACAACTCTTGGAGGTGTTGCCGATGGGAACTCGAGGATATCCGGGGCACGTTGGTTCCCCGGGAACGAAGAGAGGGGCCACGGAGGGTGGATTAAGCGTCTCGCGTAAGAGCCCTTGACGAAGGGGATGTGATTTATATAATTTAGCAAAGTGGTGAGCTACGCAGTCTTATACGGGGTCGTTAGTTACCCCATACCCCATCTTTCTGGCATCCTCTGTCTGTTGCTCTCCTTTCCTACACCCCTCACTACCTCCTCCTCTACCGATCACCACCTTGATCAACCTTCCTGGCGCTCAGCATCTATTCGCCAACGTTTAGCGTCATTACGATCACTTGTAATCGGCACTTTCAACTTGCAATGTTATTTAGAACGGAAGATGAATAATTGTAAAATTGTAAACAATGGCGTCTGATTAGGAATGCTGTGAAAGGCGCCCTGAAGTTAACGTTTGCGTAAATTTCTGTCCACTAGGGTGTCGAGTCATGAAAAGTCCCATTCCCAGTTTCGACAACTTACGCGAATGGACGAGGAAGACGGAGACAGCAACGGGGACAAATCTGGACGGCGAGGGTAGAGAAGGGCGTCGAAAATGGGTGGGAGAAGTTTAATGATAAAGGGGCGCCGGATGACTGGGACGAGAATGGGTCTGAAAACCGCGCGAGTTATTTCGCTAGGAGGGGTTTTAAACCGCTGTACATATGGATGCGGGCTTCGCTCCGCCAGGGCTCCGATTGGATTACGTAGGTGCGCGCTAATTGATTAAAGCGCAATACTATCGTCGTCATCGCGAGCGCGAACGACCGTCGTTGTAATTTCTCCGCGTTTTAATCGGCACCGTTCTACTCTTTTTATTTTTTTCCCCCCGTCGTCGTTACGATTTTCTCGATTCCACGTTTTCCCTCACGCTCGGTCGAGCACGTATTCTTTTTATCTTCCATTTCCAGAGATTTGCAATTTCCCACCAATCATCCCCTTCGTCGGATAAATAAAACGAGCTTGTAAATATCAATTTCTTTTCTTTCGGTTAATTGCTTTGCAAGAATTGTAGTTGGAATACGAGGTTGATGGATCCCATTTGTGATTTTGTTGCAAGGAAATGCCACGAATAACGGAGATATTTGGGTGTTGCCGTTTTAAGGCTCCAGTTTGTACACACACGAAACGATCCACGGGTGTCCGTAGGTGCGAATTCGTCGTTCGGCGGCAAGTATCGTGTCTCCGGGCGGGGGATGCAACGCGAGAAGGATGAAGGGAGAAAGTGGCCGGTGGAACCCTAGTGGAAAACCCGAAGCAATCACACTCGGACACGAGGGGCCGCTAATTCGATTACTAAGAGCGCTGCCCTCTTGGCCTGATCCAGTCGAACCACCCTCGCCACCCCTAGAGCACGGTGATCGTCGCTGGTCCCTGTATTCTTCCCTTCTCGCGGGACAGGTCGAGATATCGCAGCCATTAGGCGTATAAAAGCGGCCGGGGCAACCCTGCTTAATCCCCTGGCTGTTTGTCGCGTATGTTGTAACTGCATATGGCACCCTGTCGACCTCGTGAGGCAACCTTTAGGTAAAAGGATTTGGGAGCCCTTTTTTATATATACATTCATGGCCCACGTTGATTTTAACCCGTACAGGGTTATTGGGCGTAAAATGTTGTTTAATGAGGGGTGGGAACGCTTAACCCCTTAAATGGCGTGTGTCCTGAAATCTCTTAAATCTTGAGCTCCGTTAAAGTCGTTTTAACCTTTCCCTCTTCATTTTAGGTTCCTTGTAAACATCTTGGAGGTCCAACGCGTGCTCCAGAATGCCCGTCCGCGAAAAGGTTAATATCCGATTGCACTCAACAACAGGGAAAAGAATGAAGAGCCGCGCGTGGCGGTAGATCACAAGGGTTTCCTCGGGAAGCCACTTTGCCTGACTCAGCGTCGATCTCACTCGGCCGGTGTCCAGCCGCGACGATCCATTTCCGCGGGCGTCGTTCCCTCTGCGAGCAGCGTCGCGATATCCTCTCGACCCCTGGTCAGAGACCGGTGCCTCGCATGTTTACGGCACTTGGGGCGCAAGTTTTTGAGTCATGGCGACGGGCCAGGGGAATTACCGCGTTAGAGGGCCGGCTAAATGTTTCGTGATATTTATGTGCCTTCCCTGGACCAGCGCGGAACTTCTTTTGAGCTTCCCAGGTTCTGTTTTACGAGAACCGGCCGGGGTACTCCATTTTGAAGATCCCCCTTAGCTACTTGAAATTGTCCATTTGCTATTCACGGTTATGCGAAAGCCTCTTTGTACTATCCAATGGCGAGCCTTGTTAAGGAACAAGATAAAACTTTGGACCAATAAATTTATTTCCTTGGGAAGCTCTCCGGGTTAAACCGATAGGAAATCTCGTTGCAAAAGGCGGGGGTAAAAGAAACAATTTTAACCAGCGGTACCGCGCGTTAACTATCCCGAGAGCGAAAGAATTCAGCGAAACGCGAACCGATTCTCTCCGCTTCTTCAACTCCACGGTTATTTATGGTTTTACTTTGGCGCGTCCGATGGCTGCCGGCCGGGCAGATTGCTTTTTGATTTGCGCTTAATCGGGAAAAGTTATGGGCCCCCGAGAGCCACGGGCGAGAAAGAGCGACGAAGAGAGGGGAGCCTCTCTCCACCCTCGAAAGCCCTGTGTGTTAGGGGGCGTACACAACTAACGCGGCGGGCCGCATATTAAACCATAAATTCATGCGAGCTCCAGCCACAATAGACGCCGAGTTATCGCGGCGAGGAGCGTGCGTGGCGCTACTTGAACGTGTCAGTTTTTAACGCGATTTTCATTTGCCCGCTCGACGCGTCCCTCCGCTTTGGATTCAATTTCGCCCGGCGTATGTAACTTCCGCCCGTCGATTGCATTTTTTATCGACAGGCTGCGTTCCGACACCCGCGTGTCGGGTTCGAGAATAACAATATGCAAAAATTCTTCCTTTAATTCCTGTTTTGTACAACATCCCTTTTGCTAAAGTAATTGTTAGTCATTCTTTTTTTAATTCGAGCTAAGAATCCTACGAACCGTATTTTATTTAGATATGAAAGATAAATAGATCATATCACCACTGTCAAAAAAAAAACAGCCATAAGAATTGTACTAGGCGATTGAAAGTTCTTTAAGTCTCGTTACAAATGAAACATACACTGTATTAGTGTAAACAGTCTAAAGCAATTGTTAGTAACTCTCTTTTTTTAATTCAAGCAAAGAATCCTATGAACCGTATTTTATTTAGATATGAAAGATAAGTAGATCATATCACCACTGTCACAAAAAAAAAAACAGCCACAAGAATGTACCAGTTGATTAAAAGTTCTTTAAGTCTCATTACAGATGAAACATACACTGTATTAGTGTAAACAGTCTAAAGCAATTGTTAGTATAGAAGTTTTCAAAGAAAACACAACAATCTAAGAGCATTTTTTTGGTGATGCTGTTTTAAAAATTGTACACACTTATATAGATACGACACAGTCAATCAAGTGGAGCAATTGTTAGTAACTCTCTTTTTTTAATTCAAGCAAAGAATCTTATGAACCGTATTTTATAAGAATTGTACCAGTCGATTGAAAGTTCTTTAAGTCTCGTTACAAATGAAACATACATTGTATTCGTTAGCGTACAGTCTAAAGCAATTTATCATGTAAAAAATGCACAGTGTATTTGTATAGCTGTGCAGTGAATCGCGTGAGTTTTTAAAGTTGTGGCGAAGCCGTTCAACGCGGCCACTCTGGAAGTTCTAATCGACCATTTCGCCTTTCTCCAGACAGGAGAAATGACGTGGCGGAAGAAAAGCGCAAGTGGCGGACGCCGTACGGCCGTTATTGAAGTGGACTGGGCATGTGGGTAAACCTGATGGCCGGTGATCGTTACGTTGCGAACGGTCAGCTATTCCCAATCACTTGTGAGCTTTATTGGACGACGTTCTGAATTATAAACGAAGATCGAACCCTCCCGACGAATTCGTCGAAGGTCCCTGACCTTCCAACACCCGGATAGTCACTTGGAGTATCCTTTCAAACTTTTCTGACCCATGGTCTCGTTCACGACCTAACCCAGTACCTTCCATATCGTCCCCATTATACCACTTTCACCAATTGCAGCAAACATGTATGTCTTTAATATTATTCCAAGATTGTAAATGCGTCTGTTGGATAGTAACTGTGATTGTACTCTGAGCTACCTTTATTTTTAGGGAGAAGCTTACCTTTGACTTCCTCTTGACCCTGCATCAACGACCTGGAAACCTGGGACGACAGCTTGAGGTCCGTCGGCGTCTTGGAGTCGCTGGATGACTGGCTCTTCAGCTCGACGCAGCTCTCAGGACTCGGTGATCGGTCCCTGGTGATCGGCGGCGGCGAAGGGCTGCAGCCCAGCAGCTTCCTCACCGAGAGTTTCAGCTCCGGTGTCTTGAGAGGCGGTGGTGTCTCAGCCACGCTGCCAGCGTCCTTGACCTCCTTAGTTTTGGTCGCGACGGAGAGATCCTCCGGCTGGAGGCGGCCTTCCGGCGACGGCGGCTCCTCGACGCTGCCAACGTCGACGCCAGGCGCCTCCTGAGCCGATTCGCGGGTCGTCGCGCCGACATCTGAGGAACACGATCGCCTCGAATCAGTTCTCAGTCATCAACGGTAGTGTTCCCGCGTTGAGACGTTCCATTTTTTAAGCAGAAGCTTTCCTACACTCTGTGACAAAGCTACAGGCTTTGCACTTCGAGTTTAACTTTGCAATAACACCGTGAACAAAATGGAATGCTAACTTTCAGGGAGATCATTGAAAGAGGAAGCTTTTTAAATTTATTATGATTTTAGTAATGTTAAAAATTGGTTATAATTCAAACAATTGTCGAGGACGTTTCTAGACATGGCAGCAGAACCTGTTAAAGACAAAATGGCGAGCTGTTCGGTCCAAGAATTTGATTTACTGCTGTCGAGGGTAATCGAGATCGTGTGTGATTGGACCGTAGGTGACGGGGTCGTCGAAAAGAGACTCCCATTCTAAATTCATGAGATTCTGCTTCCTGGAATCTGCTATCAAATGGACGATTCGATAGGAGTAAGGAAACACCGTGTTTGACGCGTGCTTTCTCGATATTCTTGGAAACAAATAGCGGAGAGCGATTCGTGCATGAGAATCGATCGATTACCAATTCACAAGGATTCCGGAAGAAAGCGTCGGGAACGGATCTCTTGGAATCCCGTGGGGATGATCGGTGAACATTGTACGAAGTATTCGAAGCGATCCGGAACTTCCAGAAACGTTCAAACATCGTACTCGGGTACTTTGAAGAGTCGTCCGACGGATGAGCGACGATTAGGAACGATTTTTAATTATTGAGAAATGAAGGGGAATACCTGCTCCACTGATACACCAGAGATTCAAACACTTATCCTTAATCGGCGCCAGGGCACTCTTCTTTTATTCAACCATTGACACCCACTTAAGTACAAGACACACACACACAACAATCACGTACACAGAGTTCATATACGGTAGGGATGAAGAATTAATTTGTACACTCTTCAACTTCAAAAGTGAGAGTGCGAGAGCAGGTCAACCAAGGATGGAATTTGTGCGGCTCATGGCGAGTAAATAGCTTTAATCTAAGGGCTCTAATCTGAAGACAATAGTCCTCATTATCTGATAACAAATTACAGCTGGGGGAATTATGGCGATCGACTGATACAATGTGAATCTACTCCGGGCCTTCACTGGTTAGATCCCAGTAGCCCAGCATCGTGTTCTCTAGCTACTCCCAGCCAGCGATTCAAGGATTCAAAGGACAACGTGTAACGCTGGATTCTTCCATTAAATAAATTATATTTGTCTAACTATATAATGTATTTTCAGGTGCTGGGAGATGCCAGTGACACTGAGCCCTGAAGAGAAGCTTGGCGATCGACCAATACAGTCTAAATCTATCCTGAACCTTCACCGTTCGAAACCAGGTAGCCTTTCTTCCATCGTTAAGGAACTAAAATCGCACACCACTGCACAACGGTAGTAATTGCATTCCTCGACCATAACTTTTAGCTACTTGGTCATCGAGTCACCTCTCCAATTGATCGGAGAGGTCCACGTGGACGCAGAAACTGAACGATCCAGGGATTGAAAGGGTAAACGCGGAACGTACTGGGATTGTTCTCCGCCGGGTCCCCGAGCAGGTGCGCGACACTGAGGGTGATCCTCGCGGACGGCGGCCGTTCGGCGGACCTGCAGGGGTGCTCGGCGCCCGGCAGGCTCGCGTTATCGAAACTCTTGGATACGAACTGGGCGAGCTGCTCCATCCTCGCGGAGAAGACTCGCGCGACGACGCGGCTCGCGTCGACCTCGTCGTCGAGGCCGAGACCGCCGAAGGGGGTTTCACGCAGTCGGACCAAGGAGTACGCGACGCTCGTCGTCGCGACGCCACGCGTCACCCAGGACGCCATTCGGACGCCGACCAATCAGGAGTGGCGTGGGCGGTACCGAAACCGCCCACAATCTCCCCATTCCTCTCCCTCGGTGGAACCCCTCCGTGTCTCTCCCTGGATCTCCCTCCGTCTCTTCCTGTATCGCCCTTCGTCCATCCCTGTGTCTTCGTCCCACGTCTTCCGCCACCCTCCCCTCGTCCGCTCCGTTCACCGTAAACCGAGGCTCATTAGCATTCGCGCCCGTTCGCTTCTCCATCCGCGAAGCGCAAACTACCACCTACCGGCCGACGACCGGCCTACGTCCGCCAGCGTTGGCTAGATTCTCCCTCTGTGCAGCTCGCCAGTCGCGTTTACGACCCCTGCGTGCTACCCACCCACCCCTCTGGCCACCGCGTGACGCCACTCGTCTCTCGTTCGTCCTCTTTGATCCGCTGGACCGTTTCCGTCCTTCCCTGTTGCGGAGCGTTAGGTGCGAAAACGCTCCAGCCGATCAGGGCCGCCGTTCACGCTATTTACACCCGGGAATACTTATCGCGCGGTGATTGATAATCGATTTAAAATGAATTTCGATGGTTGAACGGCGTCGAGGTCCGAACGAGGACGTTACCGTTCGTTTTAAAATCCAGGTCTCGTCTCTGATCGTGTCTCTGTTAAATGGTGGACTGAAAAAAAAGCTCGCTATTGCAAGTCGTTCGTGTCAAAATGATGTTATTCGAGTACTCTTCCTCGATGATAGGAGGGTAATTAGAATGCTGATTTCTATATGTACGCGCTGATTAAGAGCTGTTAATATGTATTACTTAACCACTTACGGGTGGTCGAGCCCGTTGTCCATCGAAATGGCCGTGTAACGGGGCTTTCGTTGTGTCCCGAGCGGATTGCGACCCTGGTACGCGGCGTGTCCCGTGTTTGTCGCTACCAAACTCGGCAATATTTAAATGGGATTGCGTTCGGGAATGTAATTGCTCCGGCAAACACGCTTCCGCGCTACCGGCCGGCGGAGCGCCGGGATGGATACGGACAGGAGGGAATCAGGGATGCAGACGCGTAAACGAAAGGGGACGCAGGGGATGTGGACGGACGAAAACTACCTCGACGGTCGCGAAAAGATGGAGACATAGAGGAAAAATTACGGTAGAAGATATTTCTGTCACGGTTGTTCCTGCGAGTACCTCAACGTAGGTACCTGTTAGAGACAACGTGATCCATGAGCGAGGACAACGTGGTCGAGAAATTTCACGAAAGCTTGATCAAATGTCTGACGCAATACGGTTCGCAATTCCTTCCAGGGCTGACCTTTCTTTATCTCATCTGTACCCCCTGTTACATTGAGAATAGAACTAGATTCATCCTCCTGTAACTTCACCTTATTGAAATGTTGGCAGAGGAATAAGTTGAATTGTAGAACCAGGTAAATTATTTTAATATTTTTATGGAATATACTTCAAAGAATATTATATACAAAACCCTAAATTTATGAAATATGTTAACAAACAAAAACATTATACTTCTTTAGATATTTGAAATTAACTTGTGACCGCCTTTTCGAATACCTCAGGGTAGAGCGTTAGAGGCGTTACACGGTACCAAAGAAGATGAATGGAGGGACGGTTGGAAAGAAACATCGAGACGGAATTCGAGCAGGAGGATAGCGGATCGAGGGAAAGAAGACGCGAATTTGCGATAGAAATGGATCCAGACGCGGAGGAGACGCCGAGGAAGGCAGATTGAACGACGCTTGCGCGCGATAGGTCGAAAGAGACCGCACGAGGAGAGGTGAACGAAGAACGAACGGTGGGACCGGGTGGTAGCCAGAGACGGGTAGAGAATTAATTGAGGAAACAAAGATAACCAAGCCGGAGGGACAGAGCCAGAGATGAAAGGGAAACAGAGGGAGGAAACGTGGGGGGGAACCACATCGAGCATCGAAACGGTAGGGGAACGGTCTATAACGCAGGCAGACGGAGCCAATCAGGGCGCAATGCGATTACCTTAACGAGAAATCCGATTACTTATTCATTCGCCTAACTCGAAATCAGTTTAACTAATCGTTTAATTCGGTAGTGCCCCACCGAGCGTTCCGAGGCAGACACGGGCCGTGTCTATCTGTGGATGTACGCTGGGTGTGGTGGCCGTGGGATGGATCCCCAAACCCCGGTGGATAGGCGCGAGAGCGCGCGCGCATCCCGACCGCCAGTTTCTACACGTGCTAGAGCCCCCGTGGCGGGTAGCGAGGGCGAGAGGCTACCGCGGAGATACTCGGTGGGGTAGCAGCCGTAGGAGAGAGGCCTCATTCAATTCAATTACGTAATGAATTGTCGTGTCTTGAGTAAACACCCTTCCTCACCGCGACTCGCCGCCAGAAAATCTGGAGTAGGGAGATACCCAGCTGCCACGGAGGGGATGTCGCTGCGTAGGAGACGCGTGTCTACAGTCTTGTTCAGGTAAAGTGGTTCCGGTTGCCCAAGAATAATTTCCTAGATGGACGGACCCACAGTTTCTTCTCAAAATTTAGGGGTCGCGTACCTTTTGCGATCAGCATAGTACTCTGTAGTAATCGGTACAGTAGTGTTTTGATTAAAACTTTTTCCTTTCAGGTAAAATGACTCGACTTGCAAAGACTAGAGAAACTGGAAGTTCGAGTAGGAAAGTTCATGTTTGAGTACATCTATTGGAAGGGCTGCAGAGAGAGTAACGTAAGTGGATTGTTAAGTATCTTATTAGTGTTTCAAATATCAAGGTATAATTCTGAATTATTTGTACCAAGGATGAGAGGATACACCGCTAGGTCTTGCTCCCACCCTGGAATATCCAAGCAGGTGCTAGATATGGGAAACGCTGTATGAGGACGGCAGTTTAGGTGAGCCGAATCAATCTGCCTCGGCTCTCAAACGCTTCGAAATCTCTCATTGCGTCTACTTGAAGCCTCCGCAGCTTCTCTCCTTGGTAACCCCCTTGTCTCACTCTCGCTCGCCTCACCCTCTGTTCCCCGTCGTCGCGTAAGCGTGCACCGGCAGGTGAACGCGCTTAATATTGACTGCATCGACGTTTCCGGCTTCCTCTCATCTCGTTTGCAGAGGTAGTATCAGTAATTCCGGTGTTCCCCCGGAATTAACAGAGCCGGTACGGTAGGGTTACTGCGGGGTTTGCACAGGCACCGGAAACGGTCGACGATCAAAGGACACCGGATCGGCATTAGCGGCAATTCCGTGCAAATTCCTCCGTTCCGGAGCAACAATGACGAAATTTCTATACCTTCCATCGAATGCACAAAATTATTCCGCCACTCGATTTATCCGCCATCTTCGAAACCACTAGTTGTACCAAAAAATTATTGCCACGTGATACACGATCATCGAGAACGATGCTTCTTTGTTTTACTTTGGTTTCGAAAACGTAAATTTCTGGTGTAACCTCGCGCCCAAAAGGCGACGGAATGATCATCCATCTGTAAAATTAAACCTCGTCATGGCGTGTTTCCGGCCCACGTTTCAAATTCCCGGTCTCATCACGTCAAAGGCATCCTTTCCTCTGATCAACAGAAAAGTATAATGAAACGAATGTCATTGTTCGACAGCGAAGTATAGGTTACGTAATTGGTCGCTGAAACGAGTAATTGTCCCCCAGGAAAATGGTACTAATACACTGTGCGTCAGGACCTTCTGGTTCTTCAAGTCGAAACAGAAATCCATCGAAAACGTTAGCGGCTCGTCGAAGTGTCCGAGAAAAAAATCGAAAAATAAGGTGCAGGGATCGACGGAGAGCAAAGGAAAAGTTTGTAACTGCGTGGAAGAGAAGCCAGCCGAGATTAAGTTGACCTGGTGGGAAGAAATATTTGGGCCAGATCCCAAGAGATTCTGGCCAGATCCTTGCATTTGTCGACTGGCTGTTAGGCAAAGGCGGAAAATACGCAAACAGGATTCGAGATTGTTGGATCCACGGTACCAGGAAACCGCCGGCGACGTGTTTCTTTACACTGAGCAGCTGAAACGGCACAGTCGGCCATGTTTGGAACCGCAACCGAAACCACCGCCGGCGTTCAAGGTACCCAAGGCTGTGCTGTATAGAATGATGAACGATAGTGATGAAAGGGTGAGACGTAATTTTAAAACACACGAAAGATATCGTGGGATATACGGTGGACGAAATTTCTATAAATAAATATATATTAATTATAGATATTACTCTCTTCTATAGAAATCATTTAGCGACATCGTTAAGATCCATCAGTCTGACACAAATCTTAAGAATTCGTTTGATACGGAACGATACAGAATTCCATACGAGGAAATGAGGCCGTCGACAACGAGAAAAAGAAGAATGTTTAATTGCCGCGAAGGAATTCGATCGGAAGATATTGTTAAGCCAATCAGCGCGGAACTGAATAGTTTCGGAGTACCTCTCATTGTTCAGCAATCTAATATACAGCAAAGGATAGAAAGCAGTAATGATAAATGTTCTAAAAAAATCGAAAAAGCTCCAGTTACAAAAAACAACATTTTGAAAGAAATTTCACAGAAGCGTTCCAGAATAGAACAACTTAAAATTGAAATACAACAAAAAGATACATCGAGATGCATCGCCTTGACCGATTTCGAAGGAACCAAAATGATCCGTTCGTGAACAAAACGAAATTCGCCATGACGAAATAAATATATAAAATTTTTGTTAAAAATCCAAACAGGCAAACGAGAACCTGAATTTCTCTAACGTATAGTCCAAGTTATGTTCAAAAAAATTGTATTCTCGTTTAGAAATTAGTCGAAATTTAGGAATAAACGTTTTACCAGTCGTTGAAGTAAGTTTCAGCGTTTTAGTCTAGAAAATGTTTAATAAAGAACGCGTAGTATCTGTAATGTAGTATGCCAATCTATTATTTATTGGCTATTGTTTATCGTATGTTATCGTTCGAACGTTTTCGTGTGCCTGCGTTCGTTCAAAAAGCGCACGGAACGGGGGACGGGTGGCGACACCTGGCCGCTTGAAGCGTACTCGTGTTGCGATATATTAAGCGACCTGTGTTCTACAAAAGGTTTCCTTCAATGGCGGCGTTGTTGCTGTGTGTGGACCCCTACAGAGCTGGCTACGGGGCAGTCAAATGTCTCGTAAAGGAACTCTCTCCGCTTCCAAGTCAAAACAAATCCCGCGAATCTTTCGTAATCGACGCGGTTTGTGTTCGGTTCGCGGTTGGACGCACGGTGAGGTCGGCGTTGTGGGTGGATCAGTGGTAGGTTACACCGAATCGAGTCTGCTTCCCGTTTCGCCGGACGAGGACAAAAGAGAGGAAACAAATAAAAAAGGAAAACAGAAAGCGTCGAGGAACGACGACGGTACGACGATATACTGTCCGGAGAGAGTCTGGATCGAGTGTAGCCACGGTATCGCGAACGAGACGAGTGTTGATGCGATCGGCAAGACCGCCGACGTCGAGACCGTAGCTGACATCGAGAAATGGTTAAAAACGCGGACGGAATCCGTGTCGAGCATGGACCTCGACGCGATCAAGTCGGGTGTCGAGGAGGGCGTCGACCGGTACCTGGGCGAGGAACTCCAGCACGCTTTTCTGGAAAAGGACCCTGACGGGCTGTCGATCGACATCGATCTGTCCGATAAGAAACTTAACCTAGGTTATGATCCCCTGTTGCAAGAGCTGCAAAGCGAAAAGCTGCTCGACGCCTGCGAGAAGGATGGTTTCATATTGCCGGAGTTCCAGTTGGATCATTTGGATCCGTTGGCGTTGTCTCCGGACGACATGATGGTCGCCGGCGAGATTTTGCCATCGACCAGTGCTCATCCCGCTCTGAGTGTCCCTAATCGTGTCGTCGAGGAGATGTGCCCGGAGCCGGAACAAGACTCTCTGATGGGAAAGACCATGATCGCGGAAGATCAAGAGCAGCGCAGCAAATCTACGGGGATCGTTGTTGACGTTTTGCACGACGCGGAAAACGTAAACAAAGGAGACGTTGACGTACAGTCGCGAAAGGACAGTTGCTCGGCCGACGGTGCAACGAATCTCTATATGCAGGATCTCGATCCGGATAATGTGATACATCAGCTGCCAAACGCCAGGTTGGTGGAAGCCGATTCCGAGAATATTATAATCGAACAGTTGAAGACTAAGGCCAAAGTGAAATTGGAGCCACGAATCATTAAGAAACGTAGAAAAATACCAGAAACGACGGAGAAGAAATTGAAAAACGAGATCACGATATCCGGAGAAAACTTTATAGATACTGAGGACGGGGTGATGGCAGTCGTAGCCATATCTACGGACAAAATCTCAAACATGACGCAAATTGTTATAAATACTGGCACGGAGGAACAAATATATCAGGGAAAGACTTCGGAGCTCATAGAAGCTACGGGAAACTTTCCAAGGTTACCAAAAATAGATACTTCGACGGCGTGGAACAGCACAATAGAACAGAACGTGGAGAATACTATTAATCACGAAATGGTGATATCGAATGCTTTAGAGGAATTAGGCATCACGGACGATAACTTGCAACCAGTATTGATTAACGAACATGGGAAAGTATGGGACTGTCCGCGCGAAGATTGTAGTAGACAATTTAGCAAGCTTTACGCTTTGAAAGGCCATTTACTAGCTCACTATGGCGTGAGACCATTTAAGGTAAATAAATTTTATAAAGGGTAAGTTGCCAAAACTTGCGACTTAAAATACTTCCGTCGCTTTTAGCCATAGGAGAAAATATCTATGGAGAAACATATCTGTTTTAAAAGGGGAAAATATTGTGATTTTTTTTAAATATATCAATGTGTTTTTATTGCTTTAATATTATAGCCGATAGAGAGACAAATTCAAACGTGCATAACACGTTGACCTTCTAACGATCGTGGTTTATTCGCTGGTAGGAATAGTACAGAATGCATTAAAAGTAGGAACTGTTATTGTCTAAACAGTTTTGTGACTTGTTTCTTAAAGATCGATGTATATTATTTAGAATCTTGAGGGTGATATTACTACATTTTAATACCTTGACGCATACTTTCAACTGTCGTCGTCGCAATAGAATAAACCTTATTTTTTAATGTTCCCTTAGAAAGAAATCGAGCGGGTTCAAATCGGGCGAACGTGCTGGCCATTGAACGCTTCCACCTTGTCAAATCCAGCGGACGGGGAAGTTCTCTCCAATACTTATCTCGATATTCTCGCGTATATGAGCAGGGCAACCATCACGCTGATACCACAAATTTATACGATTTTGAAGGGGTATGTCTTCTAGTAAGGCTGGCAGAATTTCTCCCAAAATTGTGCGTATCTTTGTCCCATCGACGTTCTGTTTATAAAAGTATAATTCTGTTATCGTACGGTGCATATTGTCGCACCAAAACATTAAGACTTCGCGTCTTAGATGTTCTACTTCGTAATGTCAGTGTGGGTTATCGACGAGCAAACAAATGGGAACGTTTCTTAAGTTTACCGAACCACGGCTAACTTCCATTGGCAAAAACTCTTTCAATTTTGGAAGTCGTTTCCATGTAATTCTTCGTGCGAGAAAGAAACGAAATCCATGAATTCAATGTCGACGTAGATTTCGTGTTACGCTGTCAGGCGACGTTGCATATACTAGTGTACGGGATTAATAGCTGTTACAAACTAAAACGTATTTTTTTGTTCATGTTTTTTTCATTTTTTTCTCTCTACGCTTCCAGTTTCTACAAACATGTTGTAGATGGTTGATGATTGAGCCTGTACTGCATTTGTCTATGTTCTCAGTAGATGATTACAAGGTCACATCTTTCATTAAACTGAACACAACATTGTGAAACTGCAATTGAAATGATACTGATACGAAACAAATGAGTAAGTATAATCGTAAGCTGTTTGAAAAGAAAAGATATCCTTCGACGATGAATCGATGTTTGTATTATTAAAATTCTAATAGAGTATGGTAAGCACGCATATCGTAAATTATGATCTTATACATTATCCCACTAAAAGAAAAAAAACGTTAATATTAAAATCTCAGAAAATATGGTCTTAAGAAAAAATCACAATATTTTTGTCCATAGGCATTTTCCCATACTGTTAAAATCGATGTAGATATTTTAGGTTTCGAGTTCTGGCTCATTCTGTATACTTCTGCAAGCTTTCGAATAAACGAAACGTAAATTCGTTTACTTTTGCATTTCAGTGCGACTTCGAAGGATGCGCCTGGGCCTTTTATTCGGAATTTAAGCTCAAACGGCATAAAGAGACGCATTTGAAACGCAAAGACTATGTTTGCGAGGTGCAGGGTTGTAATCGTCGGTTCACCACGATTTACAATCTGTGGAGCCACAGAAAGTTACACACACGTCCCAAAAGGATAGTGTGCCAAGTTCCAGACTGCCCGGAGAAGTTCCAGACGAAGAGGGCCCTGGAACTGCACATGAAATCGCACGACCAGAGCCACGCTCCGTACGTTTGCAAACACGAGGGGTGCGGGAAGAGGTACTACAGCAGCAACGCGTTGACGTCTCATCAAAGATGCCATAGTTATAAGGAAGTGGATGTAAAGTGTTCGTGGCCAGACTGTGGTAAAGTATTCGACAAGCCGTGCAGGCTGAAAGCTCACATACGCTCGCACACTGGCTCCAAGCCTTATCCTTGTACATTTCAAGGCTGTCAGTGGGCGTTCTCGTCGTCTAGCAAATTGAAGAGGCACCAGAAGAAGCACACCAACGAACGTAAATTCGTGTGCGACGTTCCCTCCTGCGGCAAGGCGTTCATGAGATCCGAGCATCTCAGGGAGCACAGGTTAACGCATAAAGAAGGCAGATACTTTCAGTGTTTTATATGCAACGCGAAGTTCTCGGCGAAAAGCAGTTTGTACGTTCACATAAAGAAGCATCAGAACAAAGAGGACGCGGAGACGGACCCGTGCGACGTCGTTAACGAACAGAAACGCGGCAAACTAAAAGAGACGCATTGTTCCAGGGTAAGTCCGGTCGTGAAGTCGAAGAGAACCTCGATAGATCTGAATATTGATACCGCGTGCATGGACTCGACGGCAACAGCGACGCTCGAACAGACGAGTACAAATCTCGGAAATGATAATGAAAATCAAACCAACGTCGACGCAGTGCCTCCGCAGGATAAACTTAAAACTTTGTACCACTGTCCGGTCGAGACCTGTACGCGTTCGTACACTACAAAAGCCACGTTAAGGGCGCATATGTTAAAAGTGCACGGCACGCCCGTCGAGGACTGTGATAAATCGTCGAAAAGAGTACCCGGTAGTCCGGTTTACAACATGGATTACATTTTGTACACCACACCCTCGGTGTCTGAGCCCACGGAACAAATGATAATGGTAGCGCCGTGCGACGCTGTTATTCTCAGCGCCTCCTCGGAAACAGATCGCTCTCTACCCGAACCGGAACCACCACCTCTTGCCAATATACTGAAAAACTCGGAAACCTCGTCGCAAGTTATGATGCACCGTCAAATATCCAATCAACACGCGCGAAAAGATCAGGGATCGGCGAGGACTGACTTGACGTTCACGGACGTATGGAAATTAAAGGCGAACGGTGCTGTGTTAGATTCTCTTGTTGGGGCGTCGGACGTTGTGTTAGGTACAAGTGATTTAGAAGAAGGTTTATTGCTCACAGAGGAATTGCCTTCTATGTATTATCAGGACGACGTGGTAGGGACGGAGTATCAGGTACTGTTGCTCGATTCAGTACCGTCCGAAAGTACTATAAATCTGCGGGGTCTTGAATAGTAAACGACTGTACTTGGATGTGGGCGAAAATTGATCATTGTTATTTTTTAATATAGGATAAGTTTTAATATGGTCTGTGATCGAAGGCTCGTTTTAGCCTTACATTCATTCATATTGCAGTCCATAATTGCTTCAAATCGTTATTTTATTAATAAATCGTTGCTATTTTTCCAGAATGTTCGTCCATTGTTCTTCCATTATATATAACACTCCTGAAACCTTATACTCGTATAAGGATTTTATATAGAATATATATGTGTGTGTACAGTAACTAATTATGTATACAAAAAATTAATACACTTTTTGTATGATATAAATAGTTTTACATATGCTGCACATTCATATAAGATGAATTTTCGCTTAGTGCCGGGATAGTTCGATTTCAACACTTAATAAAACTGTTGTCTGTACTTGGGAAAAAAAAAAGAAAATTCATTTCAGAATGTGTTTCGTACATTGATATCGAATGCAATGGTAAAACACAATGGACTAAAATTAATTACTATCTATAAACCGTGTACACGTGCATACGTCTGGCAAATTTGCTACGCATCATTTTCTATTTTCAACAGATATTCGTATCGATTTCTAGAATTTATCCATGCGTCTTTCCGTATTTACACGTGTTTTGCTAAATTTGATAGTTTAATAATTTCCTAACACAACGGCATAGTTACTTTTTTTCTTATTACAAATATTTTTGTATTAAAAAAATTATATCTTTGCCATCTAATACGTTGTACTTTACATTCATTTTTTTTTTTTTTTATAACATCTAAATTATCAATGAAACAGTATCGTTGGAGCACGTATACGCACCGTTATAAGTTTATTCGCGCGTGGCTTGTTATACCATGCACGGTAAAGGAACCATTATATGAAAATTAGTTGGGTTATTATTAGGATAAACTTCATTAACACTTTCTACCAAAGGCGCCAAGAAACAACTCTTGGCTGAAACTAGGTATGCATAAAAGCGTGGTAGAAATATGTTGAATGAGTATAAAATTGAAAATCCCCTTCTATTCTCTCGATTAGGCCCTATTCGCGATCGTTTAATCATAGAAAATTGAACGCTATCTAAGAAAATACGCTATTAATACTTAGAGCTACGATTTAGAGCGATACAAACGATAATTTGCTTCGGAACTGTACATCGTCGTAGTAGATAGTCTAGAATTTCTATACAATGTCGGCCCGTTTTTCCGAAACAGAATTCTGTGTCTCGTCGAGCGATTTAATGCCGATTTTAAGGTAGACTCGATGTTTGGTATGTTCTAGAAGGCATACTACGGAATATAACACGGTTATAAATAGGGTCTCGCCGATGCACACTAACGTAGTTTGCACTGGTTTCTTCCAGTCAAGGATCTTATAAATATAATGGTAACCGTTCTTGTCTAAACCACCGGCCAAATAATATATTACCGAGAATACGATGAAACCGAACATTATAGTAAAACACCACCAAATGTTTCTCAATCTGAACGGTATATTCGTTACGCAGAAATCAATTACCATTAGAATACTGTTACATACATGAAGCATGATATTTAGGGGATCCAAACGATGGATTTTGGGATCGTAAATGCTGCACCAATAAGTGATCGTAACGCCGAGCGCGATATTCGTAGTCACTACGTAAAGGAACCAATAAGCTTTCTCCGTTAATCCTGACGTTAACGTAGATGGATTGAAGTCTGGTATCTTTTGCAGTTTCCATCTTCTCGATACAAGAAGACCGCCGAGAAGGGCCTGAGACAGGCCCATCACCAAGTCCCAGTTGGTCAAGTAGATCGGCCATGTCTCGTACGCGCCCATGGGATTGTAGCTACCGAACTCGAAGATCGAACACACGATGATGCAGGCCCAGGCCATGAAAATTAGCCAACGGTAGAGCAGGTACCAGGTGGCTACGTGCTTCTGGCATTTCGGCTCGGAAAACAGTCGTGGGTGCGGCGGTTCGTCCTTTTTGTAAAACCATTTCCTCGCCACCTCTTGGCACCAGAGTTTGTTCACCATCGCTCGACGACCTGCAATTTAAAATCGTAACCGTTAACGATGTTCGATGTCGATAAAAAAGAAACTGTTGTACCTGGTGTATCAGCTGCACCGTAACGCGTCGTTCGAATACTTTTTTAATAGAGCTTCGCAAGTTTCTGACACGAACAGCCTTCAAACAATTACCGATCATATTAAACTGATCATCGCGACATTTCCCTCTACAGAGTAATCTAACATAATAATACGTCGAGCGCGTCTACTATCTTAATAAGGAACAATTATCCGCCTAATTACGGATATTTGAATTTCCTGTTACGCATGTTAAGGAGACACGTATGGTCATCGTTTCCGGTACGCTTCCCGCTCAACATATTTTGGATAGTTCAAAATCGACTACGGTCACGTAAGTACCACGGATCGATCGTATAATTCTCGTGGGAAAGGAAATTGTTCGAATTTACAGAATAACGAGGTAAATGTGTATTTAAATAGTTCGATGACAGGCGTGACGTCGATGGAAAATAACGATACGTTCGGCGGGTAATTTCGAAGAAACAGCTTGCTACGGTATCACTTACATGACGAATATTGTACGAGTAGGAAAAGAAGTCGTTTTAGAATCGACAGGCTCCGATACAACGTCGACGCCATCTCGTACGTGAGAATGTTTGCCAGAAGCCAGATAAGTGAAATAATACCGTCACCCTAGAAGCGGAAACCTAACCTCTACGGTGTCATTATTTCGCTGCCGTGGATGCAGCCATATTGATTCCAGTCAAACGGTTACGCGTCGAGCGCGAAGAACAGCGTTCGTTCAATTATTCTGTCCGTTGGTTTTGGTTTACGAATGAACAGGAAATCAACAGAATGATTCAAAGTTCATCAGAAAACTTACAGTTTTTAGGAATCCCCAAATATGTATTCGAAGATCGAACGATACCGATCGAGGCATTAGAACGTTATAAACTAAATGCAATCACGTTTTCACCTAAGTGCAGGTGCAATAGTTACGGTTTACTTTAAACTTTATCAAATTTGCGATAAGATACCAATGCCGGAAATGCATAGAACACGAAAGGGTAATCGTATCAGTTCAATAATCTCGTTTTTCACGTAAGCTTATCTACGAACGAAGATTTCTAGGAATTAATCTTCTTAGTAATTATCAATATTTTCTTAATTACAGTACAGTTTTACGAACACAACTAACGAGCAATTTGTATAACAGGATTCAGAGTACACCGGTTATCCCCGCTTTTAACTTTTCGTTGATACGTCTGGAGTTTCAGACGAGTAGAATTATAACGATACACGGAGTGTTTGAAAACGATGGAGCAAGCGGAAGGAAATCGAAATACTCTGTTGTATGTGTTTACGATAACGATTAAACGTGTGTGCAAGTGCAACGCACTGTTTGTAGAGTGTAACAGTTGTAATGAAAAGGAGAGGAATGGCTTACGCCATGTACTCGAGGCATGATTGAAACTTATCGAGGTGGAACGGCGGTGTGAAATCTTTAATCGCATTCTATGCACACCGGCGCAGATGGAGGTTAGTTTGAACTAATTAACCTTGTTGGCCCGGGGCGCCGAGGTTCGCACGGACAGCGCTGCGGGCTCACGCATCGCGCATAGAGATCGTGACAGTGCGGTCAATCGGCCAATACCAATTACCCGTTAATTTATTACAATTTTTCGTCATTACCGATTTGCTCTCGTGAGCACAGATAGCGGACACCGCCCAACCCCGTTCCTCCATAGGAACAAATATACACACTTGTCCGAAGCTGCATTTTTTTTCACGCGCCAATTGTTTCCAGTTTGAAAATAAATGGCGATACCGGAGAACGGCGTAGGAGCATAGTATTACACACTCTAATTCGATAATAGGTAAACTGTACGACGATGAATCGATAATTATCCGCGATAACGCGATGCTTGAAAAAACCAACGCAAAGAACAACGGAGAAGAATAGAGAACTTAAAAAACGACACATTAATACGTTTCTTATCAACGGTACACGCGATTGGCATAATTTATAATTGTATACATTAACTCCGATACTAAAAACAATTTATATTATTGCACGATAATTTATTCGACGATATAATCAAGTTACACGGATCTACGGCGAGTGAATCGTTAAAAAAAAAAATCGAAAATGTACCGCGTGATTTTGCAATTTTTAGTTTTTTTTTTAATTTGAGAGTTGTAAACACACCACACACCGTATCGTTGTTAGGAAAAGTATAGGAGCTTGGCTCGAGACGTCGAGGGCTGCGATGCGATCAATATGTCCGTCGATCCCTTCTCGATCCCGTCTGGCCCCACTGGTAACAGATGCACCGCGATCTGTCTGCACCATAGCACGCCTGATCCAATACTGATCAGTCTTCTGGTGAAAACCCTATGCCATGACTGAAATCAATTCGATCTGTGCATTATCCTATCCCTCCCTCCGCCCTTTCCTTGACTATCCATATAAACAGCCCCCTCCCGAACAACACGGAGATCAGTGCACTTTTACGGAACGCGCCACGTTTGTCGAACCCAACGGTCGAAACGACTTTATAATTTTTATTATACCGTTCGTAGCGGATTTTGTAATCTCCACAATTATTTAGTCGAACTTTGACATCGATTGATTTATGTATAGGAAAATATTTCGTTGCAGTTTTACAGAATTGATCGACGAGGAATCCCTAAAACGAAACGCGACCTTTCGATGCAAAATGGTTCCCCACCCCTGGCCTAGGTCAGGACACAGAGCGTCCATCGGTTGTACGTGTGTGCATACCGATCTTTCTTTTTCTGCCGCGCGCAAAAAGAACAGAAGGTCGCTTTTTGTGTGCCATGGCGTGACGCCGTTGGACCTGCGGAACATTTCTACGTAACAACGTGTAACTGTACCAGGTGGTGAAGAAGTTTAACTGCCGAAATGCTCTTACAGAAAGCCACGCCGGGAGTCCATTTTAAATAATGCCTAACGCAAACCTAATCGTAACCCTCAACGAGAGGTAAATGATCCTATTTATTTTCTCAACTGTTCTTCCTATATGTCCAATTCCAAAAATGTTAATCCTCCTTTCTCAGAATGTTGCTGTTGTGTTATTGAAAAGGGATCCGCTGTGTGAAGATAAGGTATATTATTGACTTAAAAGCTCGAGGAGCTTGCACTTTGAAAAAATGATCTTCCTATTAAGAAAATGTCCCAAAATATTTTGTCACCAGGCTCTCAAGATTTTCAACGATGAACCAACGGTATACAAGCACCCACAAACACGCCACACAATTTTTAACTCGAGAAACGTCCATCAGCCTTTTTACTGGGCATCGAACTTCCCAAAACACTTTACCTAGATTTTCGATGGAATACTGGCCACACAAAACTCGAATTTATCAAGAGACGTCGATCACCCTAAATATTTTGACGCGTGATTTTCAAGATTTTCCTTCCACCGCTGTTCAACGACCAATTTAATTCTCGTATGCTTACGTATAAGCATACACCACGACGGGCACAACGTATCGCGAAACTTTGAATTATTCAAATCCGTTTACCAGTTAGGAGACTTCGAGTGTGTCAAAAGCAGCGATACCGACGATGGGAAATGCGTGTTGGCAGACAATGTAAATCTTGTATACATCGACGATAAGCCAACGATATAATCGGAGGAAAAAAAAAAAGTGTCCGCTAACCATGGACACAACACGTCACGCAACTTTGAACCGAGGAACATCCGTCATCCTGTTCTTCTACCAGACATCGAGCTTCCCGAAACATTCCGACGGCCAGGATTCCTCGGGATTAATTGTCTCGACACTGTTCGACGTAGCACAAAACGGAGGACAAGCACGTGCGGCGGATACTCAGGAGGATCCCCTCGCGGCTCGAAGTCCGAGCGAAGCCGAGCACGAGGCGGCTCTGCGCGTCGCGGGAAGCGAATTTAAAGGAGAAAAAAAAATGGAGATTAACGATCGCAAGACACACCGCATGGTGAGGTGGTGGCCGCCGTGAACCGCAGATGATCCTTGATCCGGCCGTCGATGCAAGAGATCTTCTCTGACAAGCCGCGAACTTCGATTTCCTCGTAATCGGGCGGCATTTCGAGCCCGGCTCGAAGAAGAATTATCCTGTTCGACGTGAGCCTGGCCCGTGACTGCCCGGCAACACCGGCTCCGCGTGCTTCGAATCAATATCAATCCCTGTGCACCAGCTGGTTCCCCACCGTTTTCTACGCCACTGTCCGCACGCGAAACACATTTTCTACACGTTCTGATAATGAAATTGAAATCACCTCCTTCGACGTTCAAACGGCTCGATTAGCAGAAAGAAAATGAATACGGCGGCTCAAATCGTCCATCGTGGTTAAGTATACAGAATGTTCGACCAGGCCTGGGAAAATTTTAATGGGAGATTCTGGAGGCCAAAATAAGACGAAAATCAAGAATATCAATTTCTTGACTAAGCCTTCGTTAAAAAATTGTAGAAACTTTTCCAGCCACACAGTATATTTTCGGTAAAGAATTTTTTTCTCGAGAATAGTTAGGATTTCGAGGGTATGTCTATTCACCAAAAATTATTGTAATTGACCCGTGCAACCAAAAAGAATTTTTCCAGAACGATTTGAAATTTTTTAATTTCATCGAAAAATTTCACACATTCTCGAATTTTTTTCTCGAAACTGCGTAGGATTTCGGGGGTACATCTATTCACCAAAAATGATTGTAATTGACCCCTGCATTTAAATAGAATTTTTTCAGAACGATTTGAAATTTCTAGCGCAATGTATGCAATTTTACTTCCTGTATTTTCGCGTTATCTTTCTAAAAATAGTATGAGACCACTTTTCTAATTGCTGATAGTGGCTATTTATTTTACACAGTTGTAAACAGTGTCGTTCGCTATTCTACTGTCTAGTTGTAACGTCAAAGTCTATAATAACGCGTTAGAGTACTGTCGTCGACACGAACGAACATTATTGCACAATAGTTCGCTCGAAGACAAAGGCTCGGTACAGTGAGCGAATAAAAGATCCGATTCGCAGCGCGTTAATGAATGGAGCAACGCGTGATGTTATTATATTAGTCAATGGGGGCTTGATGCTGAATTCTGAGAGCGCGTAGGTGACCACGTGCGTGAACAAAAATGTTCGAAACGGTGGCGTGAGTCTATGCGATTATCTTGCAATGGAATTAACAAACCCTCCATGGGCGATAGACTTAACTGGTCCGCAGTCGGTACGAACCTTATCGTCTCCTTTTATTAATTGATTTTCGTATAGGGTTTCGCGGTGGAGATGCCAGTCGACACCTTCGCAACCCTCGCGTAAAACTAACCGTGTCCACGGAAAAATAAAGGGAATACGTGTACCTGCGTACAGCACGTATCGTATTTAACGCGTTTGCTACCAAATCGAAAAAGTATTTTCACTTTTCCTGATTAACCGCGAGAATACATTTTGTTATAAATGACATTAAATTTTGCTGGCATGGTATTTCTGTTATTTACATTGTATAGTATACAGGGTGTTCGGCCACCCCTGGGAAATATTTTAGTGGAAAAATCAAGAATTAAGAATAAAAATATTAAATTAAAAAATTTCAAATCGTTCTAAAAAAAATTATTTTCAGTCGCGGGGGCCGATTGCAATCACTTTTGGTCGATACACATACCTCCGAAATCCTAACCATTCTCGAGAAAAAAATTCGAGAAGGTACGAATTTTTTCGACAAAATTAAAAAATTTCGAATCGTTCTAAAAAAATTATTTTCAGTTGCGGGGACCGATTGCAATCATTTTTGGTGAATAGACATACCCCCGAAATCCTAACCATTCTCGAGGAAAAAATTCAAATAGGTGGACAATTTGGTGTTCGACAGCCGGAACTTTGAACGTTAATAACTTTCTAACGAAACCTCGATCAACAAATTGGTATTCTTGATTTTCGTCTTATTTTGTCGTCTAGAATCTCCCATTAAAATTTTAACCACCCTGTATATGAAATAAATTTATATAATTTGTTTCATTTTGTCCATCTTAGATCTATGGAATTAGCCACTGTGCGGCGTCTCTTTGAAGTGTCGAGTCTGTCGAGTTTCGACCACTTCCTCCTATTGTAACGATTCTCTTTCTCCATCGAGTTCGTCGGCTCGGTTGAGCAAAAGATACGACACTTTGCACGAGAAACTTTCGCCACTGGGGCCCAAGTTGTAGGAAAGTTAATCGTTTTTTATTTGTAAAATTACTTGCAAAATGATTGTAAATGGTTCGAAACCCATCGATCGTCGCGAGACAAGCCTGGTGGCTCCTTTAGCCGAGGACCAGAATTTTATAAATACACGGGACCACGCGGAAGAGACGATGCGCCGGTGGACCGAGTTTCGTGGTTCGTCGGTTTACGAGACGGCGCGCCGTTCGTGTACCAAAAATAATCGGGACATCTAGCCGGTCTCTAGCAAGGAGGCTTGGAAACGCTAAGGTAAACGTGGACGTGCTGCCGGTTTCTGCTCGTGGACAGGATGAGGTGATGCACCGAGGCTCGCCCTAGAGCTTATCCGCGGCTTGGCGACAAATACGTGATTCTTGATTACGAAAAAAATGCAGACGGCGATCGGTTGCAGTTGGTTAGTTCTCGTCGTCTGTCTTCACAGCGCCGGCTGCCTCGTCAGAGACACACGCGTGTGAGTAAACGTTGTCGTTTTTAAAGCCTATTAATAATTGGCGTTGTCGTTAACGGGGAATAGAAATTACTCGTGAGTAAGTTTAAGCTGATTACGGCGCACGATTCGACAAACGCGCATCTCGAAATATTATACGCAGGATATAACCGTCTGACAACGTATTAGATATTTACCGGCCAAGATCATGTTTCGCACGTCGAGTACGAAACACGATATTCTTGTCGAATATCTCAGCCGACTATCCGGTATCCGCACGAACGATAAACGGGAGTCAAACGTTTTCGCTCGTCTGCGAAGTTTCGTTTAAGCTGATACGTAACAGTTCGGACGATTAGGTTAGCTCGCCTCTCGGTATCGAGATACGATGACGATACGTGTAATAAAGTTACAACGCAAAGAACCGTATGAAAAAAAATGTATAGGAATATGCATTTATATTCAGTCGTTGAACGGCTGACTGGATGTTGCAGGGAACAATGTCGATGGTTATTTATTTACGAGTTGCACGCGTGTCAAATTAATGATTCCGAATACATGGAACTGCACCAAAGCAGTTCCAGCAGGACTCGATCGTAAAATTCGAAGCAGATGTTGTTTTTGTTTACTGATTTAGTTTCGAATGGAATGTTGCCAACTTGACGATCGCGTTTGCGGAGCTTTTAGCGATCGATTAACACGTTCCGTGCCGTGATCCGTAACCATTCGGTCCGGTCGGTAATGAAACGGAATTCTAGTAATTTCTGAACCGTGCAGCGCGTCTAATCATGACTGAACGTTCTTTCTTTTTGCAGAATGACGCGATGGGCAGAGACCTTGGGCGCCGAATTATGGGAACTCGCGGAGAAGGTGGCGAGACCGGACGAACTATTAAGCGTAAGTACAATTATAGTTTGCGCGAGCAAGCGAGTACAATACATCAAAGAATACACGCATGATCGCGTGTTCTCCCTTTTACCCCCACCCCCCCTTCCTACCTCTACCGTTATCGGCTGATCGCCGCGACGATTTCGTTACCCCCTCGTGCGTGATTATTGTCAATCACAATTAACAAAGCGAAAGGGGTAACGGAGCAGAGGAAGAGAAGAAGACCAGATAAACGGTAAAGAAAGAAAAAGCAATCGCGTCGATAAGGGCGTAAGAAAAATTGATAAATGGCTAACCCGATAGATAAATAGAAAACCGAAGAAATTGTTAAGAAAAAGTCGCGCGATAAAGGTCCACGACGCTAGGACGTATCGACCTATGATAAATCGATACGTCGAACCCTACCTTCGGAGATAACGACGTCTTCGTTGATAATTTTCGTGTAATTAATTGTCGGGGCAGTTCAGTACCGATGCAGGAACGATTACGAGTTTTGTTTGATTAGAATTGTTTGTCGAGGATTGGAATTACGTGTGACCCGGCGTTCGGGGAGTGTAGAGGAGCTTTAAAGCTCAGCTTTCGTGCACAGATGCCGCCTGTGGTACATTTACAATATCGAAACGTGTTTGTTGCCTGCAACACCATTGTTTCACTTGTTGAGCTTACTTTCACGAAATTTTCGCAACGTGCATTCTGTCACGCGGTCGCGACGAATCTTGCCAGTTTCCCATCAACGTTAACGATCCTCGAAATCGATATTTCACGGTAATGCAATGACGCTGCATTCCGCGTCCTCGTGGACACCTGGTGGGTGTCGTTATTAATAGAAGCGAGCCAAGATTTGTAACACAATAGGCCGTTACCCCCATTGGACGTCCGAAATCGAGCACCGCGTGGGCCGAATTAAGGAATCCAGCGACATTTTTGCGTATCTTTCGAGCCAGAAACGATATAAGAATGCAGCAAGCATATTTCGCAAGGCCAAGTGGTAAAATCGGCCAACGCAAAAGCAACCATGGAACGTTGCCCTATCCTGCAACGCCGCGAGCACCGTTCGACAAACAGTTTCGCCCTTTTAACGAAAGAATGCGGCATTACCAGGCGAAAACGCAGCTGCTGCGTTCGCGGTGCCCAGGTGGAGGTTAGGCTAGGCGAAGGGTGAGGAGCCAGCTGACATGTCCGTATTACGTTCGTCCGAAAATAAATACGCCGCGTCGCGAAAATATTCGAAACTTGAGATAGTCAAAATATGCACGATTTTATTGCAAACATGGCGGCGGTGGGTCTTTAGCTCGCCACTAAAACGGTTAACGAATAACGCGTTGGGAAGGCTCGGCTGGACGGTCGGGACCGAAAAACGCGACGATTTCGTGGGCAAGAAATTAATAACACGTTCGTTGCCGGCGAAACGGAGGAAAAAAGCGGTAGAATCCAGGTCAGAAGGCAGAACCCCGGCGTAACCGTACCCCTCGATGAATTCCAGAAATACAAAGCGATGAATACCCGGGTGGAGGACAAGTCCGGGGACAAATTGGTGAGCATAATCAGCGAGAACGTCGGCAGGATGCTGAGGAGGAAGATGGACGCGGTGACCTGCATCCGGATAGAGGCCGAGAAGAGCTCGGAGAATTGGATCGACGACGACGACGGGAACTTTACTTACGTTTCGGGGAAGTACAGTCCCGTGATCAACCGGAACGAGACACCGGAACTTCCGGAGAACATGGAGCAAAATTCCGGCATTTACAGGTCTCGATCCTTCGAACCTGTTACGCTAAATTGTTCTGTTGCTATTTTAAATATTATATAGCGTTAGTTTGTTAGTTCTTGAATGATTTAAACGTTAAACTTGTCCGTAGAGGGATGGAATTAAAGCCAGACTCGCATTTCTATAACATACCGGTGAACACGAGCTTCTCGTCGGTGCATATACCGACGAACGTCTACGATCTGAGGCCCGCGGTCCTGGAGGACATCAAGAAGACGGAGATCCTCGACGAGATTTTCCAGCAGAATTACGAATCGGACCCGGCTCTGTCGTGGCAGTACTTCGGCTCGGTATCCGGAATGCTGAGACAGTATCCCGCCATGCAGTGGAGAACGGATCCTATGATGAACGAGGACGAGGAACAGGAGGACGGGGACGGCGAGAAGGAGGAGGAGATCGACGACGGCGAGGAAAGGCCAGATATTTACGACTGTCGAGTACGGAGCTGGTTTATCGAGGCTGCTACCTGCAGCAAGGACATGGTGATCCTGATGGACACCAGCGGCAGCATGACGGGCATGGGAAAGACAATCGGTGAACAATATCTCCGATCCTTGATCGGATATTATTAATTTCCATAGGCAATTTTCAAACGGCCATAACTCCCACAATAATGAATAGATTTCAATGAAATTTTTCCCCGAAGCAGTGCTCGTAGGTATCTACAATAAAGTATTAGACAATTCTTCTATAGGGCATCAAATAAAATGATTAAAAATGAAAAACTATTTTTTAAGAAAAATCGATAGGGGGTAGGTGCCTTAATTTTTCGGCGAAAACAAAAAATTTCAAATCGTTCTGGAAAAAATATTTTTAGCTGCGGGGGTCGATTACAATCATTTTAGGTGAATAGACATACCCTCGAAATCCTACCCATTTTCGAGAAAAAAATTCGAATAGATGGACCAATTTTTCGACAAAATTAAAACATTTCAAATCGTTTTGAAAAAAATATTTTTAGTTGCTGGAGGCGATTACAATAATTTTTCGTGAATAGACATATCCCCGAAATCCTGCGCATTTTCGAGAAAAAAATTCGAGTACGTGGACCAATTTTTCGTCAAAATTAAAAAATTTCAAATCGTTCTAAAAAAATTATTTTTGGTTACAGGGGCTAATTATAATTATTTTTGGTGAATAGACATACCCTAAAAATCCTACCCATTTTCGAGAAAAAAATTCGAGTAGGTGGACCAATTTTTCGTCAAAATTAAAAAATTTCAAATCGTTCTAAAAAAATTATTTTTGGTTACAGGGGCTAATTATAATCATTTTTGGTGAATAGGCATACCCCCGAAATCCTACCCACTTTCTAGAAAAAAATTCGAGTAGGAGTGAAATTTTTCGGGGAAAAAAAAATTTTAAATCGTTCTAAAAAAATTATTTCCTGTTGCAGGGATCAATTATAATCATTTTTGGCCGATAGACATACCAACGAAATCCTGCGCACTTTCGAGAAAAAAATTCGAACATGCGGTGAAATTTGAGTATGGGGCTGTTGATTCTGCGTAGGATGCGACCGGTTCTCGAGACGATAGCAAATCAATAACTAGACGAAATGGAAGTTTCCTGTACCATTCTTTTTTTTGTAGAAACGACCGTAATCGCCCCAGTTTCCACGCAACTTTTGGCTCATCTCGTACAAGTTGATTTACTTGGGTAGCTCGAAACTTATGACTGTGTATTCGACGCATCCGTGGAAGCTGTGTTAGAATCGCAGTTGGAATACGCTTGCGGTCGTCTCCTGTAAGCTGTGTAATGCATACTTGGAGTGCACCGCAAACCTGAGGTTACGGGCGCATTGTTTAGGGGGAGGATAGTATGTCGATGCAATTGCACCTTCGCACGGATATCGTGATCTTCTCGTCGTTACTATAACATCGTTAACTGCACTGTTGGTTAACCACTAATGGAATCTCGTCTCTCGACGCGTTATAAATACGAGCGTCTCGATGTCGTTTCCTTCTTTACCTCCTCTTAGTCTTAAGTAGCAAAAGAAATTTTTAATATCCGTTCCTTTGGTTTTGTATTACACAAAACCACATAAGCTATTAGAAAGCATTTTAAGTACCATTTGATTTACATCAAAGTCTCTGTTAGAGTAGAAGATTTATGAAATTACAAGAAATTATTACTATCTGTTCCTTTGGTATTGTATTAATACACAAGCTATTAGAAAGCATTTTAAGTACCATTTGATTTATATAAAAGTCTCTGTTAGAACAGAAGATTTATGAAATTACATGACTTGTTTAGCCAGGACAACGGTGAACATGATTCTGGACACCCTGTCGAACAACGACTTCGTGACCGTGTTGAGCTACTCGAACGAGACTTACGAGGTGGTGGACTGCTTCAAGGACATGCTGATCCAGGCCACGCCGGAGAACGTGGACACGTTCAAGAAAGCGATAATAACAGTGAAAACGGAGGGTCTCGCTAATTTGACCGAAGCTTTCAATAGAGCGTTCGACCTTTTGAGGAATTACAGGGAAACGCGTGGGTGCGACGCGGAGAACTCGTGTAATCAGCTAATCATGCTCGTGACGGACGGTGTTCCTGGAAACCTGACCGAGGTACGGCCCACTTAATTTCTCTGGTTTGCTTTCGGTTCTGAGAAAGGTCGGAAGAGGAGAGCAGATTGCTAATAAGAAGAAAGAATCCTTCCGAGAATGAACCATCCTTTAGTTAGAGTATAAAGTAATGAGATTTGTCTGTATAGAGCGACCAATTGGAATTGATCGCCAATACGGTACTGCTCAGCGTTTTCCAAACCCCTCTAGAACACATTTTACGTTCCCAGTAAATGGAGCAAATGATCCTCAGGATAATTATTTTGTTTAGGTGTTCAAAACGTGGAATTGGCAGGACAACTATACTCACATACCTGTACGAGTGTTCACCTATCTTCTGGGCAAAGAAGTGACAAAGGTACGCGAGATACAATGGATGGCGTGCCTCAATCGCGGTTATTACACGCACGTTCACACGCAAGAGGAGGTTCGGGAACAGGTGCTAAAATACATACCAGTGGTCGCGAGGCCGATGGTCCTCCAGGACGTTGTTCATCCTGTCGTGTGGACTCACGCTTACGCGGACATCACGGTGAGATGATTCTTACTGTACACTGTTGGAACCAAACATTGTATGAAATTAAATGGTGTACGATTTTACGGTGTCCAAAACATTCACACTAACGAGGCTACGTTTATCGTGATATATAGTAAAATCAACGAATGTAAACCCTATACCAGGTAGCTGTTAATTAGTAGCTCGAGTGGCCTCGGTACTGTAAACATTCTAATTCACGTTCCATTAGAATCCCGCACTCGCCACCTGGCTGTGGCAGGTGATGCGCCACGCGGAGCAGAAATCCCGGCTTCAGAAACATCTGAAAGGGAAACGTCTGGGCGTGCGAATAAATGAGGACGAAATCTACATACAACAGGTTCAAAGCTAGCGAAAGCAACCAAGCAACAATCAAACCCTTGTAGCTTCAGATCCATTTTGCCGTTTACAATGCGCTGTTTACCTTGGCGACGTTTTGGCTGGCTATGCACAAGTTGCACACGATAGACAAATCTAGGCAAACTCTGCAAAATACGATTAGCACTCGAAGCTAGTCCCGATCAGGACTTGGGATTATTCGTCGACTTTAAATACATAAATTATTCGAATAATAATATATTAAAAAATTATTCGAACAGTCCCTGCCTCAATCCTGATCGTGGACTTTCTTCGTCATTTTTTAGACGCAGGTTTTTGTTAGTCCATCGCCAAATGGACTCCAATTTTTGTATCCCCGCCTATTTTTCCAGTAGAATTAGCGTTAAGTTTAAATCAATAGAGAGCAGCGATTTCCATGTAAACTATAGTTAAAGGAGCCTTTGTAGATTTCATAATTCGTTGCATGCAACAAGTGTTCGACAGCAAAAGTCGATGGTCTTACCAAAAGTCAGTTTTGGAGAATAGTAAATGGGACAGCACGACGTCCAAGAAGTTTCCAGCGGCTCCTTAGACTTTGTAATGTCCTCGCTGCATTATTAATGTCGAATACCATTGTCCTGTTTTTTTTTTTTAATGCGAGTGTGGCTTTAACACTGGCCTAGCGATAGTTAGACGATAGACTCTTGCAGTTCCTCGAGTAAGAAAGACTCCCAGGGGTTCGTTACTGACTCTGTTCTCGTTGCAACAGCTCCACAAGGACGAGGACGTTCGACAGGACCCGTCCACGCTGAATACCACCGCCTGGCAGGAGTACAGACTCCTCACGTCGGTCAGCACGCCGGTGTTCGACCGTAAGGGGAACAATCGCAACAACCAAACGAGAATCGCGCATTTGTTGGGCGTGGCAGGCACTGATGTACCAATCGACGACATCCGGAAGCTCACGTTGCCGTACAAGCTCGGTGTAAACGGCTACGCCTTCATCGTCTCCAACAACGGATACGTGGTACTACACCCGGACCTCAGGCCTGTCTACAGAGGCAGGCTCAAACTGAATTACAACAGCATCGACCTAACGGAAGTCGAGATTCTGAACGACGGTCTTGGACCTAGGTAATTTAAACGAAAAGAGCAGACTCTCGACGAACGACAAGGCGAATCTGCTGTTGTTGCAATCGTCTCTTCGCGACGTTCGCTGCAGCCTCTTCGATTCTTTACAAACTATTATTTTTCTATATGCACGCGTACTTGAACAGAAAAGGACACAGTCCCGCGATGAGAATTAAAAGTGATCTTAACACGGATCCATTAAGCACGACCTTGCGACCGTACACGAGGGTATCACTTGACAAACCACTCGAGCGTTCCTCGGGAGCCTAGCTGTACAGGGCGAGACACTCAAAACAGGCCACCTGAATAATTCATTTATCATCTCTGATACCGGTACCTTTCTCGAAGGTAAAAGGGTCAAGAAAATATAAAGAGCAGCTGGTTCACTTTGTAGCGAGATTATCAGTTTCCCCGTGACGCGATTGGATGAAAGGCGATTCCATTAACAAGTTTATCATCGCGCCTATAAAAGAACGAGTTCCGATAAAAATCTCTACCGTGAAAAGTAAACGAGCCCGTTCGAATGATCTGTCTAAAGTGCCTAGTCCTGTACTCTCCTCCGCCAACTGTACCACCCTCCGTGGGTCTCCGGGGGGGGGGCGCGACGAAAGTTTTTTGTGATAAATTCTGAAAGTACCGGCAACTTGTAAAAGAACTAAGAGGCGCGGTGATATTACGTCCGGGCGATGGCGGAGGGTTAAGAAGAGTTTTTATTAAAAACGAGCGCAGGAACCCCGGGCCGGAGATCCTCGAGCTACGCGCCGCGCTGGTGGATCACAAAAGGGGCAGCACGAAAGGAGTTCCCGTGAAATTGCATTACGACAATAACCGGCGGGTGACTCTGGAGAGACGTGACTACTTCTACGCGCCCCTGCCTGGTACGCCTTTCGGTCTCGCGGTCGCCATACCCAACTACGGCACGACTTGGATCAAGGTAATCCGGCGCTAGGTATCGCGCGTACACACCCGGGGTTTACGGAGTCCCAGAATTTCAGGAAGGCGAGGTAATCCTGCCTCTACAGTGCGTTCTCCAGATTGCACGCTGCATAAACTTTGAAACGCAAACCCCCGGGAAGGGGTAACCATGGTAAACATCGACCGTCGCTTTCCAGCCTCGATGAAGGATCGAAGAAGCGGCCATTGACGTTTTGTTGTCGACTGGTGCCTGTCGATGATGAGAAACTGGGCGGTTGGATCTTCCTTGAAGTAGCTTTGGAGACCCGTTCTCCTGTTAAACTATTTTTAGTTAATTTAAGGGGGGAACCTCATGTAAATGACCTGTTTTTCAAGAATTTTTTTTTAAAAATCCAATGCACAGATTCATTTAAAATTTGAAGTATCATTTATTAACGTTATACTGTAAAGAAAAATATTTTTTATAAATTTTAATTGTTAATAACAATGGTGCAATGGTGGCTTGAAAATGGCATCCTGTAATGCACAAAAATGATGTGAAACAAAAAAATCAAAATAGAATAGTTTATGCAAAAACGTTCAGCATGACATTCTTCTTTTGTTAAAATTTTCAAAATTGCAAAAATGGCGAAGGTTCGAAAAAATAACCGGATCTTTGATTATGAACAATTGTTACTAACAAGGTTTTAAGTAAAAAATAAAAAAATCGGAGCTCGTCATGCCGAGGCCAATTATTTATAGAATATATATGCCAAGTTTCATAAAGATCGAGTAATTAGTTTTTGAGCTATATAAATAATTGTTTTTCTAATTGAAATTAAAAAGCAGTCAAAATGACTTCCTTGGGCAATCTGGTGTTAAGGTCAAAGGTATATTAAAATAGAAGGTGGGGGACTAGGTGAGTGCTTCCTTTGTGGAATGTAAACATCGACCGTCACTTGCAGCCTCGATGGAGGATCGAAGACGCGAGATTCCTCGCGGCCATTGATGTTTTGTGCCGACGGAGGCCAGTCGATGATGAGAAACGGGGCGAGTGATCTTCTTTGGCGGAGCTTTGAAGACGATACGTCGTATTAGAATCTCTGTAACTTACAAAGGAAGCACTCAACCTGTCAGATTGTAACCTACTTTTGCGCGACGGTAGGTTACAGGTGCTGCTAGAACTGAAACATTACTAACTATACATTGTAACAGGAAGGCTTAAATCTGTAAAATATTGACAATGTTTCGATTGCTTGTTGTCAAGGTGGGAGACGAAATCCGTAGAAACCAGAACATGAACATAGACGTGTCCGACTTCTTCCTGGGCAACAACTGGCGCGTGCATCCCGGTTGGGTGTACTGTCGTTACCACTATCTGGAGGGCCACGAGTTCGATAATCCGGAGGAAGAGCTCAGACACTTCCTGGATCTGTTGAACAAGCCGGAATGGCGCTGGTCGGAGCAGTACGCGTCCTACTTCAGCGACGACGATACCGACGATCATGTGCCCGATTGCGGTAGACAAACGTTATCCCACGACGACTATTACTGCAACAGGGAGCTCATGCAGCTGTTGATCTTCGACGCAAAAGCTACCAACGCGAGCTTCGACGACGAGTTTGTATTGGAGGATGTACGTGCACGGCATTTGGCCGAGCTCTACGGGATATTCTTGAGGTTCGTCGCTACGCAGAGCGGCTTGACCAGGTGGCACAACCTGGACACGAACAAGCTGCCCGAGGAAGACGACGACATCGTCTTCGGGGACCTTCACAGGAGGGCAGTAAACGAGCCTTGGTACAAGGGAGCCATTTTCCAGAATATTCTAGACCCTAACAGCATATCCGTGACAGGTACTCTGTCCTAGGTAGCTTATTGACTATAGGACTAGAACTATAAGAATGTAATGACTATCAGAATTGTTTCAGTTCCGTGGGAAGCTGGTCCAGACGCTATAGTGACGGTCTCCATCGGAATATTTCCAAAAGACGGCGGCAAAACAGCACCAGCGGCTGTGATAGGCTTCCAAATGCCTATGACGGCTCTTTATGAGAGATTCATTCAGTTGACGAGTGGTCCTAGCAACACGACCATGAACTGCGCCCACGTGTGGATCGATTGTTACCTGCTCGATCAGAACGGCTACGTGGTGATCTCGGAGGCGCACAACAACACTGGCCAGTTCATGGGAACGCAGGAAGGCGCTGTGATGAACTCCATGGTGGGCCAGGGCCTGTTCAACTCGGTCGAGATTTACGATTACCAGGCCTGGTGCGAGGAGGTTGTAAGTGTCCGTACTTCTCACGACTAAAAGAGGATCGATAGCGTACGTTGTAGCAGCCGGTGAGATTGCAACGTTAAAATTCTCGAAAGTTAACGTCGACAGTTTCGCCTCGAGGCGTATTTCTAATTCACGGGCGAGGTTCGGGGGAAAAAAGTTTGTCGCGGGAACTTGGGGATCCCCGGGAAACGTTTCGCGGAACGAAATCGGAAACTTGGACGGAAACGGACGGGTTGTTCCCCGGGCTCCGGGCGCGCAAAAACATTCTCACCGGGAAACGAAACTGTTACAGCGTATCGAGGATGCGGCCAGCACTCTGACGGACCCTCTGATGTACGTCTGGAAATTGTTGCTCTGGTTTCTGCTGCGCGTGACGTGGTTCACGACCCAGTTCGTCAACTTGCCGGGCGGCCTGGCGAAAGTTCACTTCGACGAGGACGCCCCGGATCCGCCGCCGCCGCCGAAGCCCTATCTCCATCATTATCCCTGCGACCAGAAGAGGACCCTTTACATGATGAACTATACAATCGCTGGCAAGGGCATTCACAATCGGCCGGACTACTGTTCAAGGCCGTTTTACGCGCGCAGGGTCAGTGTTCACTGCCTTCGACAAAGCTATTCTGATCGGTTCTCATCGAGTCGGTTGTAACAGTATTTTCTATACTGTTGGAGGAGTCATGGCGAAGGATTTAGATCGAAACAACAAATTAATTATATGTATTTTTATTTTATAATATTTATTACAGGAGAACCGAATAGTTTGATCCAGCGTTAAGGGATGAATTGAATGATTAACAGGTGCCGCACACGAATTTGCTGCTGGTGGTCGTAGACGCGATGTACCCGACCTGTTATAAAAGATTAGAGGTGACGCCAGTGATCATTTCGCCGCTGGAATATACGAACGGCACCGAGAGCGCGCCGTGCCATAAAATTCCGCTGAACGACCTTAAGAGGAGGCGACTGGAGGGCTGTTTCACGGAGCATCCCCTGGAGTACGAGATCGAGGAGTGCGGCGGCGCGTCGGGACTCGCCGTGTCTTTGTTACTGTTTTACACTGTTGTTGCTAAAGTTTTATGTACGCTCGTATGACTGTCCAAGGGAAGAATATCAGTCGTTCGATTAACGACGAGAAGCACACTCCGAGGAATACGCTGCTAAAAACAATTGGGACAAGGTCAAAGGGTCGAGTGTTCAAATTATCTTATCCTTTATTCTTCATTTTTCAGGAGAATTTGTTGCACTTTCATCAGCGTTGGAACTCTATAGGCTCGGTCTCTTTGCCAAACACCGATCCTAATCGTTTTGAGCAGCGTGGTTTTTTACTGTCCCATCCAGCTTGAATTCGCCTGCAAGATATTATCAGTTTACCGAATAAAGATAAGAGCCGTTGATGTGTACAGTTTCTACGTACACAGAGCAATTTTTTTAAACGAACGACTCGATCGATTCGCGATTTCAATAGAGTGGACGTATTTTTCAATCCACTTTAACGCCTCATTTACGCTACGTAACCCGCGAGGAATCTTGAGAAGTTCCACGTAGATCCTGGACTTGTTTATGGTTCGAAACTTTCGCCGCTTTTGCTGGGAGACACGTCCCACTACGGTGACAAGCTTCCATTCTTTCTCGGTGCATTGTTCTCGAAACGTCGGTCGTTCCAGCGGCAAACTTCATCCCGCCCCTTGTAAAAGTTGCAGAAAAACAATTCTACGCCTGGCAATGTATGCAAACGGAAGTAAATTTCTTCTGAAATATTTGCGTTACGAGCGGATCCGATGTAAAATTTACGTTCGATCGAATAAAACCACGTTCACAAGCGGGGGTGTCCCAACTATGACATATTTATAGTGTACGGGAAACATGTAAGTTTATTCTACTAGAGAATGGGCGTATACAGAATTTAATTAGAAATATTTCTGCCAATGTGTATCGGGATTCAATGAAATGTGTGCATGAGTCACAGGGATATAGAGCGTAACTTCGAGGGTGAATGGTTCGCGTAAAAATGATAAAAGAGATATTTATGCGACCATCCGTCTTGTCTGACCTTATTTCCGATTTATTGCGTATTTTCGTAAACGTTTGGCTATCTTACCCTCGAATACAAGCTTATACGTAATAGATAATACTCGTTCACCTTATACAGGGTATTCTAGAGGTCAAAATACGACGAAAATCAAGAATACCAATTTGTTGATGGAGGCTTTGTTAAAAAGTTATTAACGTTCAAAGTTTCGGCTGTAGAACAGCAATTTGTCCACCTATTTGAATTTTTTTCTCGAAAACGCGTAGGAATTCAGGGGTATGTGTATCGACCAAAAGTAATTGTAATTAGTTCCTGGAGCTGACAATAATTTTTTTAGAACGATTTGAAATTTTTTAATTTTATCGAAAAATTTCGCACCTTCTCGAATTTTTTTCTAGAGAATGGGTAGGATTTCGAGGGTATGTGTATCGACCAAAAGTGATTGCAATTGACCTCGGCAAATGAAAATAATTTTTTTAGAACGATTTGAAATTTATTAATTTTGACAAAAAGTTTCGTACCTTCTCGAATTTTTTTTTCGAGAATGGTTAGGAATTCGAGGGTATGTCTATTCACCAAAAATGATTGCAATTCATCCCTGCAACGGAAAATAATTTTTCCAGAACGATTTGAAATTTTTGAATTGGTATTCTTGATTTTCCTCTTATTTTGGTCTCTAGAATCTTATTAAAATTTTTCCCAGGCTTAAAAATTCCATAATTGTAGGGCGCAGATTTAAATTGAGAAATAATAATAGTTACGTTAAAATCAATAGCGTTAGATGTAGACGCGCCAAGCCATTTATCACATCTGTGAAACCATCCCTCGTGCATAGAATTGTGGTCGATGATTAAAATAGCTCGGAACATCGCTCGAGGATCCCAATGAGTCTGCAGAATTTAAAAAAAGAAAAATAGAATCTTTCGCGCTGCCAAAGTTCCCTTGTTAGCTTTTTACGTTTGTAACCCCGTTCTTTATTCGCGGGCCAAAAACACCCGGGAGGAAATCGATCGCATCCAAGGAAAAAGGGACATAAAGCCAGACGGAATGTCCTTCCGTCGATGCGAGATACGATTTCGTGCCGGCGTCGGGTTGTCTGTCGGGGGCGAGAGAAGCTTGTCCTAGAAAATATTCCGCTACCCTCCTTCTCGGTTATGTGGAGTGTAACTCTTCCTACGACTTAATTAAATTACAACACCCTCGTTTTCAGCCTCCGCCTAAAAACAAAAACCAACGAGGAAAACATCGTAAAAATAACTGGTTCCATCGACGATCCTGGATCCTACATTTCCATGATCAATCCCGAATTCATTCACGAACAATGTAAGTATCAAGAATCTAACTATTCAGACGAAATAAAAATCTACAATACAATTAATCTTGTAATCCTCTGCTTCAGATCGTTACGTGGAAGTGTCCTAAAATGCCCATGGTACAGGTACGAATGGTCTAAGATTTGTATAAACAAATGTTTCTATTATTATTTACTACAAATCATAGCTTCTCCGCCACGCGTACTAAACTCTCTGTCCACACAGTAAAAATTCCACGCATAGTTCCAACGTCCCCGTCCTCAGCGATTCTCCCCCATCGGTGATCGGTACCAAAGCCATCAACGCTAACAACAATCCGTTTTCAGCGTCGAGTCAACAAATTCCCGCCTCCGTGGCGTAGCGGGCACCTGCAAAAACATCCAGCGCGTGGGCAGAGCTGGCGACCCTCTTCAGAATGGTGCCAAACGGAAGGGGAAGGGGGGGAGGACGAAACGACGAAACCGAGGAAAACAGAGCGATCCTAGAACGTGTCTAGGGGCCGACGTTCGGCGGCGAACATTACTATCAATTTCCAGCGGACGGTTACGAGCGGCGACGCGTCGTCGGGACGCTGCTGTCCCGCGGACGTCGACGCGCAAGCTCCGCGGCCCCGTCGATCGATAAGCTCTCGGGGTTCGCTGGCGTCCGGTGGTGGTACGGTGCGCGCACTGCACGGCGACGTCGACGGGAACGACGGACGACGACGACGACGACGGCGACGACCACCGCGGCTGGCCGGATAGTATCCTTAATGTCAGACGCGAGCCTCATCTCGGCCTCAGTTTTGTTTACCGTGTCCTCGCGTAAACAGCGGAGCGCCGCACCGGACGACGACAGCCATGAGGTTTCGTTACCTGTACGCCGTCGTCATCCTGATCCTGATCGAGGCGCCCGACCGCGGTGACGGCATATCGTACAAAACGTAAGTCCTCGATTAGCGTCAAGTCCTGTCTCTAAATCCACGTTACGTTGCAACTCTGTACGCGTCGCGAAAGAAACAAATTGTACGCTCCGCCACACGGTTGGCCTCGTAATCGGGTTTATTTACTGGTTCAGGTGGCACGAGTGTTATCGACATGCGCCAACCCTTATCGGGCGATGAAAACGTGGGCGAGCCGCGGTGTAACATGTTCCGCGTGCGTGACTCGTGTCTTTTTTTCGCGTAGCTTTTAAATAGTCTCTGGTCGCGGATAGTCGTTTGAAATTGTTCCGGGAGAAACGTACGAGAACAATGGGAGGGTCGTACGTTTCGATAGGGGCATCTTGCGTGTAGTCGAGCAGGTGATCCGATAATTATTTCCAGGAGTATAGATTGATATTGACTCGGGATAATGTAGTTCAATGTAGAATAAACGTAACGAAGTATTGGGAGAAAGAAAGTATTATAGTATCACTTAAACGTTGAAAGTTTACTCTATTAAAGTATCTCAATATCTAATAGCTAGTCACCATATTCTGGTACTAATTACAGTAATAATAACAATATCCCTGTGGTAATAATAACAATATCTCCATAGTATAATCAATAACAATACATCTTTCTTCCGCCAAGCCAGTATTTACTTTCGTGGCCAGTTTGTTTCCATTAAAAAAAAAGTCCATTATTTAGATTCTCGTTTGATACAACCGCGAAGGAACGTCGTGTTGTGTATACATCAGTTGGCAAGTGCTCTGGCACGTTTCGAGCACGTTTACAAATTCCCACGACCGACTACTTCCCCCCTCCGAAGTTTCATGCAACTTGTTTCACGTGCAGGGCGAAAACATGGGCGAACAAATTGGGTTTCGAGCTGTCGCAGCTGGGCAAGTATGTGACCAACGTGGAGAAGTTTCAAGAAAGGTACAAGCAAGCCGGGATCACGATACGTGATGGTAACGCCTTGGTCCACGAGATCGCCAAGGACATCAAAGCCATGATGGAGTCAAAGATATCCGCCATCAAGGTATCTATAAACATAAAAGAATTGAAATTCTCTGGTACTAACGAGGAACATCCACAAAGAAGGCCTTCCTAATGTTTGCGATATTTTACAGGCATCTAAGGCGATCAACGATAGGGGATACTATCATACAATAAACATTTTTTAAACGAATAGGGTTACTAATAGAAGCAAATGCTTATCTCTTGCCTATGGCTGCCCTAGAAATCCGCAAATTTTCATCAAAATCGCGAGGGTGCACTTCGCGGATGTCCCTTGTTAGATCATTAATGTTTATGATCGTTCTATTTTAACCGTGCGACCAACGGCCCTCTTGGTTCCCGTCTCGAAAATTTCATATTCCTTTCTCAACACCGCCGCTCACGATTGATCCAAACTGACTTCTATTCTGTCTCCCAGAGAATCATGGACATCGCGGAGACGTCAGCCTTATCCGCTCCGGACGTCACGCCCCCGGAATCGTTCACCTTCATCGACGCGAAGAACATCACCATCGATCTGAAATACAGTTCTCACTTCGGTGGCCAGGTAAACCTGAACACGTCAGCCGTTCACGTGCCGACGAACGTCTACGAAAGAGCTGCGCCGGTGATCAGAGCGATCAAGTGGTCCGCGGAGCTGGACAAGACCTTCATCAACAACTACGAGCAGGATCCATCTCTGTCCTGGCAGTATTTCGGCAGCGCGACGGGATTCATGAGACAGTACCCGGCTATGAACTTGTACCTGGAGCCGGTGGACCTGTTCGACTGCAGAACCAGAAGCTGGTACATCGAGGCGGCCACCAGCCCCAAAGACATCCTAATTCTCATCGACACGTCGGGCAGCATGACCGGTATACGCAGAGAAATCGCCAGGCACGTGGTCAACAACATCCTGGATACTCTTGGGAACAACGATTTCGTGAACATCATCACGTTCTCCAATATCACGAAGGAGGTAACCTGCTAGGAGCGATTGATTGCGATTACGATCGTATCGACCACTTTACTGATTCCTAAATACCCTGGTGAACCGACCAAATGTCGAAACAGACATAACTTTTTAGTTCATTAGCATATGTGCGTTCCAGGTGGTGCCGTGCTTCAACGACACCCTGGTACAAGCGAACTTGGCGAACATCAGGGAGCTGAAGAGGGCTATCTCGAATCTGGAAACGGAGAAGATAGCGAATTTCTCGATGGCCTTGACCACGGCCTTCGTCCTGCTCCAGAACTATCGAATCGACAAGAAGGGATCCAAGTGCAACCAGGCGATCATGCTGATAACGGACGGCGTGCCGTACAACTACAAGGACATATTCGAGACTTACAACTGGAGGGACAATCGCAACGAGCCGTTCAAAGCCGACATGCCAGTTAGGATATTCACTTATCTGATTGGCAGAGAGGTGGCGGACGTCAGAGAGGTTCAGTGGATGGCCTGCGCCAACAGGGGCTACTTCGTCCACCTTTGCACTTTGGCTGAAGTCAGGGAACAGGTAAACGGGATCCAACATTGCTCTGAAATTGTCACTAGACTAACGAAGACACCCGTAACCTGTTATTTTGGTGATCTGATGGAGCAAGTGATATTTCCAGGTACTCAAATACGTCCCCGTGATGGCCAGACCGTTGGTGCTCGGTCGTACCGATCACCCGACGATCTGGACACCGGTCTACGCCGACATCACGGACCCTAAGATGACCGACTGGCGTTGGGAGCAACGAGAGAGCGAGGAACAGAAGGAGAGGTTCCTCAGGCTTCATAGAAGAAAGAAGCTGTTCAACGCGGGCGAGTACGATCGCAGGTTCGTGAAGAAGCAGAAGAAGGTGCACGAACAGAGCGACGATTTGCAAGAGTTCAAGCTGATGACCTCGGTTAGCATGCCGGTGTTTGACCGACGCAATAACGCGGTAAGATTTTCCTTTCTGGCGCAATCGAACCGAACACTCTAATTCTATAGAAACGCTATGTGTAATAGGGGTGTCCGACACGAGGAGTTCTTGCTTCCTTGACACTTTGATGGTCGCTACCCGGCGATTATTCATGAAAGTTTCGACTTCTAAATTCGAAATTTTATAAATATTCAAATATTAGCTTCCATGCAACAATTTTCTTTTCATCGTTTCTTCATACGTTCGATAGCCACAGAGACGTTTAAGGTATTCATGACAAATTAGACACTAGATCAACCCATAAGCACCATTGACAATAGGTAATCGTGGGCCCACAAACGCCATTCGATAATGTTAAATTGTAAATTAGAGGGTCTCACGGTGTATTGGTTTACAAATTTCCCTTAAATCGCGATGGTCCCCAGTCGAATTATACGTCTGGTCGTGTGGCAAATTAACGTAGAAATTTAATTAACGTGGAATAACTTTCCTCCTCTTCTTGGGGAGTAAATGCCCCCCTATTGTGAATCGCGAGCAGACGTTAGACAAACTACCCCCAAGCCCCCTTGCGTGAACGGAGTTTCCCCTGGTTTTAAGTTCCTGTTTGTCCACAGAACATCACAAGGCAGGTGCTGGTGAACGAGGCGTACTGGGTGACAGAGACAAGAGAGGTTGGCAGCAAAAAAAAACAAAAAACACAAGCAACGTTGTTTCAATGCATAGAGCCCTTGTACCCTTTCGCCTTTTGTATTCGCGCGCGCGGCTCGCTCACACGTGTCTGGGTTTCCGGTTAGGGGAGGATCGACAGGTGTTGAAAAACGAATTATTACTTTATTCCTACTGTTTGGAAAAAATATCTATACCGATTTATAAGTCTAATAACACTTTGGATTACTTTTATTGAGATTTACAAGCCTCCATCGACGTTTCACAATTGATCATCAACCCCCTATGGCGTCGTTTTCGTTGCAAGCTAATTTCTCATCTTTCATGGATTATTCTACAAGATTGGTACACTCGTAATCACGTTGAATGCAATTTTTAAATGCACTGTTGAAACCAGTCATAAAACTAACATGCATTGTATTTTATTTTGTATTTTTTTTTTGCAGTCTCACATGTGTACAGAAAAAAAAGGACCATAATACAGTGTGCAACGAAACGAAGGAATAATGTTGATCATTTTTGTCGCAACGTTAAAGAGAAGAAATTCGAAACGATAAAGACGAATTTTCGCGCGTTATGGGAATCCCAGATACGAGACCGAGGCCGCGCGACGAACTTTCGTTCCATTTAGGTCCACGTTCGTCTCTCTGGTATCTTAATTTGATCTAACGCTAGTACTGGACTTAGTTTAATCATTAGGTAGGTTTAGGTACTTTAGTCTACCCTGTGCCCTGTTCGAGACGAGTAGAAACACGGATTATCCTGCCCGCCTGTTGGATTGCGAACGGCGATACCTCCTCTTAATATTATTATTATTATTATTATCATTATTATCATTATTATCATTGACTCGTAGAAGAACTCTGGTTCTGCAGTGACTACATACGTACATATATATATACATGCTCTGATTATAAGAGAGAATATCCTGTTGGGTATAAAGAATGTACTGAGCACACGCGTGCACACGGTACTTGACAAGTTTATTGAGTGCTAGATTTCGTTAGACGAGTAAATAAGTAGAGCTCGGTCGAACGCCGTTCCGACGACCGTTCCACTTTCCGCGAATCCAATATTATTAAACGACAAAGATGTTAATTGATTAGATTTGTCTCTTTGCGATCCATAAAGATCAACACTATGGCCAGTACTATCTATAATGTAAGCAAATTCGCGGAGAGGGAACGGACGATCGGCAGAACGATAAACGGCGCGACCAATTGTGATTTGATTATTAACACTTAGGATAGCCTGCGTCAGATATTGTTCTTATTGTGTATCGTTATTATTATTATTATTATTATTATTATTATTGAGAACGTAGTTGAGCTAGTTTTATACGTCCAACCGTATAAAAAAAAAAACACGTTATGATTATTATTATTATTATTATTGTTATCGTTTCTTTAGTAACTATCGTTAATTTTTAATACTAGAACAGTGTGTCTTTAGACGAATTCATTGTGATAGCGTTTATTGGAGAAGGTAGATACGCTTATGGTTATGCGACTTGGGATGATGATGATACGTAATTCATTTCAAAACACGCCGATCGCTTTACCGATCGGATTACGTTAAAACGCGACGATGATTCTTTGCGCAGACACGGATCGCCGACCTCCTCGGTGTTGCTGGCACGGACGTTCCGATCGAAGAGATACAGAAGCTCATGATGCCCCATCGGGTGAGACGATCATCTTCCATACGTTGTAGCTCGTTAAAATTCGAAATTAAGCACATCGGTAATTACTTAACTTTTTTTTATTTCTGGGATATAGCTCGGCGTTAACGGATACGCGTTCATCGTGACCAACAACGGTTTCATCCTGATTCATCCCGACCTCCGACCAGTGGTAAAGATCCCTTCGATCACTTCTACATAATTGTCATAATTTAACGAATATTCTCCCTCTCGTCACAACACGGTGTAATTATAGTTTCAGGGTATCCTGAAGCCTGCGTACAACAGCGTCGACATGGCGGAGGTTGAGCTGATGGATCAGGACAGGGGACCAAGGGAGTTCGGCGAAGGAATCATTATGGTATTACGTAAAAAAATTCAGTGTCCTTTCCTCCATCGCGAAAGTATTATTATTTTTTATAAAACTGATCTTCTTTTAGTTCCGTAATGACGTGGTCAATCAGACGACCGGTAGCGTGACGCTTCACACGAAGTACCATTACGATGACATGGTGAGTTGTTTCGTAATTTTCCGCGGAAAATGAAGCGAGGCTCGTTTCGTGCAATTTAAAAAAAAAAATTACATTGACCCACTTTCTCTGAATCTTGGCAGAAACGCGTGGGCAGAGTGAGGAGGAAGTACGACTACACTGGTATACCAAACACACCGTTCACGGTGGTGGTCAGTCTGCCGGAACATGATCACACCGGAAGTTATCGCGTGCTCGCAACCGAGGAAATACACCGCGCGCACGTTAGTGGTACGCGCCCCAATGATATTAAGTCGACGCTTGAAACCCTAGTTGATCAGGCTACAATAGATAGAAATTTTTATCCAGTATCTCAAGCATTTTCTAACACGCTAACCAGATCGTCTGTCGCAGGCAAGAACGTGTCGGATTATTTCACTGGTACGAACTGGCGGGTGCATCCCGATTGGTTGTATTGCAAGTAAGTGCCCTTAACTTTGGTTAATTTTAAACAGTCGACCTAAATTCGAACTCCCGGATTTACGTCAAACAACGATGAAAGATTATGGACGCCTAGCGTCAGTGAAATTGCTTTTAAACTCCACGCTGTGTCTAGTATCCGATTCATTCCCTCCTTCCTCCCACATCGTCAATCATATTGACTGCTACAGAGTATTCGTGGGCTCTAATGGGTGAAGTTATTGAAAGAGATTTCTTGCGGTGAACTACAGTAGCATACAAAAGTTCGAGACCCCTACATTCTTGATTTGCGCTAAACGCAATCTGTCTATCGTGGATTAAAAATTAAATACCATTGCAGATACCATTACGAGGACGAGCGTACATTCAATTCCTCGGAGGCGCAGCTGTTGCATTTTTTGGAGCGTACTCGCCAGCCGCGCTGGAAATGGAACGACATGAAACAACCGTCCCAGCCGCCAGAATACTCGGCCACGAGTTCCGGTAACGACACTCACCGTAAATCAAAGTGTAGGTATAATTTTCAATGAATGCAATCCCCGACCCGTCAATTGCTATCGAGCGACCAACGGCTAACACTCTGCCCCAACAGCCACGCCGTACAAAGCCGACAAAGACTCCTACTACTGCGACAGGGAGCTACTCCAGAGTCTGGTGTTCGACGCAAAGGTAACCGAGTGGTTCGCAAACCTCAGCACTACGCGCGAAGAAAAAGGGTGAGCATCCTACCAGACAAGAAATAGTTAAGGCACCTTTGTTCTCCATTACAATGCAAGAAGTTTTCACGAGGGAAAGAAATAATCTAAATGAAAATTGTTATCAATCGTACAGAGTTTATCGTGTGTCGTTCCCTCTGTACATTTTTTCCGTTCACTGCACAATTTTTCTCTCGTTTCCGTTTCATTTACTGTTTCTACGGTGAGGAATAACGAAACGCGCCCGTTCCTTTTTACTAATACTGACCACTTTGACGCCATGCAGACCTTTAGCTAGGCTGATGAATCTGCTGCCCAGGTAACGTCCATCACAACGCACCTTACGTTTTCTTTCTATCTTTTGTTTCCCTTTTACTTTTTAGAGACTAACGATTGTTTCTTTCGTTGCTTGTTTCGTCTGTATTCGCTTTCCTCCCGACGTTCTCTTTTTCAATTCTCTATGCGTTCTCCTTGTTATCGAGACCTTCAATTTTGTAAGATTTCTGGATACTTTTTATTTCCATTCTTCACCAGTGATTTGCACTTTTTTTTTTTTTTACTCCTTTGTTGTTCCTTCTGCGATTCTTAATCGGCGCGAAGCGTTAGATCACGAATCGTCCAATGAACGGAGGTCGTATCTCGGAACTGGGACCTCGAAGAGGAACGACGATGACCCCGACAGCAGGAGGATCGATTGATCTCGACCAGTATCATACAGTAGTCACGGTGTATTTACAAACTCGCTCGCAACGCTTTAATCCTTCGGTTTCTTGGATCAGACACAGGCAGAACGGTGTTTGATTTTTAAATTTAAACGTGTTGTTTAAAGAATTCTGTCGTCTCTGTCCAAGAAACGATTTTCTCGATCGAAGTGCAATTTTTACTCGGTAAAGTTGTTCGAGCGTCGCAATCGAGTTGTCGGAGCTCGGCAGTATCGCAATAGCGCAGTATATTAGAGGAGGAATGCTCGGAGTTCTAATTTGAGGAATAATTACGCCGACCAGAAAGTCTAACGCTTCCCTTCTTGTAGGAAAGAGTTCCAACAACGTTTCGGCGTGACGCTCGCGTTCATGGCGACCCACAGCGGCCTGACAAGATGGCAGGACTTCCTGCTGGACGAGGAGAGCGCCGTTCCCGAGGACCACTTCAGCAAAATGTACCCGAGGGCCATCGACGAAGTGTGGTACAAACGTGCCGTGGAACAGCACTACATCGATCCGGACAGCTTCGTTTTTTCCGTACCGCTCGACGAGGAGGGTGCCGACAACACCACCCTCGTCACCGCCAGTCGCGCTATTTTTACAGGTTAAATTTCCCGTTTGTTCTCGCGACTTCTCGTATCACGATTTGATAACGGAGTTTGTACGTTCGTCCTTCAGAACCTCAGAAAGGAAACGCGCCAGCAGCGGTGGTAGGTTTCCAGTTTCAGCACACCGCCCTTCAAGGTCTATTCCAGAACATCACGTTCAGCTGCGAGGGCCAAACAAATTGCTACACGCATTGCGGCGAGGGCAACTGGACCTGCTACTTGATAGACAACAACGGGTATGTGATCGCAGCGGAGGATGAGTCCGACGCAGGGAAATTCTTCGGTGAGATCAGAGGCCCGATCATGACCAGTCTCGTGAAGGAAGGGGTTTTCGAGAAAATTAGAATATTTGATTACCAAGCAGTCTGCTTCAAGAGAACGCATACCACCAACGATGGAAACATATTGGTGACGGTGAGGTTTTTTTCTTAAAGCAGAATTTAACTAGTCTTTTTTAATGCCAATCATATTCTGTTCGTGATTCGTTGCATTCAGCCGTGGAAAACCGCCCAGAAGTTGATCTCGTGGTTCGTCGGGAAAGCAGCCTGGGCTTGGGCCAAAGCTGGGATTTGGGACTCCGAGTACGTACAGACGTTCGCTTATCCAAACGAGGACGAGGCTATACACGAGGACTATCAAGAGAGCGAGGAGAAACCGACGGTGGACGCGAAGGACGAGAAATTGTTTGACCAAAAGGTTCTGATCAACCGAACGAGACCAGAAGCTTGTGATCAGGAGGTAAACCGGTTGTTCGTTACTGAAAGAATTATTTTATTTATTTCCCCTTTCATTTTTCTTAAATTTTCCCGCCTACAGTTCGTTTTGCCCTTCGCTTAGCGATTGCGCCATCTTTTATGTTGTCTTTCGAAATCCATCATGGCGGCCAAGCCGGTGCTCGAGATACGCAGGTAGCCCGAAACTCGGGTTTAACGATCAAAAAATCGACGAATTCGGGCAGAATCTAATACCTGACCCAGCCTGAACTGTTTCGCGACCTTTCGGCATAATTCATCCCGATTTACCGATCTCTTAATGGCCAGAGTCCGTTGTCGTTCGTGCGGTTAAACAGTCGCCATGGCGTATTCGGTTCAACTTTCTTTTTTACATTTTTGTGAGTGTGATGTGTTTACTAAACCGAGTCCGATGTTTCGAGATCATTTTCTGGATGATCATCGAAAGATGTATACTAAATCGTGGCACATCTTGCATCATATAGAAGTTGCTGTACCAAGTTTCATCGTCGTGTGATTAATTGCTCCTGAGGTATGAATAAGTTGTTCATTACTACTAACTTAGTTCACGGGGAAACGATGAAACTTAATTACTATGTTCATGCAAGTGCTAGGCTTCAGACATTCAAAGTGTTCAAAGAATAGGTTATGAAGTTGAAGCACTGGTCATCGGTGATTACCATGGCATTCAACGTGTTAATAATGGACACTGCTCGAGAGGAAGGTCTAATAGGGCATACGTTTCCAAGAAACTTACTCATAATCTGTTTGTCTCCGATCGTCGTTTGAGTAAGGTACCGCGTGTTAAGATCCACCCTGTACATTAAATTCTTTCTCTTCTCAGGTGTACCTGTACCTCCGGAACGTGTCCTTCCAGTCGTTTGACATCGAAACCGATGTAAACGAAGACTGTCTAAGGCCATACATCGTACAACCGGTGAACTTCAGTAATATGCTTCTGTTAGTGGTCAACACAGACTGTACAGAGACTGTGTCGCCCCCATTGAGCATCTACCCGGAAGAAGTGATGTACGAGAACAACTCCTTGGTCTGCCAGAAAGCGCTCAACCCCTTAGAAAGAAAGACACCTCAGTCCTGCATTCGCAGCGACCCGAAAGAAAGCGAGATCAAAGATCTCTGTGGCTTGGCTTCGAACGTGGAGTCGAATATCTACCTCCTTCTTTTGTTATCTACCGTCTGTGTCTTTGTCAGACGGATCGTCCTCGGTCAGGATTAATTTCCCGCGAATCGACTCGCGACTCGAGGATTTTTCGACTCTACTGGGCTGGATCAACGATGAAAACGTTCTCTCGCGTCGGTTCGTCGCGAACGTCCGGTATAGATGTTATTAGGGTGCTCTCGAGAGATTCGTAAATGCGTATTACCTTTTGCCAACGTCATTAAGCTATTAACGAGACAAAGTACAATTGGAGGCGATTCGTTACGAAGTATTCGATGTTTTCTTTTTGATAGTTACTACGATTTCAAGATGTTCTAGTATTTATAGCGACGCTGTAATAGGGAGGCGTAACAAAGGTCCTGGTGCTGTCCCCTCTATTAGCGCGTGTTTTTAGTGCAGGCAGGGTCTGCATCCCGAAAGTCTTGCTCGTCGATCTCGAGGATTATCACTGGTCAATGGCAAATAAGTATCCTTTGACCGAGTAATTGATCCCAGTTCTTATTACAACCCTAAATTGCGCGATTGAAAGTTAAAGTTATTGGCTCTAGTTTCCCTGACACGCAGGAACTAAAACTGAAAATTTTTTATGATCTTAAAAATAGCATTTGCCGATTGCATTTATGTTGTATATTCGAGCTTAAATATAAATATAAAATATATAAAAGCTTAATCGTAAAGAATACAAATTATAATTAAAAATTTGTTGACCAGTGTTATAGAGCGTCACGGGATGAAGGTTCAACTAGCTGCAGTGTTTCCTTGCAAGATGTTCGTTGCCGTTTGTGTGCTAGGAATCGAGCTTCACTTATCTCAGATTTGGTTCGAAGACAAATCATCCGGTAATAAAAATTAAAGCTTTTATTTTCACAAAAATATTATCCATCGATTGGCGAAATTTCCCCGATAAAAATAAGTCTCATTTCCAATAATATTTAAAAATGAGGGTGATGCTATAGCTATGCAACGCACTGTATGTAACAATTTTAAGGTTCGTTGAATGAACATGTTTCGAGGAATTACTGTATATTACGTAGAATTCTTGATAAAGTCCGATGTCTGACGATGTCCATGAATTCGCGGCTTCTATAGTTGTCCGTTCCAGGATTTAAGCGGACAACCATGACTCAGTGCCGAACTATTTAGTCCTAAAAAGACAACCTTACTGCCCAAAATGCAATGCGACGTCAACTCTGTATGCGTCCCTGCTCTTCTCCTTGCTTCGATCCTTAAGGGGCTATTCCGGTTTAGATCTCTTTTGTTATTTTTTAAGAGGCAAACTATTTTTTATTCGGATTTCGCACGTATATTTATTGATGTTTTCAGTATACACAGTATTTTTACAAGCAAATATAATGAAAATTGTACGAACAGATCATCAGAGAAAGTTCCTTTAAAAAAGTGTCCCTATGACTGACATAATTCCAGTAACAATATCCATAATTTGCTAATCCCAAAAAAAAGTCCCTGGTTTTAATTCACTATGAAGTACTGCCGTACGGTACGCTTTGCATTTATAAGCGATGACGTCACTCGCTAGAAAAGTCGCGGGCAAACCAATTTGTGTAGGTGGAAAATTTCAGTCGACCAGAATGCATATTTCGCGTTTAAGATCTTAAACTTCGGTTTGCGACACAAACGAGGAAGTCAATTCGCGCTAGAACGCTTGTAGGTGGAATGCACCTACGTTTCATGGGATAATCGCTCGGAACTACCGGCGGGGATGTTGAAATCGCCATCGCCGCGGCGAGTTTGATTCGTTTATAAGATCGTTTCACGGGTACGGTTCGGAGCAGGGGCGTATACCGCGTGTGCACGTTACCGATTACTATGGAACACATTCACATTTTTGCGCTTTGTACATTAACCGATGTAAAACATATCGTTTGATATTCATAGAGATTACAAATATTAATTTTGTATATTAATGTATTATACAAGAAGTTAAAGAATGGTGTGTGCCTTTGGACACGCGGTTAAAACCAAACGAAACAAAAGAATCTTGTTGTATGTTTTTCAAATAAACAACTGAACTCTCTACTTCGCTAAATCTCTGCTTCCTTGAGCGAGACTGAAAGGGACTCTGTATAGGTAGACGGGCGCGACGAGTTTCGTCTGAAAAACGAATGAATGTTACTTGTATTACACAGAGTTTATTACCAATTTGCTATGTACAATGGCTTGCCTATGTAAATGAAATCGTTTCTTATCAAAATGGCAAATGTTGAACGAACCGCTGTTATTTCAATTCATTCTCCATCTTTTGTATTATCTCCAGCAATAGCTTCTGCTGCATATCCTTATGAAGTCTGTCCTGTAGCTCTTCCAACATCGGTCCGCCTTTCATGAACTCTTTCAAACCGTGTAGCGTACCATTTCCTATTCTATGATCCGTAATACGATCCTGATTATAATTATACGTTCTGATCTTCTCATTTCTTGATCTCATTCCCATCTGCTTCTTGCGCAACGTGGCAATGAATGACGTTTGCTTAGAAAATTCTTGCTGGTACAGTATACTTTTCAACTTTAACAGCGCCCACTTTTTATTCTTTATTTGCGATCTATCTATTTGGCACGTGACGGTCGTGCCGGTAGGTATATGGACCACTCTAACCGCAGAGCTTGTGGTGTTTACATGCTGGCCGCCAGCTCCAGACGCTCTTTTCGTTTCTATTTTCAAATCTTTATTCTCCAAATTAATTTCTATGTCCTTGGGTTCTGGCAAAACCTGTACCACAGCCGTACTCGTATGCATTCGGCCCCCTTTCTCTGTCGTTGGTACTCTTTGTACCCTATGCACGCCACTTTCGTATTTTAAGTTTTTAAAGGCTTTTTCGCTCGATACCACCATAACGGCATTCCTTAAACCACCTTGCTCGCTGTTATCTAATTCAATTACTTCGTAATCTAATCCTAAATAGTTTAGGTATCCCTGGTACATATTTAATATATCTTTAACAAAGACCATAGCCTCCTGACCTCCTACACCCGGCACTATCTCAACAACAGTGTTCTCGTAACTTTCGTCCCCTAAATTTTCTAAAATCGTATCCACTATCCTTTCATCGATGTTTAGTAAGTGTTGTTCGTACGCAGATTTCTCTTCCATAGCGAGGCTCTTTAATTCTTTGTTGTTGTTAACTGAAAATCAATTCATATCGTTTAGTTATTACCAATAAGGACAATTTTGCGTGCCACAAAGTGGCATTACTCGTGACATAGATGCAAACGATTCCTCTGGTTACTTAGTTTCGAACCAATAATATTCTCTGATGTAAAAAACAAACGCCACTACTTTGTAATGTTTGGAACTTACCAAGTTCGTGTAAATTCTTAAGATTCTCTGTTATCTTGAGCTTTTCGTTCAACAATTCTGTCACTGTTTGTATCTTAAGAACCTCCACGATGCTTTTGTTTTTCTGATCATTATTTTTATACGCGTTCATAAGGTGATTCAAGTACCATTCAACGTTCGCGTTGGTCCGTGATAAATTCGTTTTCGAGCTAAACAATTTACAAGACACGAATGGAAACTCTCTATTAAGGTTAAGCAACAATGGTAACCAAGATTCGAATTTAATTTTATTCGCGACATTCCCATAATATCGGCAAGCATGAAACTTGCATCGCCGTGTAAGAGACAACATAATTTACTGCGTGTTGTGTAAATTATGTGTCATAAAATCACGAGCATTTTTTCAGAAAGAAAAACATCCCTTTGCATTACAATATTTACAACTGAAGTGAGCAACGTATGTGTCGTCTGCTAGCAGGATGGGAAACATTAGGAAAATATAAATCGTTAAGATACTCGTCCGAATACTTTACGAGAAATATTCTTAGAATTAACTAAAAATATTTATCGTACGATGTCTAAGATTCATTTTCATTCGAGGGAACGGTATTTTCGAAAAATCAATGAATCGTTTTTCGATGTTTTTGGATTTGTTGTTTGGTAACAACAGGTTGAAGCTACAAATTCGAGAGTTTTTTACAATCTCGATTCAATTAAGTTTATCCTGTTTTACACAACGTTGAAAAAACACGATACGTATACGTTTTCTCGTATAGGATCTATTTCCACGTCGTTATGTCGAATTTTAACACGTTATGTTCCTTCGAACGTGCATCGTTGATTTCTTTCACGTACAATTAAATAGTCATGGTATATTGTTGTTTCATTTAATAAATCCTCTGTGCATCGAAAAGTATATACGTGCGTAAACAGTATGCGTATGGAAATGGAACGAAAAACATGTTGCATCAATTGTATCGATTTTCTAACGAGTACATGCGTACGATTCGTTGCTAATATATTTCGGTCTTATTTATGTAACATTATATGAATAATGATGTACAAAGTATACCGCACGAAAGCATTCAGATTGCTATAACGTACGGTGAGGAAAAAACAATAATAGTTCGTAATACTCGCGCATTGAACAAGTGCGGTTCGTATTTCGTTGGTAGAGTTGGCTGGATTTACGATTAGTTTACGAGAAGCGTGTGTCAAGATAAAATAACAAAATAAAAGGTACGACTTTACTACACATATATGTATAGGCAAGGGCGTAGCCAGGGTGGGGCACATGGGGCACTTGTCACCTACTAGTTATTTATAAATAAATTGTATACTGGTGGAACCCATTTCGTACACAAAAACTAAATAAAGCGAAGCGAGAACACGCATATATGTATATAGATAGAAGCGAGAGAATAAACCTTTATAGACAAATATGCATATAAACAAAATTCGTACATAAAATGTAATTAAATTTTAGTTTAGCATTTTCGTCCCTTCTTAGACAAAATTCTGACTACGCCATTGCATACAGGATGGCCCATTATGTTTTCTACTTTACACGACTGACCTATTTCGTAAAGATAATCGGACGGAACGTAATATAAGTATAACAAAAATAATACACAGGGTATCCCAGATTTTAATGGCCAAACTTTGTTAATATATTCTGTAGGGCTAAATAAGAAAAAAATATTCTGTAAACATAGGTCGTTTAAAGCTTTGTTAATGACAAAAATACGAAATACAAAGGGGACAATATTGGGACTCATTGATAGAAGTACAATGCAAGAATAGATCAGCAATATTTACGTTTAGTCTGTTTACGAGTGCTGTGTTTATTATTCGAAGTTGTTAAACACTCTGAAGGTAATTTTCGTCAGTATAATTAGTAAGTTGGACTTCGTATGCCTGTATTATTTACGAGTTAAGAGTATACAGAATGCACTTCATTTACGATTTCTAGAATGGGAATGCTCGAGCTGCTGCGTGGAAATATCAACTGTCATGGCCGAGTCCACAGTTTAGCCTCCAAGATTGTCCAATGTCGTGTCGCTCGACTTTTATCCGCGGGGAATTTTAAAAGAAAACACGAATCAAACGAGAATAAATTCGCGTAATGAATTAATACGAGAACCAAATGACGCGTTCGATCTGTCGAGACAAAATAAAAATGATCGTTGTATTATCAAGTATGGTAGATAATTTCGAAAGGGGTTTTAATTATTTTTGGAAGCCCTTTACCACAAAACACGTGTAATTTACGTCTGAAAAGTTTTTGTACGATATAAAAAACAAGCAAGTTATTCGAAGCGATGAAGTTAGATGGGACACCCTGTATACATATACTTCAAACGTGATCTTGCTTCACTTCATTTTCTTTGAACTCGACTATCTCGAACCTCGTCAAGGTTAATCCTTTTATTCTTCGATATGAATCTCATAAGCATTTGATCGATATACGTGCATGGTGAACGCCTATGGGCGTTTGCTGAAACAATTAATGCTATTGTAGAAATCTTGCACACAGCAGACAAGATAAAGAATTCGTTTACTCAAAATACATAATCTTGTAAGTCGAAAACAAAAGATGCTTTCGATGAACAATTAAGAAAGAGAAACGTAATATTGTTAGAGTCGGTCGTTCGGATGAATTGACCTTTCACCCTGCTGAGAATTTCAAATCTTAGAATAGAAAGGGTTAAAAGACTGGTACTATTGCTTGCTTCGGTCGGTTTAAACAGAAAAATGCGATGCTACGAATGATCGGGAAAGGTCTTGCATCTTTCTACGTAAAAGTAAGATACGGAAACGTAGAGTCTCGGAAGTAAAAACGTTAACAGTTCGCGTCTAGTAGGAAAGGGTTAAGGCGTTCGTGCAGTCCAGTGTACGAGTAAAAGGGGGTCGTTTCGTAAATCATTGCCGAAGGTAATTCAAAAGGTTGCCCAATTCGATGTAGGTAGCTCTGATATTCGGGACGAGTGCGCCAAACGTTACTGCACGAGAGAGAGAGAGAGATAGGAGTCAACGGTTAGAGCGAGAAAGAGGAAGACACACGCACGGTAGGACAGTATAGAGCGGCACGGGCAGCTACGATCGACGGTACTATTTTTCATTAAAACAAGCACCACGGAAATTTCGAAAAATAAGCGCACGCCGCACCACGGTAAGTTTCTAAATCCTCTACGGTCCGTTAGTAAATGTTCGTTACTGACTAATAACGCGTTTTCGTTTGCCGTCGATTAACGACGGATTGAAATTGATCACGATGAATTTATGTGCAGGCCTTATAATATTATAACGAAATCATGGAACCTTGCGAGAATCGAATACAAGAGAAAGTGCAAGAAGGAGGTAAGATTAAATTAACAACCGTGGCTAGAATTAATACGCGGTTGTCGTTGGCGCGATTTTTTTATTATATAACGTCGACGATTGTTCGCGGTAAACTTTTATGATTTCTATTATTTTGTAACCTTTTAAAGTTTTTGAACTCCGGCCTCGACTGTCGGTCGGTGATTCCATTATAATGGTGTTTCGTTGCACGTTCACGGAGCTTTTAATGTTTCGTTTCGAAAATAATTACCGTTGTTTATGCGTGATCGTTGATAAAACGCGCGAAAGAATTTATTTTGTTTCGTTGATCGCAACATCGTGATAGCGACGAGTCGTTTGTAATCTGTGATAGTGCATGAAAACACAGTCTTGAGCAACGTGATATTCGATTCTAATCAAACGTTATTGTGTTTTAATCTTCGAATATATTTATATTTGACAAATAAAAATAATTTTGTATATACATGTATAAATATATGTATATATATATATATATATATAGAAATTAAGTTTTGAAGCAATATTATTATATTTGATTTGCTACAGTTAGAAAATAGATACTGTAATTTATTCATAAAAGTATGTGTTTAAGTCAGAAAATATGTTTAATGCGTTAATTATTATTCCAAAATTATAATTTGTGCAAATTTTAAGCGGCAATTGGTTTTTCAGAATATGGATTCTTTTGGCAAGATTATCTTGATGTTACAAAGAGCGTCGAGGTGCCTCAAATTATGTTTCCTCATGTGGAGCTTACGCTTCAGAGCAGTATCGAAATTGGCATGTCCCTCGAAGTGCCGGTTCCATCAAGCTCGGACAAGGAAAATATCAAATATTGGGTGGCTTCCATTGTCATGGCATGCGGGCCTTTGTTACGTTTGCGTTATTTCGGGGGTGATGACAGATCGCTGGAATTTTGGTTCAACCTTACCAAAGAAGCTGCTCATGAACTTGGCTGGTGTGTGAAAAATAATAAGAAGTTAGAACCACCCGATATTGTACTTCAACGATCGCCTAATTGTGCGGAGAAGTTGCCTGAATTTTTAACAACAGCTCGTACCGTTCCCACAGAAATGTTGTCAGGGGTTGGTTGCAAACTTGTAAAAAAAGTCACAGGAAATATTGTTAATGTTTAATTTTGTTCTTTTATTGTCTACACAGGATGGTCTCAGCATGACTGAGAGGATCAAACAAGGCATGAAGGTTGAAGTAAGCGATACACTGCATCCTTACAAATTATGGGTAGCTACGGTGAGAAACAGCAGATACGTTTTATTTAGTTATGGTTTACTTCAAAGTTAATGTTCTCTATTTTGTATCACAGATTATAGAAAATGTAGGTGGACGCCTTCTACTGAGATACGACACCCCCAGTTCGTTGAACAGAGATTTTTGGATGTTCTGTACATCGGAGCATCTTCATCCATACGGATTCACGTCTAAATCCGATTCCACTTGGTTTTTAGAACCGCCCAGTTCCATTGTAGATATGCATACGTACGAAGAATGGAAAGATTTATTAGAATCTATACCAAAAAATAACGATCTGCCGGAAGAACTATTTCTCAATAACATAGAGCATACAAAGCACGAATTTAAAGTTGGCATGAAACTAGAAGCTTTAAGTCCAATTCATCAATCACAGATATGCCCAGCTACAGTTATAAAAGTATTTGACGATACTTACTTCCTTGTACGTATTGATACATACGATAAATTGTTAAAAGACATCGATATCGAGACGTGTATGTACAATAGTACAGAAAACAATACTTGGCTCTGCACAGCAGAATATCCGTATATCTTTCCAGTTGGATGGGCGAAGAAAAACAATATCAAGTAAATATAATATTTTATTTGAATATTTGTACAATCGTGGCTTAACATTTTATTACTTTTTCAGAATCGTACAACCAAATGGTTGGACTTCGGAAAAGGAGGACTTTGACTGGGACGAATATTTAACAGACACTCAAACGACTGCTGCAGACGAAACGTTATTTTCCGAAAGGCAAAGTGCCACTGATGCAGGCTTCGAATGTGGTATGAGATTAGAAGCAGTCGATCCAGAATGCGAAAACATTATATGCGCTGCTCATATTACTAAAATCGTTGACAATCTCTTATGGTTAATGTTAGACAATTATGAAAACACTAGGCCAGAACACATAGTAGATATGCATTCCCTACAAATATTTCCGGTCGGATGGTGCGAATCTAATCATTATCCATTGAAACCACCAAAGGACTATGTAGAGCTTTGTAAAAAGCTTCAAACGCCGGCTAAAGATGATAAGAAAAGCAATGTTCTGGATATACCTATATCCGAACCACGCTCGTCGTTATGGTGTCCAAAGATCTATTTCAATTACCGTTGTTTCACGGGACCTATGATCTCTAAAGGGAAATTAGCAACTCTGCCGAAAGCAGTGGGCCCCGGTCCCGTGATTCTAGTTATGAGAGAAGTTTTATCGATGATCGTGTCCGTTGGATACAGAAGTGCACGGATATTGAAAGTGCTCCAATGCGATTCGAAACCAGATCCCGGTTATCATTTAGAAGTTTTGAAGGCAAAGCATAAAAACAATACATATCGCGCCAGCGTAGCTGTCGTCACGTCAGGCGATATGGTGGCTGATTTCTGTAGAAATATCTGTAAGAAGCTAATGGTATGTCCAAACTTGTTTGGCCCTCTGTATGTACCCGAGAACGAATGTCCGGATAAATGTCATAAAACGTCTAAAGCGAAATTCAGTGAGTAACTTGGGATATACGAGCTTGTCAGACGATTATAACTGATTTGATATCAGAGTATGTATTAACTTCAAATGATATTTTATTTTAGCGGCATCTGTGGGTACTGGAAGGAGAGGGAAGCCAAAGGGTTACACAAGCATCATGGTGCAAAAACCAAAACCATGGGGCGGTAGGAGGAAAAGGAGACGCGGCAGATGGGCAAACAGAGAGAAGGATACTCACGACGATTACGACCACGAAGACGAATTGCCATTCATGTCGTTGGATTTAGCAAAGCATATATCAGGAATCGAGGAGACTCTCGATGGTAGAGCCCCGCTTTCGGAAATAGATATCATGATACAGAAAGGTTTGGAGAAGTCGGACAAGTCGGACGAATTTAAAACCGAACCACCGTCGAGCAACGCCTCGGAAGATTCGGGTAGTTCGTTCAACGACAGAAAAACGAAAGACAGAGGAAGTCCCAACAGTATGAGCAACAAACAACATTCGTCGAAGTATAGCCAAAGTAATTCCGTCACCAGGGCAAGTAAGAGGGAACGAGATTGGGACACGAGCATCGAGTCCGATTGTTCGGAAGCAGACGCCGAGTACGTGAGAATGCAGAAGAAACAAAGGCGCCCGAAAACGCGGAAGCTGGACTCGAATCCGTTGTTCTGGAGCGTGGACGATGTGTTCAGATACTTGAGAAAAACGAACGACTGCAAAGATATCGCGTATCGTGTGAAACAAGAGGTAAAGAGAGAATAATCTTAACGTAGTCGAACGTGTTCCATTAATGTATTTCATTTAACAGGAAATCGACGGATTGGCGTTTTTATTGTTGAATCTACCGTCTCTGACCCAGCACATGAAATTACGAACTAGTTTAGCGATGAAGCTTTGCCGTCACGTGGAGCAAGTCAAAGTTACGTTCTTTCTACGGCACATCAACGAAATAGAACCAGAACAGTATCAAATTGTATAATTTCGTCAATTAGAAGAATTCAATTTATTTTTATTATTTATATAGTGTAACATAATGTACTGTGCGAAGCAAAATGACATTAAGATGTTAATTGTATGATAATGACTGAGTGATTTTTAATTTATATAAAAATGCAAGACTGCATTACCATTAAATAGTGATACATTATATTTAATCGTAGCATGATATATTTAAATTATTTTTGTTATGTTGGAAACTTTTTGAATGAAATTGAATTGTAACGATTATACATAAAGTTATCAGCCATATACCTAACGCATCGAGGCATGTTCTTTTTCCATAATGTATAAAAAGAAATTTGTATAAAAAATTATAATCGTGAATTTTCTCCCATCGTTTATATTTATATAGTACAAATTCTTTCGAACTTTTATTTTGTAAATTAACAATAAAACGTTACGTTCGTAGTTACAAAATGTACCGAATTTCGATATAACACGTAACTACAGTGGCCTAAAATGTACACTCGAACTGTCGTTTTCGCGTGTCGCAATCTAAATTTGCGACAATATTCTTGCATGCTATGCACCGGACTGTACTTTTTGAAACATCGCCAAACGGTCTACACTGTAGATAACATTTCAAACAAGAACAAGTTGCTTCAAATATGTCATTTTGTTTAACGTGTACGCTTATGTGCTTCTGTTATCGATACATGTAATACTTTTGTTTTGGACTTGTAGTCGTTCCTTACAGCGAATGCTAGAACAATTGGTGTGTGATCTTTAAATTGATTATTGCACGGAGGAAAAAGGCGAGTTGTAAAGAATGGAAGGGTTATTACATCCGGAACGAGTGTCGACTCGTTTAGCATCCGGTTCATTTCGTAGAATGCATTCTCTTTCGTACGAGTTCTATCAATTGTCGCCAAAAGAAATGGCGCGACGAGGTGCTTTGTAAGCAACGCTAGTTACTTATCCGTCCGTGGTCCGACGACCAAACGCACGATTACCAAATACGCATACGGACGTAATTGTTACCATAATTTCTATTCGATGTACACGGATGCATAGCTCGTGTTTCAGCTTACCCGGAACACGAGGAAGCCCGTTAATTTTGCTGAACACGCGTGTAACTGTAGCAACATGGCTTGACCTACATTTTTGTTCTAAGCATCCGATCGAACGTTTAAATTTACACAGTCGTATTGCTTATCGCTACGGACATTCGCTATTGGCTATACGATGGTATCCTGAAGCTATCTTGTTACAATATTAGTGTGACAATGTTACGGACATATTTCCATGCGTCGATACTTCGGAGAAAAAGCTGCATGCGCGAATACACGTTTGTGTGGGCAGGGAGATAAAACTGAAATTTCATTGGTATCCGTTCGATCGGAACTACGTTAAAGTACTTTTTTTTATAACAGCGTCGGAACGAAACTTGTGAATTAAAAATTATGCATCGATATTTTCGAACAACGATATGACGTCATAAGAATATTTTCATACCTTTATTTTTATAGAGGTTATCAATGAATTACGGTGGGATATCGATAAAGTGCATCGGATAAACTACCGGTATTCTAGGTAACGGTGAAATTATATGATTCGTATCAGGAACGGGTAAAATGTGTTTTGAGAAGTATTCGAATGGGCGAATACCGTACTTATTTCTATTCTTTTTGTGGTCAAATGTTAAAAAGTATATATTCGCAAGTTGTATTCTGCAGCTGTGCAACAGCCAGGGGCGGATCTATGAGCATTTCTTGAACGGACGAAGGAGGGGCGAAATATGATAGATGTTCTTTAACTTTCTTTTGCACAATTTGAAATTTATTGATATTTTTGTTCTCGAGGAGTTGGTTTCCCCTCCCTTAGATTCGCCCCCGACAGAGTACTTTTATACTTTTTTATTTATATTTTAATATTATGGAATATTTCTTTCCAGGTGGTCGTGAAACAAACAACGGTTTTCCATCGACAGAAGTGGAATTTTTGGTACGAGAGCCATATTGTATTCGCGTCTCGAAGAATAGATCTATCGTTACGACGCGCCAAGTTACCCTCGTTTAACAGGCGTCACATTTGAAATGTATCATTCTTGTCCCCCTTTCTACAAAGTGTACGCAGCTGCACTTTAGGATCCTATACATAGCAGCATCGTTTACTCGGAGGGCGCGCCTTTTTCGAATCTAGTGCGACAGATATCTTCGATCTGTCTCGAACATTATTGGCCAAAGGATACTAGCTCCTGTAAGGTATCGTTCACATTGTTTGGCGGGACATCTTCCCTTAAGAAGCTATTCTAGTCTCTCATATTCGAAAAATTGATTCGCTTTTTCTTGTAACATCTTAAAAATTTGGTGTTAAAAAGTCGAGCAAACGTCGATTAAGTTACGTTTATTAAAAGTGGCAACAGCAAGACGTATCGAACTTTGTTGGAACCGAATGATAACGTTGACGTTATTTAAGATTCCAAAAAAGTCCGGTCGCAGTGTGAGCGACCCTTAACGCTCGTAAAGGTGTAACGGTGTGAAGCGAATCGGTGTGCCTGCGGCGTCGAGTGGTGGGGATGTGGCTGTATTGTATATGCAACGTGCACATTTACAGCAGTACAGTACCGTACGGCGCGTTACCGTGTGCGAGTCAGTGGTTTTTCGATGATGCCTTGGTGATGACGGGACATTAACGTTCGAACGGTTCCCAAAAAAAAAAGTGGAGATAGGTGAGCTACACGTTACAGTGACCGAATAGTTGACCACTGTGACGCAAATCGAGGTATTACACGTGAAATTCGTGAAACGAACGGGAACAGCGTCGGCGATCAATGTTGGTTCGCGGGTGTGACCGTTCGTTCGCCCAGCCCCGTGTGTGCTCCCTTTTTCCTTTTTCCCTTTTGGTTCCCCATCGGGGGAAATCCGTTTTCCGACCCGACGACCGATCGATACGATTTCCTGAAACGTTCGTCGACCGATCAAAACGGTTTCTAAAGGTACATTCAGCCCGAACGAACGGGTAAATGGTTCTTGAGTTTTCGTTCGCGGTGTTGTGATTTCGAAGGACGACTACGGTGAGATCATCGTGACACCATCACCTGTGCACGACCCGAGAAGCAATTCCGGTTTACCGTGTATCCGTTTCTGCTTTTCTTTTCTTTTCCCTTTACCTTTTTTCCCAGTCTCGTTTCGTGGAATTTACGCGTGCCGTTTCTGAATCATGATTGACCCGGGCACGCTGACACATGTCCAATTTATAAGTTTGCCCGTCAGTTTTTTTTTTTTGCCGCGGAGAGCACGCCCATTTTTCGCGTCTCCATTGGCAACTGTCGTCTTGTAACATTTTCACGGGATTTGAAAAATTCTCGACGACTACCGTATCGGATTCCGGAACGAGTGTGTTCGTTTCAACACACGGTGGGCTAGTATTGAATTTTAGCTGTTCAAGACTTCCCACTCTCGAATCAATCAGATTTATTAAGTATAAAAGTGTAGAATTGTTTTAAAAGAACTTTTAAATATATTAAATAGTCTTTGTGTTGTTTGATCAACTTCTATAGGAATGTTGAAGAACTTAATATAGCTTGATGAATAACAATAGTTTTCCATTTCACAGAGATTGTTGCAAACAAGATTATTACCAATGTCAATAAACACTGATAAGGCTTTGTCTAAACTATGTTCAATAGATTCGACGGTAGGTTTTTCAAGTTTAGAGGGAATTTAAAACATTTCTTTAACCATTCAAGTATAAAAGACTGAAATGGTTTGACCTGGATAATATAAATCTTTGATCATTTATTTCTTAATATCTAAGAAACTTGTATTTCATTTCTATGTGGTACATTCCAATTCATTTTGATTACAATAATAATACTGCAATATCTACAGCCAATTTCACTAAGTATTTAAATGAAATTAAATGTTCCTAGTGATTCATCTAATAAAGAAAATTAAGACAATTCCGAATTACAAGTAGCTTCACTTGAAATTGAAACATACAATCCAAACAGAGTTCACTAAAATGTAAATATATTTGTTCATAAAAAATTAAGTGTTTTGTTGTTGTTGTCGTACTCTCGACATTCGACGTGGAATGCGAAATATACGAAATATGAAGAAGGTATTAGTTCTGAAAAACTGGAACCGAAATCGATAAAGACTAGAACCAATGTATCTGTAACAGTTATGAGTCATAACTCCTGACATATTTTCGTTTTCACAATTACTTTAATTCAGAACCGACGTGTAACGGTTTGAAACAGTTAATTTAAACCGTAACAACCACCGATATACATTTTCGATTTATTTATTATTTTAATTCATTTGGAACTGTTAAATTTCAAACTCGTCAAACGAGATTTAACATCTCGATGTCATTCGAATAAAAAATAATAAAAACGTCACTTATGAACGTGAATAGGGTTTGCAAGCACCGTCGTAATGATTTCATTCGTCGGGTTCATTTGAACCGTGAAGTTTGAAAAGATGAATTTCCGGTTGCAATGTAGCCGGCGCTCGGAATGGGAAAATTTATTTTCTCATTCAGATACTGATTTATCGTCGGATTAAAAGACTATCGAAATAACTGGTCGGTGGATTAAATGTTATAAACAAACGCTGCACGGTGTTTTCATTCATCGTCTGTCGTTCGAATAAAATGCTAAACTAATTTTTACCCACAATTTTATTCGCTTGAATTTAACCGTTTTATTCGTTAGTCGCGAATAAAATTTGCTCGACTCTGTCGGTATTTGGATCGAAATTCGATTTCGAACGTTAGATACGAATATGTAGAAGCTTCTAAATTTGTGTTTTCTAACATTTTCAGGGAGTTATTCTTCTATTTCTAGATCAAGAAAACACCCGCCGATCATGAAGCTCATCGTGTGCATTATCTCAACACTGGTACTGCAAGCATTGGCTATAAGTGAGTGTAATTTCGTTGTCGTGTTTCATATCGGTCAGGATAAATTTCAAGCAACACTTGTTGCTGATCTACGAGTTTTCATAACAATTTCTGATTTTTAATTATAGTTCATGTCCTGGACGTTATAGGAGGTGAAAATTATAGAAATTGCCAAAGACAAATTTTAGATAGTTATCGCTTACTCCAAATTTATATAGATACATAAATTTAGCGTTAAACAATTATATTACATTGTACATACGCGTAAAATGCTTATAGGCATTTTAAATACGAAACAGCTTTTTTATTTCTTTTAACATTTCTTATGTTAAATGAAGGTTTTTTTAGCATAATTATAATGCATTAAATTAAGGGCTTCTTTGTGTTATTTTCACGTTATTTGTTTTTTTTATACAGGGTGTTCAGCCATCCCTGGGAAAAATTTTAATGGGAGATTCCAGAGGCCAAAATAAGACGAAAATCAAGAATACCAATTTGTTGATGGAGGCTTCGTTAAAAAGTTATTAACAATTAAATTCAAAAATTTCTAATCGTTCTGGAAAAATTATTTTCCGTCGCGGGGGTCAATTACAATCATTTTTGGTGAATAGACATAACCCCGAAATCCTACCCACTTTCTAGAAAAAAATTCGAGAATGGGTGAAATTTTTCGACGAAAAAAAATTTTTCAAATCGTTTTAAAAAAATTATTTTTGGTTGCATGGGTCAGTTACAATCATTTTTGGTCAATACACATGCCCCCGAAATCCTAACCATTCTCGAGAAAAAAATTCGAGAAGGTACAAAATTTTTCGACAAAATTAAAAAATTTCTAATCGTTCTGGAAAAATTATTTTCAGTTGCAGGAACTAATTACAATCACTTTTGGTCGATACACATACCCCTGAATTCCTACGCGTTTTTAAGAAAAAAATTCAAATATATAGACAAATTGCCGTTCTACAGCCGGAACTTTGAACGTTAATAACTTTTTAATAAAGCCTCCATCAACAAATTGGTATTCTTGATTTTCGTCTTACTTTGGCGTCTAGAATCTCCCATTACAATTTTTCCCAGGGGTTGCTGGACATTCTGTATATACTGCATTTGAATCTCCTTTAGTGGCCATTGAAATGATTTAATTTATTCTGCTTTTCGTTCCCAAATATTATAATTTATCGTTGCATAATGCGAACATTATTACGCGCGTACAATTGTGTTATTTCGAAGTGTATCGATTATACATGTTTACCGTTTGTATCTTCCATTAGTCCAATCTCCACCACGGATATCCAAACAACCCCCGACAGACGAGCAGTTATTTCAAGTGGCTCAAGCAAACATCAACGAGAATGACAAACCATTTTTAATCGAATGTGAAGCAGAGGGAGAACCTGCTCCGAGGTAAAGTACATCCCATTAAAAAATAAATAAAAAATGCTTCATTCCTCTTGCAATCAAAATTATTTATAACCAGTTCAAACAGATTCCTTGTCAGTTCCATGTTAACATCTGTAAGTCACTTCTAAGGCAATAACGTCTTACAGGAAGTACTAATTATTAGATAGTGGGGCATTATGATCACATTTTCCTACAAAATTTCATTCCTGTGTAGTTTCATTGCACTTGTATGTAAGTGCGCTATCTCTGTCCTCCAAAGAAGCCAGAGTAACTGGTCTTAATTACCAGGATGACCTCATAGCCTTAGGGGGTATAAAGTTACCAGTACCGATAAAGATACCTTACTTGTGGTGTGAATTGTAGATGCATGGGAGTGGTCGCCAAAGCAAAATAGATAATATTTATATCATGTAATTTATTTTTATTTGTTTTCAAACAGTATTCATGGAAGATTGCTTGTATTATTTTTATAACGGTAATCCTAACTTTCAGTGATCGTTACCGAATATTGAAAGCAATAAAGGATAAGAAACGAACGACCCTTCTAATATATATTTAAATTTTGTTCAGATACCGATGGATCAAGAATGGAAAGGACTTCGAGTGGCCAGCGTACGACGACCGTATCTCTCAACAACCAGGTAGAGGTACGCTGGTGATCTCGAGACCGCGGGACGAAGATCTAGGCCAGTACCAGTGTTTCGCAGACAATGAATGGGGAACAGCGACATCTAATTCGGTCTTCGTCCGTAAAGCTGAACTGAACTCTTTCAAGGATCAGAATCCTATAAGTCTGGACGCGAACGAGGGGCAACCGTTTAAGTTGACGTGCCAGCCGCCAGATGGCTGGCCAAAACCAAATGTCTATTGGTTGATCCAGGACACCGCCGGTGGCATAAAATCAATCAACAATTCGCGAATGACGTTGGATCCCGAGGGTAATCTTTGGTTCAGCAACGTCACCAGAAACGACGCTTCCGACGATTTCTACTACGCGTGCGCAGCGACATCTGTATTCAGAAACGAGTACAAATTGGGTAACAGAGTCCTGCTGAACGTAATCTCCTCGGGGATGTCGTCGAGCCAGAACAAGCACGAGCCCGTCAAACAGTACGTCAGTAGGAAAAACGAGGTTGCCCTGCGTGGTAAAAAGATCGAATTGTATTGCATATACGGCGGTACGCCGCTGCCGCAGATAATATGGAGCAAAAACGGCGCAGTGATCAGAACCAACGACAGAATAACGCAAGGGAATTATGGTAAATCGTTAATAATAAAGCATGTCAATTTCCAAGACGAGGGATCGTATACCTGCGAAGCGTCGAACGGAGTGGGAGACGCCAAGTCGTATTCCATAAACCTGCAAGTAATGGCGGTACCATTCTTCACCATGGAGCCCGAAATAATAAATGCAGCCGAGGACGAGACCATCGAGTTTAAATGCGCGGCCAGCGGAGTACCACTTCCGGAAATAAAATGGATTCATAATGGAAAACCAATATATGAGGCACCTCCAAATCCTCGTAGGAAAGTAACGCCGAATTCTATCATCATCGAAAATCTGACGAAGAAAGACACAGGGAATTACGGCTGCAACGCTACCAACTCGTTAGGTTACGTGTACAAAGACGTTTACGTAAACGTTTTAGCTCTGGAGCCCGAAATTACCCAACCGCCGCAAGATATATCCACCGTGGACGGGAAACCGGTCAGGATCACTTGTCGCGTGTTTGGGGCGCCAAAACCAGCCGTCAAATGGGTCAGAAACGGTCAGGAATTAACAGGGGGCCGATACAAGACTTTGGAATCCGGCGATCTCGAAATCGACAATGTAATATTCCTGGATGCTGGCACCTATACATGCCACGCGTCCAATAAATTCGGTGAAGTCGAGGCTACCGGTAATCTGATAGTAAAGGAGCACACGAGGATCACGGATGAACCGGAGGATTACGAAGTCGCGGCAGGTTCTACAGCAACCTTTAGGTAGGTAAAGATCAACCCTAGGAACAATTTTAATGGGAGATTCTAGAGGCCAAAATAAGATGAAAATCAACAAATTGGTATTCTTGATTTTGGTCTTATTTTGGCCTCCAGAATCCCCCGTTAAAATTTTTCCCAGAGGTGGCTGAACACCCTGTATACTGCAATTTTCTCCAACCCTATGCACAGTAATCAAGACTAACGGATGTTATTTATCCAGGTGTAACGCTGTCACGGATTCGAGTTTGACGCTAACGATCGACTGGTTGTGCAACGGCGAACCCATCGATTTCGAGATGGAACCGCGATTCATACGGAGTACCGATTACTCGTTAATGATCACAAAGACAACGGAGTTAGATTCCGGCACTTACACGTGCGTTGCTCGCACCGAATTGGACCAGACTAGAGCGCAAGCGACGTTAACCGTTCAAGACGTGCCGAATTCACCGAAATTACTTAACATAGTTTGCATGGCGTCCGAGGCTTCTGTACATTGGACTCCCATGGGCGATAACAGGGCTCCAATTTTAAGATACACCATCCAGCACAACACTACTTTCACGCCGGATACTTGGGAGGTGTCCAAGGATTCTGTACCAGCCACCGAGCAGACGTACGTTGTGCCAATGACGCCTTGGGCTAACTACACCTTCCGTGTACTAGCGTGGAATAAGATCGGTAAGAACAGCTTTGCTCGCTAACTTTGGGGACCGTGTGAAATTTAGAAAATTTATGAACGATAAATTAATGTTGTATGGTAGGTCCGTCGTTACCCTCGCCGCACAGCGACGTGTGCACCACACTACCAGACGTCCCGTACAAGAATCCTGATAACGTGATCGGTAAAGGATCCAGTCCTCAAAATCTCGTTATCTCTTGGACAGTGATGCCCCAAATAGAACACAACGCGCCTAAGTTCATGTACAGAGTGTATTACAAACGGGATATACCAGGAGAGAAATGGACCATAGAGGACATAAACGATTGGAAGAAAAATACTTTGGTCGTAGACAATCAACCCACTTACCAGAGATACAAGATCAAAGTCGTGGCTATAAACGAGAAGGGTGAATGCAGAGTCGCGCCCACCGAAGTCGCTGGATTTTCCGGAGAGGATGGTTAGTCAATTCATTCATAATCCAGCGCTAGAGAACAACCTTGATAAAACCATTGTTAACGTTACAGTTCCAATGCAAGCGCCGAGTAACTTTACGTTGAAACAAGTAAAGTCGAGCACTAGCGCGCAATTTTCATGGAATCCAGTTCCCGAGGAATCTGTACGCGGTGAATTGCAAGGGTATAAAATACAAACGTGGACGGAGCGGGACGGTGAGAAAGGAATGCGGGAGATTGATATAAGGGGCGGTAACAGGACGCACGCGTTAGTGAACAAATTTGTCCCGTTCAGCAAGAACTACGTTCGAATACTAGCGTACAATGGCCGGTAATGAGAACTGAAATAATATTTATTTTTATTTTTTATTTGTAGCGAGTAACGTGAATGGTTTGTTTCAGCTATGCCGGGCCACCTTCCGAAACCTTGAGCTTCGACACGCCAGAAGGTGTCCCGGGGACAGTTCTCAGCTTCGAGGCATACCCTATGGGCTCCAGCGCGTTGTTCTTAGTCTGGACGAAACCAGCGGAGCCAAACGGTATTCTAACCGGGTACAGAATTTACTACCATGTTGTAAATGGAACGAGACTGGGACCTCTGTTGGAACGGAAACCACACGTGTCGGACCCGGAAGCTACCAGCGCGAAGTTAGCGACATTGGCGCCCGATACAAAATACCGTATTCATATTCGAGCCACCACGAAAGTTGGCGAAGGAAACGAGTACGTTATTATTCGATGAAAAAAATTTTTTAAAATACTGCCTCGTTTTGCAATATGTTTATGCTTTTAGCTACTTCATTGAACAAAAAACGCGCACATCCCAACACCCGGACGTGCCGCATTTCACGTGGGAGACCATACCAAAAGAGAACGGTTACTCGAACGTGAGGATTATTTGGCAGCTGAATCTCAACGGGAACCCGGGCAGCCATTTCTTTGTCAAGTACAAACTCAGGGGTGAGACGATATCCCGCGAAACGGATCCGGAGTATCACTCTAACACTATCGAAATCCGCGGTCTTCAAAGCGGCGAGGTGTACGTGATGTCCATAGTCGCGGTGGACGGGATTTATTTCAAAGAGAGCGAGCCGCAGGAAGTGGAGACGAGCAGCGAGGGACCCATTATACAACCTAAAGAGAACGTCGCGACCGCTGGATGGTTTATAGGAATGATGCTGGCGATCGCCTTCCTTCTCCTGGTACTTATAATCGTCTGCGTCATCAAACGCAACAGGGGCGGGAAATACGCGGTCCACGAAAGAGAACTGGCCGCTGGACGCGGTGATTATCCGGAGGAGGGCGGTTTCCACGAATATTCCCAGCCCCTGGACACGAAATCAGCGGGTGGCCGCGCGTCTTTGGCGTCGTCCTCACATCAGGATGGAAAGCATCCTGAATCCGACACCGATTCGATGGCGGAGTACGGGGAGGGCGATACAGGTCAGTTTAAAATATAATAAAGGTCAATTTGTACTCGGTTAATAGAGTAACGAGGCAATTCAGGTATGTATCATTATATTTTTAGTAGCGTATGCACATGTGCACTAGTTCCCACGTACGTGAAACCGGAAGCATGGTTAGAGAAGTTTATGTCGAACGATATCTTTTTTTTTTTTATTTACGTTACAAGAATTTATATCTACCACCCACGTACATTTTCAGTTATGCTTGTTTAATTACTGGCCTGGTTGGACAGTGAATTAAAGAATTATTGTCCTACCAGGATCATCCAGTGAATATTGATTTATGTATTATTATCCTTGTACAGCATTTTAATTTTTATTTTATTATGTTCTCCATTTCTTTTTTTCTCCTTTATCGGCCAATTTAATGCAGAAGGCATGAACGAAGATGGATCATTCATTGGTCAGTATGGTCGTCACCGTAAACCAGAACCAAACTCGCAAGCATTTGCCACGTTAGTTTAAGGTAGGTCACGCGAGGCTTCTATGGAGGAATCGCTTTTATCGTCGTTCTCAGCATGGTCGAAATTGTAATTTTAAATGTTCAGTTAGAAATTTGAATCGTCGTTCTGTTGAAGGACGTTTCACGGAGGACGGTTCTTTCATTGGACAATATGGGCCCAAGGGTAGACCGGAGGAAACACCGCCCATTCCAAGCGGCACTATGGCCACATACGTGTAACCTCTGCCATTATCACACTCAAGCCGCATAAAAATTGTTTTCTTGTCGAAAGTAAGGGCTCCAGTTCTTGCTAGCCGCAGCAGCTCTGCTATGCACCTTGCGCTGGGCGCAATGTCCAACACTATACTGCCAATTAGACTTTGGTTTTGGGTTTTATAGTTTACGTAGAAAGATTAGGTGAATGTTTCTATGCCGACTCGATGCAAGGTATATACAAACGTAATCCGAACGCTCATTCCTCCAAAACGTTTCGTATTAGTTTATAGCACAACCGTTGTTCGAATGTTCGGGCGATTTTTTAATATTTGAAAGAAAGTCGAGTCGCGAAATACCGTTTGTTGATTGACCAGAAATCAGTTACGAGTAACAAAGTTTGTTGTAGATCTTTGACTAATTATAAAACCCAAAGACGATAGGTGTCTCATAGCGTGCAAGCTATTTATGGACATAATATAGTAGAAAGTATTCTAGCATCGACCGAAACATTTAACAAGGCCAGATTGTAACAGACACTACCAGCTTATCACAGGGTATACGAGTTATGTTTATATTGTTCTAAGTATGTACGACATAAAAGCGTGTGATGCACTTTCGAGGCTGCATATAGGATCGCGTCTTTCGAGAACGAAAAGATAATCAACGTCGATAATTCGAGTTACAAAAAGAAGTAGTTAGATTGGTGTTACTTATATGCAATCTTGAAAACCGAAGGACTGATATCGAGAACGGTGTCGCAATCTGGCCTCGACTGATTCTAATTTTAACTTAAAAAAAAATGAAAACGATTGTTCTAAGGAACTTTAGATGCAATCAATTTTTACTCTGCCGACAGAGGGCCAAATATAACGAATCAGTGACTATCTACAATTATCGTGCACTCGCACTTTCATTAACGATACACGAAACGACAAAAATATATGAAAGATATTATTATTACTATGATATTAAAAGGAACATTGTACATGCACTACAGTAGTTAAAGGAAAAAGGAAATGTCACATGGCCTCTAATTGTTGCTTTTTGTATGTGAAACGTGCTTTAGCTGAAAACGAAAGTCCTTTTATTTTTATGAATGTTTACTTTCCCCTTTTTTTTTTGGTAATTTTATTATAATCCATTGAATATAGGATATTGATTATTTAATATATAAAATATTAAATATATAGAGACATATATTGATTATTAATTAATGCTTAGAGTCTTAAAAGAATGCGATCACAAGGAGCAGCTATTATTACGTTTTAGTATATAAAGTGTTATGAAATCATAGATAATTCGTTGATTTCTTCGAGAGTAAATGTACGTTTTATTTACCGTATTAAGTTTAGCATATTCAATGCAATGTACAGGTTGTCTGCAAAAGTGTCGCAAGCAAATATGTCAGGTACAAAAATAAGAAAAGGTACAAAGTATAGAATACTTATAATACACGCGCGCGTAAAGTTCGTAAAAATGTATATGATATTTCCAAAAGGATACGCACCTCTCAAGCTTATCAAAATGACAAACCGCATAGTAAATTATTCTATCCAATTTCTTTCGAAAGCTCCGTTGGGTGCCAGCGTTGAAAAAAAAAGAAAAAGAAATCGTTTCCTTTGGCGAAAACTTACACGTTTCGAGAAATATTTGTCAGGGTCTTTTTTGCCGATTATCCTGTACAAATGGCTTGGACGTCACGTAATTTTTACGAACTCTATATATATATGTACACACATACCTATATAGGCGCCTACAAAGAAAAAAAAGAAAATGACGTATTGTAAATTAACGAAAACAATAATTTATTGTAAAGATACCGAAGTATATAAAAAGGGGGGGAAAAAAAGAAAAGAAGCGCAGAGACATATATGTAATATATTAGAGTGTCATTTATTGTAAACTTGTATTAAATTATATTTCCAAAGGGTAAGCATCGACGTCCAAGTCAGTTTATAAGCGTACGCAGTTATGTTTCGATGTATTTTTCTAATCGTACTATCTTCTGTATATTTTCGAAGTGTCTAAATCGCGTCCTCTATGATTCTCTAATCCCCTTAGCTGGATGAAACACGTGGCAACTTATGTGAACTTCCAATAACTTTCGTACGTGTAACTGGTGTTTTGATACTTTTTAATATATTTTGATACATTTTTTCTTTATTATTTGCATTAATTGTTATATACGTGATAGACTTTCGTTTTGTATTCGCGATAGAAACCCGAGAAGCGTTTAAGCACGAATCTCGTATTTTGGATCTGATATTTTTTCTTTCTTTTTTTTTTTTTTTTGCTCTTTTTTATCGATGTTTACGAACAATTTAATTTATACCGTCGACGTAGCACACGTTTACATAACAGTATGATGTACGACTTTTTACAAAGCAGCGTTCATTTTACAACGACGGGGACGGCACATGTCCATACATATGTGAACAAAAAAAAAAATAATAACATATTAGAAGAGAACAAGAAACGAAATATACTCGTTCGAACATGTGCGCGCCTATCGTGCTAACCTTTTTCATTGTACATTATCTTATTACTATTAAGATACTAATGTGTACCCCGACGGAAAGGTGCACAAAGATCGACGAAAGGGGCGAGACGCGTTCTTGTACATATTTCCGGGCGGGTGTCGTCGTTTCAATATTTTTTCTACGAAGTAGAGACTGCAGAGTTTAGAGACCCGGTCGAAGGTTCTTTCATCTCCTCGTGGCGCAACGCGTCGCGCAAGCATTATGTTACTAATGTTATGTAAAAATTTAATCGATTCGCCTTAAGTTCCGACCGTTTATCAGCGATTACGATAACGCGCATTCCATCGCCTGTGTAACATCTCTCCCATGTCAATAAAAAGATGATGAATAAAATAAATAAAAATATATATACCAACTGGCTGCTCGTTCGCGTTTACGTGTTCGTCCTTGTCTCGATCGGGATCGACAAAAATTACTGAACGTCGAAACACTTGGAACTTGCAACGTATAGTTTTTCATAATTATAGTTACTGTCAATAATGAATAGAAAACATTTTCCCTGAAAAGGTTAAAGACTTGAGTAAGACATTTCTACGTACGGCCCTGACTATGGTCTGAGGCCCTAAGCTGCTCGTATTTCTGTCAATTCGTGTAAAGTTTGACGCCTACTCGAGTTTTACGACCTCGCTATATCGTGGCCCGAACTGTACAATAGATTCGAAGTTCCACCACTGATGGCAGTAAATGGGTCCTTTACCCTAGCGACAATGTCCTGGAACGCAGCAGTCGTGATCTCTCGCGGGACGATGATGGACCAGAGTCGAGTCCACGGCAATTTGTCAGCATTTTCAATACCGATCGCCGAAGGTCAACGAAAGATAAGATAAAAAGTAACGAAGGACCCCCCGTAGTCCCGGCTGCATCGTTCCCGAGGACGGCTGGGCCCCTCTGTTCCACAGGAGCGCGTTCGATCGGGCAAGCAAGAGAGCCGCGCGGACAGAAGTCGAACGAGATGTGACCGATAATGTAATTATGCGGGACAGGTTTTTTGTGCCCGTACTCTAACTTGATCTCTCGTGAGTCGTTCGCTCCCTCTTTTCTACCTGATCTTCTCTCTCCGTCTCCATCCTTCGCTTCCTTTCTTCTAGCATTATCCTTATTCGTCTTATTTCGTCTACCCCCCTCCTTACCAGTTCCCGCCCATTTCTCTTTCCGAGTTTCCCAACTTTCATCGGGCCTTTTCTTCGCTAATCCCCATCCATGAACGTTACCCCACCCTTTCGGCCATTTTTCTCTCACCCTTGCCTCGCCGGGAGCAGTCGGGAAGAGAAGATAAAAAGGACGAAGGGGGAAGGCGAGCCTCTCGACGCAGAAACGTATACAGGGTGTTCGCCCACCCCTGGGAAAAATTTTAATGGGAGATTTTAGGGGCCAAATTAAGACGAAAATCAAGAATACCATATTTGTCGATCGAGGCTTCGTTAAAAAGTTATTAAAGTTTAAAGTTCCGCCTGTAGAACTTTACGACAGTGGCTCTCACTCAGGAAACTGTAAGGCTGTCGATGCGTCAGTGAGCAGAGTCTCTCGTGCCGAATGAGAACCACTATCGTGCGCACGCAGCTGTTCGCAGATTGCAGTTCTACAGCCGGAACTTCGAACGTTAATAACTTTTTAACGAAGCCTCGATCAACAAATTGGTATTCGTGATTTTCGTCTTATTTTGGCTCCTAGAATTTCCCATTATAATTTTCCCCCCAGGGGTGGACGAACACCCTGTATACCCAAGATCCCGGACCACCGTCGGCTAAGTACATGCACCGACGTTAGCGCCCGCTGGTTGGTTGCCGTGTGTCGTCCGTGTGGAACCCGATGCGAGCTCGTATGCGTCGCGTACGTGTCCCGGAGGAGAAAAGGAGGTAAGGTCGACGCGTACGATGGTAAAAGATCGTATAATACGAGTTGTACGCGTCGATCGGACGCTGCGAGGTAAGAATTACAACGATAAACAGGCGTACCCGCGGTACATTGTATAAGAACGCGAAATATCGCATAACCTAACAAAACGACGCCTAGTAGATAACTCGTCTCGAAATGAACAGAACCTTCAACGATGCTCTTTTTCGTGCTTGCGCATTTAAGGTTAAGATGCTTCTATCGTACGACGTTTCCCTGCGAAACTCTGGTTAAATTCGTAGGTAAATCAAGCAAATCGAATATCGCCGGGGATTCGATCGATGTCGAGCCCACGGCTCCGGGAAAAGGCATCTCGCCGATATAACGTACAATTGATCCGAGAGCGTGTATTATACGCGGCTCACGAACGGGGAAGCGAGTCCTCGAGGGCCGTCTCCCGAGAGCGGCCGGTGCCGGTTTTATTCCCGATCGAATGTTTTTGCCCGACCGTTGCAAACCTAATTGGATTCGCTACGAGCCACGAGGAGACGTATTATGGCGAGCATTACGCAAAATCACGTACCGTCCCGGCGCTTTTTAAATGTCGATCCAGCCGGCCCGTTTGAACCCGCATCGGGGAACGGGCACGAACGACGAGCTGCGGAATCGTACGCCGGCTTAATTGCGACGACTACTTTGTACCAAAGATGCCCCGTTTCGCGTGTATCTGAAACGCACGGCGTACGTGTACAGAATATCATCCGAACGAAAAATTTGGTACGTTTCGCGGCACGATCTTCGTTGAAATTTTTGAAATTTTTCATTGGAAAATGTTTTTGCTGTTTAGATGATTCTGCAACGACCCGAAGAGGGGATCATCTGGGAAATGGAAGAGTAACACTTCGACTGCCACGTCAGCCATATTTGGGTGACAGGATTCACCATTATGATACTAGAAAAATTAAGACGTCGAGGGAATTAAATTTGAATAGAGTTTGTGAATTTTAACGAGGGTTAGGGAAATAAGTAGAGAAACAAATTTTAGGTTATGTAGGTTACGATGGTCTAAAATGAAAATTTTACTTGTGCAGAATATTATACGGTTTTGATCTGGCGGTGGACGCGTTAAGGTTATGAAAAGAAAAGAATAGGAATAGACCGTAATGTACTAATTTCGTGTATTTAAATCTGTAAAAATTTATTACCCGCCCGGTGATCCCGATACCCGTGAAATCGATTATTTCGATCCCATCTATTTCATCCGCTCGCTACTTACGGCTCGTAAATATGGTACGGGAATCGAGGTTTCCGTTCTACGACGCACTTTACTGCGTTCTATTGATCCGACCCATTTCAAGAGGACGGCACGATGTTTCGTTTATTTTATATATCTTTTTATAAACACGTAAGAACGCAAAATTTATATTAATTTTTTTTTCAGAATCCAAACTAAAACTCGCAAGTCGACGAAACGATTAACAAGAAAACCGATAAGCATTCGTTTACGCAGGGAAATTTAATGGTCGTTTGGAACTGAAATCTCATTGTCAATTTGCTTATTTATTATTTATATTTTATATCACTATATTACGTATATTTGAATCGCGAGCTGCGTGCATTTATCAATCGGCAGAACGGAGTAATAATAGCTCCGAACGCAAGATCGTTTCTCCGTTCTGAATTACAGTGGACGAAGAAACGAGAAGAAGAAGAGAAGTAGCAAGCAGAAAAAACTGAAGAGCCCCGTAAGACATAACAATGGGCCATTTGTTAGATGGGGCCCATCCCCCGACACGCGGGCTACAATGGACACTATTATCAACTATTCATTGAGTGCTCTGTTAAACCTGTTGCTTGATGGGAACCAGAACAGCCCCCGTCGTCCCATGGGGACCTACGGTGTGACCTTTAAAAATGAAGATATCGCCTTGGAGCATTCAAGACTCGTCGTATGTATAGCACACGCGCCGACCAGAATGCCACGAGCACGTTAACCCGTTAACCGGCCAAGACGAGTTAACCCGACATTTGAAAATGCCTCCATGCTGCACACCATGGCAGTTCATTCGTCATAGAAATGTAAAAATTCCATAAATGAAATTAGAAAATAATTCAGCGATATACAGGTAGCCCTCCTACAACACGGTTTCGCTATTACACGATCCATAAATTGCGAGAACCCTCCCACAACACGATAAGAAAATTGCGAAAACCTTTGTAAAACACTGTACTTCTACAGCACTGGATAACATGATTTTTAAAAACTAAATTATATTAAAATAATGAACCATAGTGGCTTTACACGAAAATATATAAACAAATTATAATTCTAATGGGGGATTCTAGAGGCCAAAATAAGACGAAAATCAAGAATACCAATTTGTTGATGGAGGCTTCGTTAAAATGTTATTAACAATTAAATTAAAAAATTTTTCCCAGAGTTGGCCGAACACCCTCTATAATACAGTTTCTAGGAACTTATCTACCGTGTTGTAGGAAGGCTACCTGTATTTATTATAAACACGTATCAGAAGCAGCTTGCAAAACTGTTTGTACAGAACGTTGGTTATTTAAATTAAGTAATTGAAAATTGCAATAGGAAGTTAGACCACTCTTTGTTTTTATTATGCGTTAGGCTTATCACGTGACAAGGAGTGCATCGACTCGTGTTACAGGGTAATTAATCGTCTCCCCTAATAACGTACAAGCGCGCTAAATTAAATATAGATTCTTTCCCACGTCATGGGGATCCCATGTCGAAGACACCACTCACGGTCTCGAACCGCAGTAGCACGTCTGTCCAAGTATCATGTATTATTCATCGATCGGGGACCGTTCGAACCACGCAGTCGGAAATAGTAATGCAGTCGGTAGGGCCCAGTCACCAGCATTATTGCGCTTGTTTTCTACTTTCGCGTTGATTTCGGTTACGTCGCCCTTTTTTTTCTCGACTCTCACGCGAAGAGACGAATCACAATAATTAATGTAAACTAATGGGTTTCCCTCGTTTACGATTATCTGTAACGACACCGTCAGAATGAACTTCTCGACGTTTCGATGTAAGACACCCTGTATATGTCACGAGCGTTCTGTGTACCTTTCGTCACCCGCACCTGTTTGTAGTAAGTCACCCGACGATCCGCCATACTTCCTCGGAAGATCAATCGCATCGCAAAGAGTCGCTCGTCCACGCGAGGCGCGAAAAATGTTTGCGGCCTGACTGACCGCAAGCGACAGAGTGTAAAATCGTGCATGTCTCCTATATGCCGCCGGCACCTAACAAGCCAGCCTTTGTAACGTATTGAGAAACGACCGATGGAAACGCGGTTGAACATTCGACGGGACGAGCGTCGCGCCAAAGAAGGGTTCGCGAAGAAAACGACGACGGAAGAAGTTTTATATTCGCCCAGGCCCCCTTTGGAATTTATTCGCTGACGCTTGAACTTGTCGTTTTCAGGAATCGGTGGGATAAATATGGCAGCTCGATGATGCACCGTCTGAATCTTGCCTGAAAGAAGTCTCGTTCCGTCTACGAAGAGATAGAATCGAAGAACATGAAGAGTATCGTTACGCATCGGGCCAACGACGAAAGGTATACGAGGTATTCCATAGATCGTTGCTATAAGCAGAGATCAGTTGCCCTAGGTGGGACGGCTACAGTCGCATTCGTCAATTTTAATCGTTCGAAACTTTGTCTGCTTTCAGCAATTTGATCGACAATAGCAGCTCTCGTGCCTCGAATTCCACGTATACCCGCGCAAGTAGCAGCGGATGATTTTATTAAAGACAGACACGCTTCGTTCCCGATAAACATCTGGCGGATTTATCTTCCAGTAAATCGGAGACAGGTCCCCGTCGACATATTTTACGGCACGGTCGACCGATACCGATCTACCTTCGAGACTCGAATATCGTACACGCGGATATATGGAAATCAGAATTCGGATTAGCAAATAAGGTGAAAAGAAAGATCGGTGGAAGGAACCAGTTTTTAAACGTCTTTGGCCGGGGGTCCTCCTTCTGGTTTCTTCTTCCATTCTCTTTCGTACTTCGTCTTCTATTCCCCCCCTCCCCCCTCCGGGCCTCTTCCTTCGCCACTTCGTCTCGCCGCCTCCCCTTCTCTCTTCCTCGTCCCGAGACTCTGTCTTTGCATTTGGCAAAGAGAATTCACGGTTGCAGTTTGGACTTTGCTCGGGGGGCTTGACATCGAGCTCTGTCGTTTACTTATCGGTGTCCCAGACTCTTCTTAAGTAGTTTCGGCTACTCGGGAAGGAGGCGTACAGAAACTTCTCTCGACTCGGACGCACGATGCTCTTTCGCGGACCTATATGACTGTGAGACGTTTGCTCCGCGCCGAGACAGAGTACCGTACTATCCCGGGTAGCGATGGGAACGATACAGACTCGATGCTATCGATTATGGTTCAATTGCTGAACGAGCAAATCGAGTTCTTCTTGAAAACTTTCAAATTAATTTCTATCGCCTTTATTAAGGCTATATAATCATATACAAGTAGCCAAGAAAAAGAAAGTTGCGCAAACAAACACGAGATGCGAAGTATCCGTACGCCTCTGGTCGCGTTACCTCAATGTTAAATCGATCGGTTCTCGCGACCCACGTCGGGGATTTTGTTGAAATCAGAGCATGATGTAGACCGTGCAGAATTAGGGAGGGTTTAAGTTATCGTGAATCGAAATGTATTTCATTGGGGAATCGGTAACAAAGGAAACAATTCTCGATATAAAAATGGGTAATCGTGTAGCAACGATAGTCGAGCTCGATCGTTTAGAATTTTAGCAGTGGGCGTTCGTGTACTTTGGCGAGCCACTATAAATGGCCACCACCGCGTAACAGCCTCAAACAGTTATTTTCGGAAGTTTTTCAACCTCGAGACGGAATCGTTGTGCACGCACCCTTATCCCCGAACGTATCGGGGCCCCTTAAGAAGATAAAGATCTCGCTCGCGGTCTCACGGGCAAGAAGACGGCCTGTTGCAGCAGCAGCAGCAGCAGCAGCAACAACAGCAGCAGCAGCAGCAGCAGCAGCAGCAGCAGGCCTTTTCTCATTGAGTCAGTCAGTCAGTCAGTCAGTTTGCCGCAGCGACGCGGCCCGTACACACGTGTGTATGCGCGTCTCGTTGACCGAACGCCGCGCGAGCCTGGGGGTTGCTGCATTATCGACAGAGAGAGGCTGTGCGCGGACGAGCGAGCGAGCATCGGCAATTGGTCGTCGGTCAACCGGTCGGTCGTTCGTTCGATCGCTAGTTGATCCCCACTGAACCACCGGCGGCCCCATCGTGTCTCTCTCTCCACCGGTTGTGTCAGCTCGTTAGAATTGCGTGCGTGAGAACGTGCCCGTTCATCTCGAGCTTCTCGCCGTGAAATCCCGAATTTCACGCGTCGAATCGCAGCGTGTTCCTCGATCTCTCTCTTTACGCGTACGCGCGCACCGACCGAAGGGAGACACACAGGCAGAGCCGCACACTGCCATCGACGCGCGCAAGCGAGTCAAGGAAGCGAGAGAGAGAGAGAGAGAGAGAGAGAGAGATTTACGTAGGCCACAAGGGGCGCTAGTCATAAACCGTGTAACACCTGGCGGCACGTCGTTAATTATGCAGTGGGCCGCAGCCGCCCTGGCCTCGGCGGCGATCGCTCTGCTCCTGGACACGGCGGCCGCGAGGCATCACCATCGTTCCGGCAATGGGCACAAACCGTCCGGTGACATCTCCCTTTGGATCGACCAGCAACAGATTAAAATGTTCAGCGGTGAGTCGCTTTCCGCGTACACCGGCACCACGGGATTACGTTGCGCGAAACGTCCGCTCGCCGTTCGTTGGCGCGATGCTATACATTTTGGAGAACCCGGCCAAGATGTGCACGAATAATTCGGAAACCGTCCCGTCGCGGTTCCCCGAACCGGAGACCCGATTAATATTAACCGTGCTCCCGGCATCGGTGTTACGCCTCGGAACGTTTATCTCTCGCTGTCGTTTTGCCAATTTTTTTTTATTTTTTATCGACATCTCGACAGAGATCGTGTATCTTCTCGAGCACCAGTACGACGGTTCTTAACCCTTCGCGGACCTACGTTGTATTTCATTCCAGTAAATCATAGCGTATCGGGGAAAGTAGCTGAATCGTGCGTAGACTAACGCTCGATTTATGGAACCTGTCAGTTTGACGAGTTGGAGAATCCATAAACATTGTTTGTTAGTCAATGATGCGAATATATGTATCGCGTTTTATCGGATACCGTTTGTCGAGTATTTAGATAGCGATACAAGCTTATCGTTATCGAATGTCTACACTCACGTATATCTTGTATGCCATCTCGTTACAGTGATACTTCGATTTAACGGATTACAGGATTTAGCAGACGGAACAATACGGTCTTACGTCAGTAACATCCCCAAATTATGTACATGCAGTTCGGCTTCGTATTATTTTAAATGTATTTTTTTTTTCTAAAAAGAGATGGAACCGATTACGGAACGTGTAATCGCAAAATACGGCTGTTTCTTCGGCGTGGATCGATACGATTTTTTTTTCTGTCACGTTTAGGGGTCGAAATGGAAATATTCGCGATTACCGAAGGCAGGGTATTGTCGTATCTCCTGGATCCCGAATTCGAGAGCAAGCTTCCGATCATTCCGAGCGAGGTAACGTACGTGAACTTCACATGGAAATCCGGCGTGAAGAAGTACTACTATAATTTTTATCGGCTGAAATCGTTCGACGAGTCGATCCTCAAAACTCCATCCATCACGATCAAAACCCAAGGAAGAGTGCCCAAGAGACCGAAGGGTAAAACCTAAAATTTTTCACAGACTGTTTCCATTCAATTTTTAATACGTAATCTTATTTCTTGTATTTACAAACCGACGAACAACTTATTGCCACAGAATTCAGCGTCCTAATGCCTTGTTCCGGTAACAACTCTGGTATAGCGCAATTAGGCATCGGTCTGATGATCGAGACACGCAAGGGGAAACCTTTAAACGGAACACCCCTTCGTCTTAACCTGAGAAAAGAATGCACCGTGCGCGGTGAGTGCGTAAATCGCGCCCACGATCACCATCTCTCTACACACACACACAGTTCTGTGTCAGCAGTAATTCATCGCCTAATTCGCTGCATGCTTTAAATTGATAACGATCGATATTTCAATTAATTGCCATTCCTATACGTATAATTATAACAACTGTATTTTGTTATAATAATTGTATTTTATTATAATTATAATTGTATTTTATTATAATTATAATAATTGTATTTTCCACGAAAGTCGAGGCCACGATAAATTTTCAATATTACAATGTACGATAGATTTCGATCGTTTCGACGTTTAATTGCCTCACAAAGTACGCCTTTGTGCGGTCAACTTCCGTTTCGGTACAGCTATCTGGCCGGCTTGGAAAATGCTTTCGCGAACGCGATCAGACACAATTCCTTGTACGCGTACGCCATCGCAAATCATTTATCGTCTAATTGATTTCTCTTCGATCGAATGAATGCACGACTATGCTACCTCTAATTGTAAGATATCCCGAAATATATGCGTCGATAAAGGAATCTTAAGTGACCGGAGCGTTTCTTAAACGACCGTCGGCGTATGCAATTTACGCTTATCTACTTGAATTCGAGTGGGCGTAGCGGTAAATAATCATTTAATGCCTCTGGCGTGCCCCGGCCGATAAACTGTCGCTCTCGGTGGACGGAGATGAAAATCAATGGAATTGTAGATTAACGATATTCGCGTGTCGACTAACGCCTATGCATGGGATTTGTGCTTGGTTTTCGGTACGCATGACGATACATTTAAGATCACACTTATCTCTCTTCTAGTCTTAATTGTTAAATGTCCGGTGAATGATTTCCCCGTTGAGCGTGGAACGAAATCTACATGTAAACGTTTTTCGTTGCAGAACCAAATCCTGGACCATGTCCAGACGGATATCTGGGCCCGCCCCATTGCAAGAAGGCTCTGTGTTATCCAAATTGCATGAACGGTGGTAATTGTACAGCGCCTGGCATTTGTTCCTGCCCAGCGGGATTTCAGGGACCGTATTGCGAAGGAGGTAGTTTGTAAACAAATTTAAATACAGAAAATAACATAATTTATTAAATATTACATACTAATGTTAACACATACATACTATGGTTAGCAAAAATTATATAACTTTGGATATCGATATAGCGGTTTTACAGCCAAATTTAATAACGTTGGTTAGAGCGCTGTAGAATGGCGCTTGCTCCGCGCCATGATCTATGCCCGTGTCGTGATGCTCTTGCTCTTCGTCGCGGAATTGTTTGATCGTCTGTAGTATTTCCTCGTCCACGTTTACGTCGGTTTCCATTAAACTACGCAGCTGATCGTTGTAATGTTCCGTGATCACGGTCTCGACGGCCACGGTGCACGCCATGGCTGCCTTTTCCCCCATGAGCGCGGTACCAGCGCCAAGAACGAAACCGGCAACGTTCCAAACGGGTGTCAAAACGGTGGGCCTTACGCGATACTTTCGAATTAGCTCCTCGAACTTGGCGCGATGTCTCTTCTCTTGGTCCCACATATGTTGAATGGTTGGACCGACGGGTGTTCTACCTGTGCATCCATTAAACTTTTAATTTATTTTTTAAAGACCAGATAACCTATATGTACCTAAAACGGCCATTTGCCCAGCGTATATTCTATCAGCTCCTAATTCTCCAGCATGATCTACCCTTATTATCGGATCTAGTAACTTTCCCGCCTTGGTCGATCCCGAAGCTGCCGACGTGCTGGCCAACCGAGCTCCAAACTGCTTCAGATGCAGCATATTCTCTACAAACTTTAAAGAGAAATTTCCTCTGTTTATGTGTTTTAAACGAGAATAATGAATTTTAGGTATTTGCGCGGAGAAATGTCTGAACGGCGGCAAATGTGTACAAAAAGACACCTGCGAATGTCCGAAAGGTTACTTTGGATTACGTTGTGAATTCTGTAAGTTGTAGAAACCCATTAATTAGATTTCAAGTGCGGACATTGCTCTAACGAATTTCTTTTCTTTTTGGTCATTTAGCTAAGTGTGTAATACCTTGTTTGAACGGAGGGAAATGTAAAGGTACTAATGTATGTAGATGTCCTGCTGGTTTTAAGGGTGATCATTGTGAAATTGGTAGACGGTCCCCGCAACGTTCTGCATGCACAAGAGCATGCAGAAACGGAACTTGTCAACCTGACAATACGTGCCTTTGCGAACCTGGTTGGTTTGGAAAATTGTGCAACAAAAACAAGCCGTGGGCTTAGAAGTAGAAGGATATTTTTTTACCGTGGTATTCAGTTTTATAACCAATTGGATTAATGCAGTATATTGCATTCCTCAAGACTTTTTCTCTATTCAAGGGGCATTTCTTTCTTCAAACCTTGCATTTAATTTAAACGTTTGTTTCCATTTAAGACATAATTATACACATATGCGAAACATGTAGTCTAACAATTTTCATCGAGTATTATTTTCCTAAATATAAGAGAATAAATAATAGAGAAGCGTTCTAAAGTCCAATTGGTTAGTACCACTAAAACTAACGTGTATAGTTAGTAATTTACCCCACCCCAGATGTGATATGTAAAGCTGCTTTACAACATTTTATACTATTAAATATTATTTTTAATAATATACTTTTATATTGTTAGATTTATTGTAATGATTGTAAAAAAAAAATAAAATGTATTTTCTCCCTTACGACGTGCTACTACAGATAACGATACGATGCAACGATCCGTAATGTCACTACCAATCATCTTTGTATTTACAAGCAAAGAAATTTCGAAGTCGCATACGATATTTGCAATACTCGATCGACGAATATGAGAAGAGAAAACGAAAACTCATTGTCGGCTGATATTTGTGATATTTGGAACATGGGTTATTTGCATACCTACGTTGTTCCAAGTGAAACGTCAAAACAACGTGCAAGGTGCCCAGGGTCGTCTCGGGCCAGTTCTCAGGCGGCGAGTTTAGGTTAGGCTGAAACTCGGCAACATCGTTCCAGGAATGCTGTGGAGCAGGAGTCACGTGTTTCAGGGCCCAATGGGAACGTAGATCGGATGGACGCCATAACGCGTACCCTAGCCGTGGCGGCCAATCACGTTATTCCAGACCCGTATACATATATATGGTGTTCGTGTTTCCGTGGTCGCTGGTACATTTTCGCGGATTCTCACGGGAAATTGGTGAGTGGTGAAAAAACATCCGCGCGTTATTAGCGCGTAAGCGGACGTTGAGGGCCCGGGCGATACGCGGGCGTCGCTTAATCGCGAAATAAGGGCAATTTTGCATCGTCTGCTTGGAGTGCACCGCGCAGGCTCGCTCAAAATGGCCGCCTCGCTGCCGCGTTTGTTGTGGTGGAGATGGAGGGCCGCGTAGCCGATCGATACGACGGTCGCTGGCGAAACTGGCGATGGTGTCTATGGCGGCTGTTGTGCGTGTTGCGGCGTGGCGCGACGTACACGCGATTTACGCCCGGTGAGATCGAACGTGGTCGCGTGGCTAGCAGCCTCACGGTGGTAGTGCTGTGCGGGTGAGCGGGTGGTTTGACACGGGTGGCGAGATGACCGCGAGACGCGAGCGTAGGGCGTGGTGAGAGAGCGTAGCCGACGGCGGCCTCCCCGCAGACGCGAAACCCTGAGCCCTCCCTGATCGGGTGACCACTCAGAGGGACACACAAGGTGCGTACGCAACTCGCGATTTTCACTGGGCCTGCTCCATGGCTCAACGCGGTACCAACGCGGTCATGAGCTTCGCGGCCCCGGAGGTGGTCTCTTTTGCGTGTGCCCTGCGCATTTTCATTGCCCCCCCAAACGTATCGCCGAATAAACGCGCCGTGTGCGCGGCTTGGCGCATCCTCTCTCTGTCGTGTCTCGCCGCGCTTTCCCAAGCCACGTTCTTTAACCAATCTTCTTAACCGGGGGCCGTCCGCCGTTCGTCGCCTGTCTGTCAAATTTCTCTCGTCCTACGAGAACGAAGTGGTGCCTGGCCGGCATGCCGAATGCAATAACTATTTACCGCGCTTCGTACGGGATTCACGTATATCGCTCGCCCATGCACGGACGATCACGACGACGACGACGGCGACGACGATGTTAACGTTCACGATCTGCTCTTTTCCCGCTGTACGTCCTCCCGTCGTTCCTTTTTATCCCGCGTGCATCCTACGCACGAGGACGCGTGGACGCGTGTGACTTCCGATCGTACGCGCGGGAAACGTTCCGACCCTAGAATCCGTTGTTCTCAGTTTACGAAATCCGTCCTGTACGCGTGATATCGTCATCCTGGACTCGTCTTGTCTTCCACGATTTACTCTTTCTCGGCCAGTATGTTACATTGCCGTACTTTTCTATACGCGAAAGATTACACGATCGTCTTTTCTTAGTTACATATGGCCTTTAACCTTTCAGTGACTCTATTGGTCTTTATGGTTTATACAGGGTAGAACTCTAGGTTTCGTTCATTGTTTATATCTAGTTACATACTGTGTTGAACATAGGTGTTGGCACAGTACATCATTCCCTATATAAACATTCACAACTACTAAAACGATTATTTGTTCTACTTGTTTTTTCTATGTGTATTTAGAACACCTCGTTTGTCTGTACACAGAACAGAACAAAGTTCATAAGTCATAACATAAGAAACGTATGGCTAGTAAGAACGTGTTATAAATTGTCCTTTGCATGGACAAAAGTATCGGCACATTTTAAATAACGTCATGTTAAATTTAATATTTGGTAGCAAATATGTGTAAATAAAGATTTTCAAACAATGTAATATGTAATAAACAAGTTTCTTAGTAATTATAAATGTTTGTATATGAAACGATGTACCGTGCCAATATTTATGCCTAGCATTGTAGATATCCTCGTTGATGTTTCCATATAGAAGCGTATGTACATTGTCATTAATAATTTACTTGCAGTTATATGAATAGTTACTAAATTCTTGCACTTTGCAAGTACAATGAAAGATTTAGCAGAGTAATCGGAGAACAGTTAAACGAAAGTTTTATAGTAACGTAATTAAGATACTCGAGTGACTCAAACTGTAGACTATCTAATTCCATATAGATAAGGGAGATAATTTAGCATTGTGAATGGGACAGATGTAATAGGTCTCACGTATGACTCAGGAGAGAAGCATGGGGAATAGGCATGTTATTTGATTAATATACGTACCTAGATAATTTTGAATGCCGTATGAATTTAGAGGGCTTTTATAATACCAGTTTATCCAGTACAAATTTCATAATTGCTGTCAATTTGTTTTTGATAAAAATTCTATCCTTTGGTATAGACAAAGGTGATGTAGAAAAAGAACTCGGGGCATCAAAGACGACCATCTGTTTCGACGGGGCATTGCAATATAAGAGAGGACAACACAGGAGGCGAGTGAAAGGAAATGGTATCTTTGCCCAGCGCAGAGTCAGGCACAATGGACAGAATCTCAGATGACGATGACGACGAGCCGAGTAGTGGGTCCGAAACGTACGAGGAAGGGGACCTCCTTTCGGCTGCCATGGATGATGACGTGACGGCCCAACTCGCCGCTGCAGGTTGGCAAATCAAACACGCTAATGGTGATTTCCATTTTTTTGCTTTTTCACCTTTTGAGTTATTTATGTTCCAATTAATTTCATTTGCGAGTAGAATTTAACATACAGGGTGCACCAATGATGTTAAATGATCGATTTCTATAATCATCTATGGAAGAAATTAAAGGAAGAGATTGTAACTTATATTTGTAAAGTCATTGAAAGAGTTGAATTTACAGTAGGTAATACCTCTTCATAAATGTAAAGTGTAGATGGATCAGAATTGTGGTTGAGAATTCTGTTAATATCTTGGGGATGACTTGTTCGGTTGTTTGCAGTATTAGGAAAAGTATATACAATGATTTGTACAATCGTTAGAGAGAGATAAAAATGGATACTGCCTGCCAATGATACCCGTGATTTGGTAATTATTAGCAATCTCGAAAAGTAAATAAGGAAAGAACTATCGAGTTTTAATATTGTTAACACTTTTAATTATTTTTTTCTGTTATACAGTTATCTGTAAACAGATGTATTTATTATTTATTTTATTACTTATGTCATTGTCAGTCAGGGCAGCATGAATTGGTTTTCTTTTTTTGTCATTCTAATTTTACTATTTAATATAATTGCTCAAAATAGAATGATAATACAAGTTATATTTATGTACATGCTACTTGTTTGAATGCATTTTACATTGTTTGTGTGCTGTATTATTATTTGCTTATGTTTTTAAAATTTCGTTCACATGGAAACACTGTTTTTTATATTTGCAATTTTGTATGTGATTTTCATTTACTCATATATCATTCTCTTTTTTATATATTTTTAATCATAGCTTTGCGACATTAAATCAAGTTCATTGCCCGAATTTCTGTTTACATTTTGTGTACTGCAAATTTATTTATGCTATGTTCAGTATTTAAATGTCTTAGAAAAATGTAATAGTCTGTAGATATTAATTTTCACCTTGTCTAAGGGAAAGTCCAAGAATATATATATCTAATATAGTTTGTTAGCTTTTTCATCGATATAAAAAAAATACGTTAATTAAATATGTTATATATTCTTGGATATCAAGCACGTTTCATATCACTACTGCTTTCGCATCTCTTATATTTTGAATGTACTGAAAATGTATCGATATGTCAGTAAAATATAATTCCTCGAAACGAATCGTTCTTAAATAAAACATCGCTGCTTTTGGATTTTATAATATATTCTGCTGACATTTCATTCGCCGCGGTATTACAAAACCGGACAATGTTTAGTTAATAATACGCACGTTTAGGCCCTGTTGGCGTAGCCGCAGCCGCCGCCATTGTCTCGGCAAAAAAGAGGAAACGACCGCATAGTTTTGAAACAAATCCCAGCATCAGGAAGAGACAGCAAAACAGACTCCTAAGGAAACTCCGAGTAAGTTGTACATATAATTGTTTGTTACAAATATCGTGTTACTTGTACATCATAGAAATGTTGTTGCAGCAAACCATAGACGAGTTTGCAACGCGGGTTGGACAGCAAGCAGTAGTATTAGTAGCTACACCTGGAAAGCCAAACAGTAGTTATAAAGTATTCGGAGCGAAACCGTTAGAAGATGTAGTGAAAAATTTAAGGAACGTTATAATGGAAGAACTTGAAAGTGCACTCGCGCAACAAGCTCCGCCGCCGGTACAAGACGACCCATCTTTATACGAATTACCGCCCCTTATAATAGATGGCATACCTACTCCTGTGGAAAAAATGACACAAGCTCAACTTAGGGCGTTTATCCCGTTAATGCTGAAGTATTCTACAGGTAGAGGTAAACCTGGCTGGGGGAGGGATAGTACACGGCCGCCATGGTGGCCGAAAGAACTACCATGGGCAAACGTTCGTATGGATGCGAGGTCCGAGGATGAAAAGCAAAAGGTTTGTAAAATTCGTGACGTTTCAACGTGTCTTCTCGTCCGTCTTAAGGAGGCTTTCTACCTTGTTGGCCGAAAAAAAAATTGTTCTAACTTATTCGATAGATCATTTTCATATTTTACAAATACGGTTGGGCAAAATTTTTATTCGTTATTTAAATGAGAATTTTGCCCATATTTTCTATTTTCCGTACTTCACTTTCTAAACTATGGTTTTTCGATGAAATGGACATTAGCTCGTGTCGTCAGCCATCTTTAGATTGCGGGCCAAATTTATGTCCCATGGCGCCTCCACCGTTATTAAGGAAGGTATCGAAGACTTCATGGAAAAGACAAGAGGTTAGGTTGCGATTTCGATTATTTTTTTCACAGAGGGAGAGAGATGTTTCGGGGTAAAAATTGTCAGAGAATAAACTCTGGTCGTTTTGTTTATGGCCGCCTAAGCATCTCTAGGAAGTCATCGGATGCAAAATTAGAGTTTTATCATTTGTAACACGTACAGTTGGTTAATTTCGTGTGAACAAACAGTCGGATTTTTTTACTCAGCGAGGTAGAAAACCCCCCGCAGGAACGTTTTTTTTTACCATGTTCAATTCTTTCGTGACATTTTCCAGATCTCCTGGACGCACGCGTTAAGGCAAATTGTAATAAACTGTTATAAATTTCACGGGAGGGAAGATCTTCTGCCTGCGTTTAGCGAAGACGACGACAAGTCGAACGTGCTGATACAACAGTCCACTCCTCATTCCTCGTCGCATCAGTCGCATTCGTCAGGGCAAGGGCAAGGTGGACAGTCGCAACAGCAACAACAGACGGTGGGAGTTGTTCGCCTGAGCAGCACGGATTCATCTAAGGGAAACTCTTCGCCAGCACAAATCATTGCCGCGTCTCCTACAGCTCTTGCCACTGCCACTCAGGTGGGAGTGGATAGAGTGTACAAAAAAGAAACAGAACAATGAATTGAATGAAATAACATGACCTGCTAAGTTGTACAGTTTCTTTAAATAATTCCAATGCACGGTCTCCCGGTTTAATCGCGTGCAACGAAGTCATGGTGTTTCTTTTAAATTCTTACGTAGAGAAGAATTAGAATTTGAAACATATATTCCTTTGAACATAACTCGCATTTATGTTCATGTGTTTGGTTTCCCTTATTTGAGTTTAATCCGTCTTTATTTCTGTAGTTATTGTACATGGTAATTCTATAAACTGGGACAAGCTCCGGTGTTTCCAAGCCGAGGATATAAGAAAATAAAATCAATTTTTTGTATCGTCGCTTGGAAAAGAACTGCATACAGTTCGTCCCAGTTTCTAGAATCACCCCGTATAGCGCATACAATTATGTATCATAAAATTTCTATAGTGTCTTACACGATGGACACGTACTATTAATTTGATTACGTCTCGTGCGAAGTTTTCTATAATTTTTCTTTCTCCGTTTTTTGAAGTTTATATTTGCTTGTTGATAATTTCAAAGGAAACACCGACGAACGTTGCAATTAATAATAATTGTTTCTCGAACTCCAGATGACCCAGTATCCAACGGCGGTTTTGCAAACGATAACGAATCCTGACGGTACTGTCTCCATAATTCAAGTGGATCCCAGTAACCCGATAATCACGTTACCGGACGGCACAACGGCCCAAGTCCAAGGCGTTGCTACTGTAAGTTGCCATCAAAGCGGCCGTTCGATTCCGTAGAAACGTGTTCTTCTATTTAGTAGAATATCTATGATGAACAGATTCACACGAGTCAAGGGGAGGTTCAAGCTCTCGCCGAAGTGGCAGGTAGCACAGAGGGTACCAGCGTCGCTGTCGACCTGAACAGCGTCACAGAAGCGACATTAGGTCAAGACGGTCAAATCATTCTCACAGGAGAAGACGGACACGGTAAAACAGTTTTCTATAGGCTCTGCACCGTCGCCGGCCAGGAGCTACTTGAGCAGTGAATTCATTTTTACTGGCCCAGGATCCTTTGTTGTTTTGCATGCTGTCTGCTACGCTCCATTCAAGAAACCTACTGTTCTACTACTTTGTACAACGAAAGTAGAATGTCGGAACTAGTTAATCTTTTTTTTTTTTTTTGGTACTGTACATACGGCAATTTCACTCGAGGAGCTATGCACAGCTTTATTTTAATTTTATCTTTAAGAATCCATGGTTAATACGATGTAAAGGCTATTGGAAGAAAATTCGGAGCGTAGGACAATGTTATTAATATCTTTTTTTTCCCCCTTTTTTTACGAGTTGCGTTCAAACGTCGCGTAAAAAGGTAAAAAAAATCTATATAGATCGTAGATCGCTGTCGATATTTTGTCATTTTGTATGTATTTGTATATGTTAGACTATTCTCTTTTTAAGATGATGCTAAAGATTTTTTATACCACTATTAGAAGGACATCAATTATGATATAATATAAAAGTGAATTAATATATGTGTATGCATGTACATACTTTTAAACGTTTAAATGAATTTTTCCAAACGCGATACATTTATATATATCGGAATGTTGCATGCATAGTTTGGTGGTCTCCTATCGAGTAAAGGGATCGGATAGATCGTAACATTCTAGAATGTATAAATCGTAACGTGAACGGTACAATCGATGGAATTTACATGGATTCTTAAGATTTTTAATTTAACAAGAAATAAATGAAGGTACTTCACGATCACAAAAGAACCTGTCCCCGTTCTACAATCACTACTTACCATTATTACCGAAGATTGGTTATTTACTTTAATTAAACGAAGAGAAATAAAAGTGCTGTACATAGAGTATTTTTTGTTGATGTTTTATTATTTTATAGTTGTTGTATTCGGCAGCTTTTGTTTAAGCTACTCGCGTATTTGGATTTCTAACTTGATCGAACGTTTCAATACATTAAAAAGTTTCTATCTACATGATTTTTCACGGTCTTATAAATTTTGTGTCTCACAGAATGGCTTAAACATCTGTTGCTTTTTATTAATGCCTTATGTTTCTGAAGTGTAGATGTGGATTATGTTTGCGCATTAATGATGTTACGTTAAAAGGGTGTGTCAGAAAAAATATAATACCGAATACGGTACTGAAACGTTTATTTTTTACAGTCAAATCACATGATTATACCATACTCTGTATACAGAGTGTTAAAAAAAAATATATTTACAAATTTTGGGAGTATACGATGTTCGCTGAATCGAGTAAAGAAAAAATGCTTAGTCATAGCAGGGTGAAAAATCAATATTAGAGTTAGATGCGATGTTCGGCTAATCTAACGTTAGATTATACTGATGATTCATCGTTCCAATGACTAAATATTTTGTATTGAGTACCGTGTCTCAAAGTTTCTAAACATATTTTTTTTTTCTCAACATCCTGTATAACAAGCGGTACATACTGTTTTTTTTAACACGCCCTGTTAATATAGAATTTTATTTATTTTTTTACGAACTTTATACGATTTAACGTATCGTCCAGTAAACGTATATTTAAATGTTAGAAAATTCCTATAGTCTATGTTGAATCTTCAACTGTATCGTAAACTGGTAGCATTGATAGGAGGACGAGTCCGGGGTAAAACGATAGAGGGTGTAGACGTAACATTCTTCAATAAAGATTTATAGAAACGATTACTAAACAGACATACACGTACACACATTACACACACACATATAGTTGCGTGTGCTTTCCACGTTGCTGAGTTGTATTTTTTTTTTTTTTTTTTTAAATTTTTTTCCCAGTTTGCCATACAGAACAAATGCCTGGTCAAGGGGCAGAACACAGGACTGTTGCTTCTCTGTTTCAGGCTATCCTGTATCGGTGTCGGGAGTAATAACAGTACCGGTATCCGCTAGTATGTATCAGACTATGGTTGCCAATATACAAAGTGACGGTACGATGCAAGTTGTGACGCCCATGGTTCAAGTCCCGAAAGTCGAGCCTGGAAATGGAGAGACTAGCATCGAGGCCGTCACTATACAGGGTCATCCAATGACAATGATAAACGCAGCGGGTGAACACCAAGTTCTTCAAGTGATATCGTTGAAGGATGCTAACGTACTCACGAAGGCCATGCAGGCCGAAGTTGTAAAAGACGAGGACAGTCAACAACAACAAACCGTCTCTAGTCCAGAATAAAGCGTTTTACCCATAGTTAATACGAAAGAAAGAGAGAGAGAGAGAAAAAAAAAAAAGCTTTTAACGTTCAACACCAAAAAATGCGACGGGTGCACATTTAGTGGTGTTCAAAATGAGAAAAGAGTGAGAGTATTAGAAACGATACGTGTTATTAATATTAAGGGAAAAATGATTGTGTCTGTTTTTTTCTTTTTCTGAATCATTGTGTAGCGTGTCCAGGTTGCTGGGAACAGCGAACCGGAATAGCGAATATATGCGTCTGAGAGTGAATATTGGGATCGAGTGTTTGGACACATCGGACTTTCTTGGATGTAATCATATTTGTATTCAAGACTCATTGTAGACACTTAGAGTATTCACTTGTAATTCGATTTCTCGAAGATAGTACTAATTTTTAGGAAGTGCTACACGCCGCGCTCGGCGAACCCGAGTCGCTCGAGTTTACGCGCAGATCTTCATTGATACGTTCGTAGTTACACAAAATGTCCGTGGACTGGGAACGATCACCAATCTTCGTAATCCAGTGACTCTCCGCGGATAACGAAATATTTTCGTCTAGTCCTTAGTATCGGATCCTAACGAGCGATCGATATACCAAAGAATTTAAGATTCGTGTTAAAATACTATTTTAACGAGTGGAACGGTTACGGGAAGTAATTCAATTGTGTCGAATCGATCATCCGGATGGAACATTTTTAGCGTAGCGGCTCGATACCTGTAAACGATGTAATTTAACGATCAAGTCAACGGTGAGATATTTTTCATAGGTACGAGGATGATAATCATTTTTAAAATTCCAAAATATTTATGGGAAACGACATCGCGTATAAAAAAAAAAAAAAGGAAAAACTTCGTCAAGGGTCGATGGAAGAGTAATCAAAATTCCGCGGTATCAGGATTCCGAGCTAAACGTAACATTTCGGTTGAGAGAATTTGGCCATCGGATTAGAAAAACAGAAAAAACACGTAGCCTATTTTTATGATAAATTGAAATATAAAAATTGAATCTAACGGTAGAGACATATAACGGTACATATTAATATACACTAATGATCGATAGTAGCGGTAAATGAAAAAAAAAAAAAAGAAGTTAAGCATTTCTGACGGGTACAAATAGGCTATAAGATATAATTTTTTTGGAAAATAAGACGTATGGATTTGAAGTCTCAATGCACACCCCCCCATCCCCATAACGTGATTAATTTTTATCACATTAACGCTACGTTGTTATTATTAGAAAAATTACTTCGATCGATGTTATAAAGAACACTATATTATTCTTACGAATGGGTACCGACGCTATCATTTACATTCTGTTTCATCGCGACAACGTGCAGAATATATGAACGAAGGAATCATGTATTGTTCTTTATGTTCGTTTGCAGATAAACTCGCAAAATGTATTTATTTTTGTTATTAACGAAGAAAAAATGAATATGGTCGAAACGTTTCCATGCATTTAAATGCCAACTCACTTTTATACTGTCTAAAGTTAGGGAAAGTGTTATGTTTTCTGTGCAATCTTGTTTCAATGTTGCGGTATCAAATTTTGCCAGGGATGCGTGATCGATATTTAAGCGTAAGTTTTTGATTTTTCTAACGATCTTACATTCTCCTTTTTTTTCTCTATTACTTTTAGTATTTTTACATATTAACTATATATGTATATAGTTGCGTATATATATATATATTATATATATATAATTTTCAAATAATTCTGATAAGAAGTTTGTGATACTTATTTAATTACTGTTTATTAGTACATGTATTTTTATCGTGAATGAAGTTCCTGTAGGTGTGCGATACGCTCTCCTCGAGGCGTACGCCGGAAGCAGAGTCGTAACATTGAAACAACAAACTGCCCTTGATACCGAGTACGAACGATACCAAAAAAAATAAAAAAGAAAGAAAGGTTTTTATAACATTAATAGAAGAAAGTAGTTAAATTTAATAATTATCGGTAGAACAGATCGCAAAGACTAGATATTAATTGTTATATTGTTTTTTAAAAAACTGTGGCCATTGCATACAAATGTAATATATTGATACTCCCATGTAAGACCGTGTTATATATATATATTATTTTTTTTTTTTTTCTTTTGTTCTTGTTTGTAACAAAGCACACGGAACATAAATTAAGTTGAATGTCGTTTGGGGAAGAATATGTAGTACCATTTTAGATAATTATAGATGTACGTGTACATGACTTTATCGCTGTGTATCTTACAATGTAAGTTGTACATACGTCGTCGTTGTGTCACCTTTCCGCTTTGGTTACTTTTGATGTAAAAAGGAGAGAAAAAAAAAAAAATGGTAAATTGAAAAATATTAAGATTTTAGATGCAACCGCGAAGAACCAATGGAAGTTGCGATTAAAATATAATACATACATATCATTTCGTTTTCGTTAATTTCGAAGGTCGTGGTAAACGTCGTTCGAACGATTATTTAACTTTAATAATACTTCTCTCGATCGACAGAGCGCTTTGTATATGGGAAAAGGCACTACATAAAACAATGACATTAATTTATTTATATCAGTATTTGGTAACAGGTATGTACACAGAAAGTACCTTTTTCGTCCTGATTTTCAAGATTAATCCTTTTCTTTAGAAATAATCCAACAAATGGTAGCTCTATACATAAATACTATGAGGGTTCTTAGATGTATAAATTAATGTATGTCTTCGACAGCCACCAGTGCTAGTTCTGGCTTGTCGTAACCGAGCTCCTCCGGTGTATTGACACCCAGTTCGTCCAAAGTAGGTTTGATCTCTTGCAGGATATAAGGGTAGATTTCATTTAGTTTCGAGCCACACTTATCCTTAACGACTTCCAAGAATCTCACTGCGAGACCATAGTCATTTAGCCGCCGGCAGGCTCTCAACGCTGCACAAATGATCATTGGATCGGGCACCAGATCCATACCTGGGAAAAAATAAAGAAAATAACGATCTTTGTTTTTTTGAGAGAATCGATTAAATTACCTTAGGGGAATTAGATTTAACGAGCGGAGAAGCGTGATAATAAAACTATCATAAAATATAGTTTACAATCGACTCGAGCAAGTTATACGATAGAAAGAATTCGCGTATTTTGAAATTAGAACGTTACCGTTGAATTTGAATAACCTAGGAAAGGCAATACTTGGCATACGACAATCGCGGACAGAATTCTTTGATCGGTAAAAAAAAGTTGTACGTAATCGGATGAACACTAACCAGCCAATGTGTTCATAGCCGAACGAATTTCCCAGTGATCGATGTCCGGACGACTGAGATACGTCGTGTACTTTTTATTGAATTCCTCCTCGGACTCCTCGGGCTCGTCGTGCGAAGCACGAACATTCTGTGCCCCGATAGCCGTGCTGCGTGGCACTATCGTGCTCCTCGCGATGGAATGTACACGTCCTCCCATGAAACGCAACATTTTGCGTTCAGATTCACTGACAATTTGGCAAATTTCGCGAAACGAACCGTCCGTCACCTGTGTTGCGTAAACCGAACAGAAGACGGAAATCAGCACGATTCGAGGCTTCTCGCTTCTGCGGCTCGAAAGCTCACCAAAAGCGCACCATATCCGGTGCATTCGTGCCGCGCTATTCAAACTGGTTCTCGCGCCAGTCGAACTTAACCCTTCTTACCGCGAACTTTTCGACGGGAGACTAAAATTCATGGGCCCCTTTCGCGAAACGACGTCTCAAATATATTCCTTGAATTTCCAACTCGGTGCTCCGCGAAACAGAAATCTCTATTAAACGGAAAAGGATCGAAGGGGTTCCGTGCTATTTTTAGATGTTGGCAGATTTCATTTCTCGAAGAAATTAATAGAGGGTTTTATGTTTCGGTGCCTTGGTAGCTCTTGCGATAGTGATTCTTAGGTACAAGACGTAAATAGAGACTCGATGGCATTGAAGTTTCCGAATTGAAAAAGTTGCGACTTGGGAACATCTTCGGACGATTCTGATCATTGGTATCGGAAGAAGATGATGCCCGAAGAGGTGGCGCAAGGTTTGGCGGGATTCCCCGTTGATTTTCGAACCTTGCATCGGGAGAGAAATGTTCTAGGTTATGCACGGAAGTTTCCTCGACTCGGAGTTTATTTAACTTAAGGAAATGGTTTGTAGAGGTGAAATGGGGAATAAGTAGTATACTCGAAGTAGTTTGAATTTGTAGTTTTTATTAACTTAAATATACTTTTTACAAGTATCAATACCAAGCGTCTTGTGTAAGTTATCTAATAAGTAGTAAAATTCTATTGAATTCGTAGAAAATGAAAATGTGTACGGTAAACTAACCTCGGTTTATTAACGTTTGTCTGTATCATGGATAATTTGCTTGTAGAATTACGTTTACCATTGCTTACGTTTCTTCGGGTTATGTAATCGACGGTTGTATAATTAAAAACTTAAAGTAACCGTAGTCGATCGTACCACTGAAATTTAACTCGACAAAGATGGAAGTGCCATTCGTTGTTATTCGCAAAAATTAATTATAATCGTTCTCATAATTCGTGTCATCTTTTATTGAAGATGATAGTACAGTTTTTTCCCCATTATACATATTTACAACGATAAACCTACTAGTACAGACCTAATGCATAGATCTTGCATGTACCACCGTACTCGATAAAACGCGTGAACTATTTCCATTTTATACAGTTTAAATATTTTTATCGTTTCGAACGTGTTTCACAGAAATATCGCACGATCTACGACCCTTGCGATAATACGTATAAAAGAGAATCTGTTGACGCTATGAGAATTTTAAGGGTTAGGTTTTGGGTTAGGTTAGGTTCTTTACAAAATGTTCCGTGCCGATAGATGCAAATGTCTAAAATATTTCAAGGATATATAATAGTAAGAGAAGAATGATGGAAATGTTATTTATTCCAATAATTTAACGATACGTATTGTTAAACGCCTCTTGCTATTACTTTCTTCGTACTTATTCTTCCGTTAGCGTGATTCGAGATTTGTTTATTTGTAACTTTACGATCATCAACTTATTCTCCGATACTTTTACACGTTCCGACAGTGTATCTCATTCATACATAAATACAAACATACCGAATACATACACAAAGTACAGTTAACTCGTACGATTCTAGAGAAAAGATTGACTCGTTTTACGTTCCCTTAACCAATCACCATCGGTGACGATTCGATCGAGCTACATCCTAATATCGATTCTCTTCTAATTTTCCCATGCATGGGAAAATTATTCTACGTTGATATGTATAGTTTCATTATGTTTTATCTACAGAATAATTTATTTGGCATCTTTTAGGACAATAACAACTACATAGTTAGAGCATATAGATAGTAAAAATTATACCCTGATTATCTCGAACAGTTTCATCAACGAATTCGCTAATTTATATCATACTGTCGCGTATCATTGTCGCACGTTAATGGGAATAAAATTAAATCCTGTCTTATCGTTAACTATCTTCACATTTTGTTTTTTCCGAATTCTGGTAGTATAGATATGTAAATTTCGTTACACGTTAAACTGTCCATACTTTTAACGAGGAGCCATTTAATGACACCCGTTACTAATCGAAACTGAATCTGAAAATTATCGAAAATCTCGCAACATTCCCTAAATCCAACCATTTCTCCTATTACGATCGCTATGTATTGTCATTCGTGAAATCAGACGGTAATCATTTGACAAGAATCAATTTTCTTCTTCGATCCTTTTCACCGAGCACATCCCTCTGTCGGGTATAGATGAGTACTCGACAAAATATCGCATCCCTGAGAATTGGTATTAACATCTCTAGAAGAAGAACGTCTCCCGCCTTTTTCTTTGTCACGATTCTTGCATGTTTGGGTAAAGGCTTAATAAGGAACATTATCACGAACGTGTGCTTGCTTCCGGTACTCGTGACGTTGACACTTGCTCGTCCACGACCATTTTACACAGACTTTCTGCGGTTTCAGGACGAAACACTTCGTTCGTAGTACATCGAAGAAGATCTTCCCGATGAAGTTCGCGGATGCAGTCCCCGCCATCTTCAGGCACGTCCGGAAACTGAAAGGATCGAACGCGTTCGACGATAATTATACTCCGTCGACGTTTGAAGATTGTTATTTCAAAGGTATTTACACGAGTAGACCTTACATTCAATGTATTTTTGTGTTTGTATCCTTCAATGTGTTCAGGAATTGTGATTTTTTTAAAGATATGCATGAAATTATAAATATGCAGGGAACCATTTCTGGTCACAAATCAGACTTTCGGTAAGGAATTTTTTTCTCGAAAATGCGTAGGATTTCGTGGGTATGTTTATTGACCAAAAATGATTATAATTGACCCCCGGAATCAAAAATAATTTTTTTAGGACGATTTGAAAATTTCTTTTTTCGCCGAAAAGTTTCACACCTACTCGAATTTTTTTCTCGAAAGTGGGTAGGATTTCGGGGTTATGTCCATTCACCAAAAATGATTATAATTGACCCCCGCAACCAAAAATAATTTTTTTAGGACGATACGAAAATTTTTTTTTCGTCGAAAAATTTCACACCTACTCGAATTTTTTTCTCGAAAGTGAGTAGGAATTCGGGGTTATGTCCGTTGACCAAGAATGATCGCAATTGACCCCCGGAACTAAAAATAATTTTTCCAGAACGATTTGAAGAAATTGTTTTTCGTCGAAAAATTTTCCGGTCGGTAAGTCAGTTAAATTAAGTCACGAAGGTCCATAAGTTGTAAGGTCGACTCATATACCTCGTCTGTGCTACCATGAGTAAACAGGGAACTTTCATACGTTGGCCAAAGAAGTAATTACTATCGGATCAATTGTTACATACGCGGAGTTTGATCTGTAATATCTACCGAGCGATTCTCGTGTAGTTTCTCGTTCCAGACGCGTATTCAGAAGTATTTATCGACTTGCAACTCGGGAAAAATGTTTTAATTTGTCGAACAGCGTAATTAGTTTGAGTTGGAAATGACGTTTCGAATCAAAATCGGAGTGCAAAAGCCGGGGCAACGACCCGTGTTGGATTATTCTTGAACGTTCCCTGTTTTCCCACCGGATAGCCGTCGTTCGATATCTAATTCCGAAATTGATAATGGTACCGTTCGTCGCAGGCGCAGTGCATCATGCTCGAGATGCCCCAGTTGAAGAGGCCGTAATTCGTCTCGAAAGCTGGTATGAAGAAGGGGCACGAGGTGTCGTGTCTGCGACAACAGGCGTCCGCTGTACCGAAACCGCCCAGATTCGTATATTTGGTTGCACGATGACCGCGTCCGCACCATTGTGTACCTGGGATCATCAACAAGTCCCTCCGTGACCGACTTTTGCCCCTCCTCTGCTTGTGACTGCTGCTCGTCGCGTTCAGAAGCTTGGCGAATTTCCTGCATTAAAAATTAACACGCGTACAGTCTACTGTCTCTCGGGTTGTCACACCCTTCGTCTCTCATTCGCTACGTTATTTCTATCCACGGAATCTCATTCTCGTCCCTAGCGTTTGGTGATTCCCTTTCAGGTTGTCGCAGGTTCGGGTACATTTGCGACAACTTGAGAGGGAACACGTTATAACGCGTAAAAATATCTGTAAAACGGCGGCGAGTCGACGTTTATAATCGTGCACTGTATTTTCCGAGTACCTGCGACGATGCTGAGCGATGATTTGATTCCTCGCTCTCGTTCTCACGCGAGAGCACCGATGGCGCAAGTCAGACGCGGAGGAGAGCCAGGAGAGGTCCCGAGGGATCCTCGACGCGTCCTCGTCGTCGTCCACTTCGAACACCTCGATAGACGCCTGGACATCGTAATCGTCCGAGTGGCGGCTCGACGAGCAAGACCTCTCGTCCCCGTCGGCGAGCTTCTCGTCGACGCAGTCGGTCAGCGTGCCGCCCTCGTATATGAGTTGCAACTTTCTGCCGGTCTCCTGTAGCCAGACTTGCCTCAGTGCTACGTCCGTATCTCTACCGAGGGGCATATCATCATGAAACAATAGAATCTAAGTTGCGTTACACCTGATTTCTTTCCCTAATTAACGGATAGGTGTTGTAGGCGTCGCCACCAGAGGGGTCGCGCTCTCGCAAGCGCTCGACCTCGGTTGCTATACATACAGTGTTCGTCCACCCTTGAGAAAAATTTTAATGCGAGATTCTAGAAGCCAAAATAAGAAGAAAATCAAGAATACCAATTTCTCGATCGAGGCTTCGTTAAAAAGTTATTAACATTTAAAGTTCCGCCAGTAGAGAATTTTTTTCTCGAAAATGCGCAAGATTTCAGGGGTATGTCTATTCACCAAAAATGATTGTAATTGACCCCCGCAACCGAAAATAATTTTTTCAGAATGATTTGAAATTTTTTGATTTACTTTTTTAATAACTCGCTAACTTATTAACGAAGCCTCAATCAAGAAATTGATATTCTTGATTTTCGTCTTATTTTGGCCTCCAGAGTCCCCCATTAAAATTTTTAATTTCAGGGCCTGCTAGAAAGCCTAACTGATGAGTCCACTAAAGCCCCCTCCCTTTCCTTTTCGAATTTCTCGAGTTCCACGCCGCGACAAAGCAGCGCCCCACAGTGTCAAAAGGGTGTGACATTTCGAGGTGACGAACTCCGCGAGTACAATGCTATTTTTCGTCGAGAGGGTAAAATAGGGAGCGTCGGAACCGATGGAAAAAAATCTGTAACCACGACGCGTACGTAATTCGTAGACAGTAGCGCGGGCACGATTCACGGTAGATTGAGCGCGCACGTGTTACCGGACCAGCGATTAGCGTTGCACCTATGATTGATGCTCCCCCGCCTTACTTTCCCGTTGCATCGAGATAAGCATCTTCCTAAGGCATCATTAACGCATTCGAGCCCCCGATGACTCGACTTACGATGCAACGTCTCACTCGTCGTTTAGCTTAGGGATTCCCAACGGGGGGCCACGCGACCCCCCACTGGACCACGATACATTTCTTACGCGGGGGGGCAAGGAACGAACAACGGTTTATCAATTTGACAGTCCAGTTGGTCAGAAGCCACCAGAAAGTATAGCAAATTCTTTTCACCAGCATAATCCTAACGAGAAGGCTATTTATTTAGTAACCCTTTATGAATTTATGCTCCTGGCTCGAAACGAGCAATTTTGATAAGTGCTAGAGACCTCTTTCCTTTCACGTTGAATCTATCGCAATGATCTGGTTATAGATTATGGTCTTTCTTCGGGGTGGAAAAAATGACTTAGAAACCGGAAGATCTTCTTGATATTAGGTTCTACTTCGAAACGTGCAACGAGTGTCCTTTCTCGATCAAAAATTGATCGTTCCCGGCGCAGGGGAATCATGAGAACGGTCGCGGGACGTGCTTTTCTCGTTACAGGAAAAGAGCTTTCCCCCCGATTTAAGTGCAAGGCGACGTTTCGCGGTCGTGGGATTCCCCGGTATCCTCGTGAGAGCATCAGCAGATGAGTTACAACCGCTGGTCCGGGGGACCGGTGTCCTGGAGGACACGACGCGCTCCTGCTCGACGTAATCCTTGCTTACTTAACTTGCCGCTTTTCGGCTTAGGGCCTCGGTTGGCTTAGCGGCCGCCGTCCACGCCCGAACGCGATAAATTGCTTCCCGATTCGAGAATTTCGCCGACCAACAGCTGCACACGTACCCTCGAATCGCCGCTTCGCAAACTTTTTTCAAGATGCCTCCCCCGCGAAAAAAGAAACAACCACGCTCGAGATCGAACGTCAGACTCGTTTGGAAATCGCGTTGCAAAAGGATTGGAGGCGTGGATACTCGAACTCTTATTTCCTCGTTGAAATTGTGTTAATTAGATTTAACGTCGCTATGGTTCGCGATAGAAAAAGTCGCGTCTCAGACGTTCCTCCTTACGAAGTCTTCGTCTTATTTTAAGAAACACGATGTGACCGGGTTCTTTGGTTGCAGAAATTTTCCTCGATCGCGACACTCTGTGTGTACACTTTGGCGCCAATATCTAGAAACAAACAACAATGTTGAGCTATCCGTAAACTTGTACCCGACTGTCGAGAGGCGTTTGATATAAAAAAAAGGGTTAAACGAACGATCGATTTTTCTTGTTTTTTTTCTTGAAAGAAACAAGGTGTGGGACTCGATTTAGCACGAGTAATTCTATGAGCTTCGCGCCAGTTGACAAGGACGGGACGAACGAACCGCGGAATGAACGACCGTATCAGCGAGGAGCGTTCTTCTAAACGAGACGGCGTTTGAAAGAGGTAAACCGATGCTAAATGCACGCGTTGCAGTCCCGCGTAGCAGGCCGTCGGGCGTATTGGCAACGGTGAAAGGCAAGCATTGTTTTTCTGACAGCTAACAGCGGCATCCTCCACGAGCCCTACCATAGGGTCGGCAGGGAATGCGCGGAGATTTGCTTCTGGCCGAGAAAATGTTATTCCAACAAAGAGGATAGGGCGACGCTCGGCCGCTCCGGCGACGAAAAAACACCGGCTGAGAAATTCCGAAGGATCTAACCGTCTTGTAAACATCGATTCGGATTTAGTTACGGTTCTTACGGACGACAAAGATATTTATTGTGTCCGTTTTATTCCCCCACGCTGTTTCAGCATTAATTTCGCGCGATAAATCGATTTTACTTGCGTGGGAGATGCGACTTTTACTGTACTCTTTGTTCGATCTATACTAAACGGTGAATAACTTTAATATTTGGGCATTAAACAGTTTTTGTCGCATTGTAAGTTTGTTTGTGATAAAGAAGAAAAAAAATTCATTCTAAATTACATTCTAGTCTAGTTAATAGAAGTCTAATTTTTATTTATAGAGGGTGGTTAGAGAACCCTCGGGAAAATTTTAATGGGAGATTCTAGAGGTCGAAATAAGACGAAAATCAGGGATACTGATTTGTTGATTGAGGCTTCGTTAAAAAGTTATAGAAGCATTTCCGGTCACAGAGTATATTTTCGGTGAAGAATTTTTTTCTCGATAGTGCGTAGGATTTCGTGGGTATGTCTATTCACCGAAAATGATTGTAATTGACACCCAGAACTAAAAATAATTTTTTTAGAATGATTTGGAATTTTTTAATTTTCTCGAAACAATTGTCCACCTTACTGAATTTTTTTCTCGAAAACGCGTAGGAATTCGGGAGTATGTCTATTAACCAAAAATGTTCGTAATTCACCCTTGAAACTAAAGCTAATTTTTTTGGAACGATTTGAAATTTTTTAATTTTCTCGAAAAATCTGCCCACTTTCCTGAATTTTTTTCTCGAAAACGCGTAGGAATTCGGGGATATGTCTATTCACTAAAAATGATCGTAATTCACCCTTGAAACTAAAAATAATTTTTTTAGATCGATTTGAAATCTTTTAATTTTCTCGAAACAATTGTCCAACTTACTGAATTTTTTTCTCGAAAACGCGTAGAAATTCGAGGGTATGTCTATTCACAAAAAATGATCGTAATTCATCTTTGAAACTAAAAATAATTTTTTTGGAACGATTTAAAATTTTTTAATTTTGTCGAAAAATTTGCCCACCTATTCGAATTTTTTTCTCGAAAACGCGTAGGAATTCGTGGATATGCCTATTCACCAAAAATGATTGTAATTGACCCCCAGAACTAAAAATAATTTTTTTAGAACCATTTGAAGTTTTTTAATTTTCTCGAAAAATCTGCCCACCTATTCGAATTTTTTTCTCGAAAACGCGTAGGAATTCGAGGGTATGTCTATTCACCAAAAATGATTGTAATTTATTCCCAAAACCGAAAATAATTTTTCCAGAACAATTTGAAGAAATTTTTTTTCGCTGAAAAATTTCAGCAGCTACCCCCTGTCGATTTTTCTTAAAAATTCGTTTTTCGCAATTTCAAAGCACGTAAACTTGTATAAATGACTAAAAGAAATACCACGAGATTCCTGTGGAAGTTTTCAAGTTGTATAGTGTCCGAATATTAAAGTTACTCACTGTAAATCTTTGGAAACTGTTTTAATCTGCGCAGTTTTTGGTATCTTTAAAAACGAGGAAATAAGAAGTTACGTTTTTCAACAAGAAGTGTCTAAATAATACATATTGAAACGCTAATTTTTGCTTTAGATAACACCTATCCGTTAAAGGTTGCATAACTTTGATAAGATAATCTGACCATGTACACAAATTTCATGCATTCTACTTGGCAACTTATTAAGTACGGTCACTTTCCCCAGACTTAAACTATGTTATCAAAGCATTCGAACTTTCCTATTGAAAACAGTAGTAGTTTCATAGAAAGTAGGATATTAAAAACGTACCAAATTTGTACCCCCTCAGGCACCTAAAATAACTATAAGGTGTCATTCTACAGGTTCTACACTTCTTCGAATTCTGCACAATTGTTCATAGTAAATGTGATGGGGAAACTCGTGACAAATGTGATTGAAGTTGACGATCCTACGAAAGACAACAATTGTGCTCAATTCGAAGTGTAGAACCTGTAGAATGGTGTCTTATAATTATCTTAGGTGCCTGATGGAGTACTTTGACACTTTTTTAACATCCCCGTTTCGCCAGCTGTATAATTCTGAAAGGAGCGAGCACCTAACATAACTATAAGGCGTCATTCTACAGGTTCTGCACTTCTTCGAATCGTGCAGACAATTGTTCATAGCAAATGTGATGGGGAAACTCGTGACAAATGTGATTGAAGTTGACGATCCTACGAAAGACAACAATTGCACACAATTCGAAGTGTAGAACCTGTAGAATGGCGCTTTATAGTTATCTTAGGTGCCTGGCGGGGTACTTTGACACTTTTTTGTATGATTCTGAAAGGGGCAAGGAGTGTCTCTGTTTACCCCCAATTGACGACGGTTTCTTTGGCGCAGATCCCATGCCAGCGGACGACCCGCTCGAGTTCGCCGTCCTGGAGGATCCTGGTGACCGAAATACCGCGGCCCCGCGTGGTCCTGGCGAATTCTAACGAGCTGTTCTTGTACGGCAGAACGTTCGATTCCTGATGAAGAGCCCCGGCGTCCGACAGTACCAGAAGCAGCCCCAATGCCAGCAGCATCGGGCACCGAATCCAAACGATTCGCCTCTCTTTCCTGGACAGAATATTTCTTAAATACAAAAAGGTTCGTATAATCATATAAATAGAATTAAACATAAACTGCTAACAAATAATCATGTTATCAAAACGTTTAGCCTTCTCTGCAAAACTGAATTAAAACATATATTTTTAATTCAGAAACGATAAACCTGCATTAAATGCTAACATCGCCGGTAACAGATCCAATAACGTTATTCTTTTTACAAGCAAATTAAATTCTGCTTCTTGCTCCGAGAACACGAGGAAGCTTCGAGTTACAATTCCTGACTATAGCCTTTTCGCGCGTTTGATACCCTTTCTTAATACTGACTATAAACGACTTTGCTCCTTTATCCAAGTTTCGGTGATGGAACGAATAAAACTAACAACGAGCAGCAATAATTTTCTGTTACTTCTGTTCTTGAACGTGATTACGAGGAGTCGAGTTACAATTTCCTTCAGATTGAATTTCGACGTCTTCGGACGGGCTCCTTTCAAGCTGGAATTTATTTAAGCGCGCCGACTGCGAATGAATCCGCGCGAAAAAATTCGTCTATGCTCGCGCGAGAGCTGAACATTAAATAAAGCTATTCTATTTTTATATGCAGCGAATTGAATTCAAGGGGAATCCGAACAAGCCTTGTATTACACTTTCATCGGCGAAATCTCTTTAACTCTTCCACCTTCGCCATTTTCCTCACTCACTTCGTTTAAATAATTATCTTTAATTTAAGTATGCTCGACCTTGCGTAATATTTCATATTATACAGTGTTCAGCCTGGGAAAAATTTTAATGGGGGATTCTAGAGCCCAAAATAAGACGAAAATCAAGAATACCAATTTGTTGATGGAGGCTTCGTTAAAAAGTTATTAATTTTTAAAGTTCCGCCTGTACTGAATTTTTTTCTGGAAACTGGGTAAGATTTCGGGGGTATGTCTATTCACCAAAAATGATTGTAATTGACCCCCGCAACCGAAAAGAATTTTTTTTAAACGATTTGAAATTTTTTAATTTTGTCGAAAAATTCCGTACCTTCTCGAATTTTTTTCTCGAGAATGGTTAGGAATTCGGAGGTGTGTGTATTGACCAAAAATGATTGTAATTGACCCCCGCAATCGAAAATAATTTTTTTAAAACGATTTGAAATTTTTTTTTTCCGCCGAAAAATTTCACACCTTCTCGAATTTTTTTCTGGAAAGTGGGTAGGATTTCAAGGTTATGTGTATTGACCAAAAATGATTGTAATTGATCCCCGCAACCGAAAATAATTTTTTTATAACGATTTGAAATCTTTTGTTTTCGCCGAAAAATTTCACACCTTTTCAAATTTTTTTCTGGAAAACGGGTAGGATTTCAAGGTTATGTGTATTGACAAAAAATGATCGTAATTGGCCCTTGCAACTAAAAATAATTTTTCCAGAACGATTTGAAATTGTTGAATTTAATTGTTAATAACTTTTCAACGAAGCCTCCATCAACAAATAAGTATTCTTAATTTTCGTCTAATTTTGGTCTCTAGAATTCCCCATTAAGCCGTATCGACTTCTTGAAATCAATCGAACAAAATAATAGACCGAATTGAGAAAAATTTTTGCTGATGAAATAAGGATGTTCCGAACGATCTTTCGCGGAGATAGAATCGTCGTTAAAATGGGTTAATACGGTGAATTCGTGCGAAAAATAATATTTCTGTAATTCCGGGAAGCCCTGCCGTAGTATCGAATAAGGGTTTATCGAGAAACATGTTCGTTGCAGCGTACGATGTAACCGGATGTATCAATTTCCAGTATTTTGTCCGCGATTTAAAGAAATTAAATCGACGTGGCTTCGACAAGCACGGAACGCCGATACCATCCGCGATCCCGTCGTTTTCTTTTCGTCGTTTTACGGAGGACTGTTTGGCACTTGGCCATCGGACGCTTAATCATCTTCTTTTCATCGCGAAGATAAAAAGAAGCCGCGCCTCCGTAACCCGGCTCTTACGTAATTAGCACGTATGATATCTGCAAAGCTGTACGTTCAAAAATTATCCATTAGCTCATCCCCCCCCTCCGAGAGATAATTTTCATTGCTTCTCAGATCCATCAGGTTCTAGCAAAATCAAATTCCCAAAAATTTACGCGCCTCTAACATTTTATTTTCAGACGATCCAGGAACCGCTTGTGATCTAACGTTTCTCGTAGCATTTGCTTCTGTAACATCCTCGAAATTCACGAGTTCTATCCAGAGATTGGGAATTCATTTCTCTAGTTCCACGACGAAGAGTTCTGTCGCGTATCTACGAAAGAAAACGAAAGTAAACGCTATCAACATGTTCCTATAATAGATAATTGATAATAATTGAAACGATATTTGGACGACGACGTATCGATCTCTGGATCTCATAATACTTCACTAACGACGCTACTAACGATAGCAATTATCGCAGATAAATTAGCTTTGAAAGAAATATATGAATAAAATATAGATCGTAACGAGCACTGCGTAAACTCGATCGCGATATCATAATTTCGGTGCAATTCCTCGCGAGCTGACGGTCGCATAATTCAAGAGAACGTCGAGATAAGCACGACAGACGAATCTATATCGTTTTTCGAACAGGATCTTTGACAGTCATATTTTTCTGCGAATTTTTAATCGATACGCAGACAATCTCGTATTTTTTTCGCTCGCGATTCGATTAATAAAAAAATCGCGTATATCTTTCGGCTCGCGACGATGGAAACGCTCCCGGAGGCTTTTAACACGTCGTCTACCGTGTCATTCATGCTACGAGCATGATGCTACACCGAGAAACGACGTTTAAATTTTATTAATTAATTTCTATATTTCTTTGCTTTCAGATCACTCGATTTCAAGATCAACTCGATGATCGATACGTAGATTTCACATTTTTATATTACTGGTCTAGTCTCTGGTCAAGTAGTTCTTTATTATTCACTGGCAAATCAAGAGAAACTTCTTTACAATAACGATGGAAGAGTAAACAAAACATGATAGAGAAAGTGACTAACTTTGCTAAACTTTGTCAATTCCACTATCGTTAACGTTACTTTAGTAATTTGCTAATAATTTCTTCAAGTTCATTATATAAAATTAACATTTTAATTTGGCAGTGAACAGTAAAATTCTGCATCTTGATCATTTGTAATGCGTTTATACCGCACTTTAATGCTTCTGAAGGGATTCAAACTATTCTAATATTTGCTAGAACCCCCGTTTGGGCCACCGTGGGTCGCCAACGTACCTTGGTGACACCCTCAACTGCATCTCATCCGCGAGCAAAAGATTCAAAGTGTCCCCGGGGCGAGTCGGTTCAAGCTCTTCCATAAATCGCACACCTCCGTGGACCTCGTTGGACTCGTTCAACGAACGTGCATTCGTTCATATTCGACGAACCGAACCACTGTCGCGCAAACAGACCGTCGACGATCAGTCGATCCCCAAAAATCTTCGACAGAGAACTCCCGACCAGTTCGATCCCCTCTCGGACTCGATGGACAGGTACGGGACGAAATTCGCTGAAAAATTGCGGGGTAACTGCTAGTCACTGGTCTCGATGGACGAACACGCGAACGATACGGACGGCGATAGGGAAATTTGTCGAATTGTTGGCCACGTGGCGGGGAGTAAAGTGTTCTCGCGCCCTTTTCTACGGCGAACGTCGCGTGCACTTTGCACCCACGCGCGGGACACAACTCTCGCGGAGGCAATCGGCCGTGGTGACTGGCGCGCTACGCTCGCGACTCTCCCTTAAATACCGGCGAGAGGTTCTGGTGGTTGTCCAGTTCACCTACACCACCACCTATTCTGTCACCCGCGTCTCCTACCCTCTCCAACGCCTCTTCCCTCGTCGGTTGCGTTTCCCATCCGCAACCCCACTACTGCTCGGATATCAACTCGAAGTCTCTGACTCTTCCCCCCTCCTCCGCTTCCTCGACGCTGCACCTTCGATTTCGAAAACAAGAAACAGACATAAGAGAGGAAATTTACGTTCACTTTGAGTCTACCATCGAATTTTTTAGTTTACACGAATATTTGCGCTGCTCGTTAAATGTTTGCGCGTGACGTTCGTGCAACGCGAAGACGAGAAACAGAAGCACGTGGGAGGAGTGTTCGGATCTCTGGATCATTTCGTCTTTGAAATTTTCAAAATTTCCGCGACGTAGTTTATTTCGATAATTGAGTCTTTTGAATCTTGAAATTTCTCAAAATTCCGCGCGAATTTTAATTGTTAAGAGGCATCGTACGCTGTTAGAAACTCACCTACGCCACCCCCTACTCCGTCACTCGCGTTTCCTCTCGCTTTGAGCGCTCTTCCCTCGGTTCGCGTTTCCCATCCGCAACCCCACCATCGTTCGGACACCAACCGAAGTCTTTCCCCTTCCCCTTACCACCATCTCGACGCTGCACCTTCTACCAGCAGCCGCCTCTGCCAAATCCAATCCTACCCACTCATCCTGAGATCTAATCCCCACTCTTTCTCTCTCCCTCTGTCGTTCCCCCGTTCTTTCCTCCTCTTGTCAGTGTTTTTCGCTTCCTCCACCTTTTTCTCATCCCTCTTCACCGCTTCTGGATTCCGCGGCGCCTCTCTTTCCCTTCCTTTTTCACCCCATTTCTCTTTCTCCGCCTCAACCCCCCCCACCTGCCTCGAACGACCGCGCGACGGTCTTTGGATCTCGCGCGTCTCCCTTCGTCGTTCGCTCCTTTGTCCTTGCCCCGCAGTCGCTTGGTGTTTTTTACCCTGATCCTTCTATCGTCTAGGCTGACTCTGTCGCCAACGACTTTGGTAAATGCCGGTGCATCCATCACCGACCGTCACCGGCTGCGATCAGCGAACGGGGAGTCTGGGCTCCGTGTTCGCGGATCGCCTGCTGACCGTAGTCGTTCCCCGCACCTGAAAACCTGGTCAAAAACCCCGAAATGTTAAGTCACCGAAACCATACCTTTCTGGTTCCACCATCCCGACATCGACGTAAGCAACTATTTTGTACATGCGTGAAATTGCTTACTGTAACTACGGAAAATCCTCATAGACGCCATGTTTTGATGCACAGTTGTGGAAACAAGTTAGACCGAAGTACCCCAAACGTACACCTAATGATCAAACCAAGATCACCATCAGCGTCAGACCAAAGTAAGACACTGTAAAGACAAACGATGTACGAAGTATGGCTCCTAATGAAAGACCCGTTACTCGAGGTAAACGCATACGTGCAATGGATTTATGCTTGAGGCGGGCACGTTCGACGACCGCCAGACGGAAGAATCATCGACGTTAATTCATCGTATCGAGCAAGGTCAGCGTTCGTGCCAACGGCCAGCCACGGCTCCGAATTTCTCGCAAACGGACGCCAAAGCGTTCGGAGGTTGGAACCGGTGAGAGAACGTTCGTCGATAATAAATTATGCATGTCCGTGCGACGCGAGCGGTCCTCGTCATTGGCCGTGAGAGCACCCCCCGCCCCCCCCCCTCCCCCTCTAGCCTACCCTCCAGCGCCCCCCCACGTCCGGAAGATCGCGGCGATTGGCGGGCAGCCAGAGGTCGTTTTTCGCGAGCCGCGCGATAAACTTTCGTCCCGTTGCGCGATCGTGGGAGCATTGTCGCGCGAATTAGCGCGGCTCTTCAATTTTTCCGCGAGGTCGGGCACCCATAGAAATCCCCTGGACGTCTTCCGGGGCCACCAATGGATTCCCGCTTACCTTCCGCTGCCGCGATATTTTATTCGCAGGCGACCTGAAACCGAGCGTCTCGTCAGATTCTCCGGTCGAGTTCCGATTTTTACATTTTTTTATTTCTACTTTCGTTCTACGGCTTTATCTATCGTGCAATAACAAAACAAAATGGCGTGGTACGTGTTTGTTGGAACCTCACGAGATGTTCATAGGTCCCACGTTGTGAGAATTCATTTTGTCGGCTCTTCTGTCTTCCATATGGGTGTCGTGGCGACCATTGTGTTAGTTCCCCCATTTCCACCCTGATAACGAGAAAAATGATTAATACAGGGTCTAATGAACCAATACACCAAAATATCCAGCAAGAAGAATTCACTTTGTCGTTTTTCCTGTCTTCCATATGAGTGTCATGGCGACGACTGTGTTTGTTCCTCCATTTCCACCCTAATAACGAGAAAAATTATTAGTGCAGGGTCTAATGAACTGATACACCAAAGTATCTGTTGTAAATCATACTAATCGTGACATCTCTTAGTAATATGTACAAACTCTATGTAATGTGTCACGTGACCTTTCCGATTTCCGGCTCTGTACCGTTCCTCGTCCACTTTCGTCTCGTCAGCCGAGTTGTATACATACTCTTTGTACAATAGTGTCCATAAATAGATTTACTTACAATAAAATAAAATCTACAACAATATCCAGCAAGAAGAATTCACTTTGTCGGCTCTCTCTTGTCTCCCATATGAGTGTCATGGCGACCACTGTGTAGTTGTTCCTCCATTTCTATCCTGATAACGAGAAAAATTATTAATACAGGGTTTAATCAACCAATACACCAAAATATCCAGCTTAATAACTCCGTTGAAACCCTTTCGCCGTCTATATCGTTTTGTCTCCACTGTGGAGGGGTACCGTGCAGCTTACGCTCGGGCTATAAAGCGCAGGTAACAATTAGACGTGGCCATGGTGTGTTAAAGGGACTTGCAATAAACGGATGAACGACTGCTGCACCCGTAAACACGGTCGAGGACTTTTATAGCTTGGAATCGAGCCGCGCGAACGAAACGCGTTAATACCACGCGAAGAAAAACCGGCTACCGACGTTCTGGAGATTTATGCTCATCCATCGGCAGCTCCTGAGTGGCCCTCCTCGACGGAACGGGATCACCGCCACGGAAATTAATTGGCGGGACGAAGAAGTGACGTTGAAAAGCCGGCGGTGGTTTCCACCCATTGTACTCCTTGCGGTTATGACTCGGCTGCCGTAGGACAGGGCTGAGAAAGGGAACGAACGGGGGTGGTAGGGGGAGGGACAGAGGGCTGGTCGAGGTGAGAGTCCGTAAGTGAGTAGGTAGTTCTCTCGGGCCACTCGATTGTTCGACCCTCGAGGGTTTCTCAACGAGCTATACCTCGTCTCTCTGTATGCATGCTTCTGAGTGCCATAAAGAAGTCCCGAAGGAAACTCATCCCCCCTCCGTCGACTCGTAAAATTCGTTTCGCGACAGGCCTAACCAGTCTTCGACTTCCTCTGAATCATCCAAACGAGCGTAAACAGCTTACTGAAATAAATAAATAAATAAATAAACGCAACAATCGGTGTAGACTATCTTTAACGTCAGATACAAACCAATTTCAAAATCATCTCGTGGATTAGATTGTAATGAGAGGTTCGACCGCGATCGTTCCCCAATTTGCTCGCCGACTTTCCGGATCACTGTACTTAAAACGGTTTGTAATTTAAGCTTTGTATCGTCGAAAAAATGGGGGACACGTAGGGGGTCGAAAATGTGGGAGATAGGTTAAATTTTTCGCGGTATTATACAGGACGGAGGGAGATTCGATTACGGGCAATATCCACAAATTGCCTTCTAGTTAGCGGAGTGTCTTGCGGTCGAACTATCGCGAGATAATTACACTTCGGTCCCCATAATAGCAAGTTAGTTATAGACCCGAGGATCTTTGGTCGTGAACTCCGAGCCGGTTGATCGAGCACATTCCCCGACTGGTTCCAATGTCACCGTTCTCTTCTGGAAGGCAAACTCCCGGGGCCAGGGGTATTTGAGGAGGCTGTTTACCAGCCGTGTCGGCGGTGGCAGGTAATGTTAATCTCGCTCTTGCTTTATTTACCCTTCGACGGAGTCGTCCTCGGCTTTTTTTGGTCGTTAAAAGTACGTCGGAAGAGTTAGAGGCTCCATAGATCATAAACGAGCCTCTTAAGAGTTTAGTTATCGGTTCGACTATAATCCTGCTAATCCTAGGTTTTCTTCTTTGTTGCAGTGAAAGTCATCTGCAACAGAATCAAGGCGAAAATTGACAGTGTCGTTTCGAAAAGTCAAGTTCCCCAAAGGCCAACGTGCTTGCAGTGACTCTGCCCATCGAAGGTTGAAACTGTTCTACAGCTGCTTCCGGTAAATCGAGGCTGAGTGTTTGCCAATACCCAAAGGACGAGGCAGCCAGGTGCGGCGTGACAAGAGGTAATAGATATTTTTTTTTCCAAGGCTGGAAAGTGGCAGGAGAGTCAACCTGCGGACTTTCACAATAAAACCATTCTTCGAATCGCCGACAGAGTTGCATAGGTAGCTTTAGAATTTT